TGTTATAAAAACATTTTTATTCAAGACAATGTTTCTGCATCTCGTATCACATTCCTATAACACATGTATGTGACCCCCGTCTCTCTCTCTCTCTCTCTCTCTCTCTCTCTCTCTCTCTCTCTCTCTCTCTCTCTCTCTCCATCTCTCTCCCTCTCTCTCTGTCCCTCTGTCTCTGTCTCTCTGTGTCTCTCTGTCTCTGTCTCTCTGTGTCTCTCTCTGTCTCTCGCTGTCTCTGTCTCTCTGTCTCTCTCTCTCGTAAATTTATAATCTATAGTTAATTAAATTAAGCTTTATGTAGAACTAAACCTGATACGTTGATTGTCTAATTTCGTCATATTTCACATTCTAATGTTTAATCATGTAACTATTGTTATTCATCACTGTATATCTGTATGGAGGGAGAGGCCACTTTTAAGTTGGTAAAACTTACTGACCAATCCTTTTCATATGACTCTAAGATATGTTTAGACTAACCATATATGTTATCTGATATATTAAGTAGAATGTTTATCGTAATGTTCCATGCTTACTATTTACAATGATCTTTTATTACACACATTTAACGTGCCTGAGTGAAAACTAAAATTTAAAAAAATCTGGTATGGAGTTACCTCCGTAAGATAGTTTCAATATAAGATGTTTGATAATTGAGACTGTCCTAATACATATATGTTACTACCAAATCTACTCGTTTAGCGAAATGAACATTGTAAAATGGTTAAATATTGGGGAAAAATCATAGTTGTAAACAACGATATATATAACTTAACAGGTTTCTTGGTGTAAAAATGAAGAAATCGGACAAAAACGAAAGATGGTCTGATGATTAGCTTCTTGATTTCCTCCAATGATGAAGAGTTACAGAAATAGAATAATAAATAAAAACAATTCGAACAATATTGAAAGAAAGAAACATACATTCTCACGTACTTATACACTTACACAGAAACACACACGGATGAACAAGTACACGCATACACACGTTCCTACGCACACTTTAATTCACATATACCGTAAATCGCCTTTCAGTATCAGTATTTGTACGTTCGTCTCACCCCGAGAGGTCAGGATTCATTTTACCAATAATGGCACATAACGATATTATATAGGTATTCTATCTCTCACGTGTAATGATATATAGCAACTAACACGATAGCGTGACTACCAGACAATACCTATGTATGATCAAATTACAACAGACTACTGTATGGAAAGGTCTTAGTAATAATGATGATTGAGTTGATTTTAAAATTCCATGAAATATACCACCAAGAAGAAGACGATAATTAGACACTGAGTTAAGATAAAATATGAAATCTGTTTTTTACCGTGCTATGTAACGCACCAGAGCTGATCACGTGATATCTCGATGTGTGAATATTTTTGTGCAGAGAACCACTTAGGTAAAAGTAAGTGTAAATATTCACGCAAAGTTTGACAAGTTTCTTGTAAATTAATTGTAAATTAAATTGTAAAAAACATGTAGAAGTGTGTACACGGTGCACTAGGCGATATCTGTTTATATGTTGTCCGTCCCGTGCCAGTGTCCTAACCAGTACGTGGAGTATAAGGAGAATGCAAGTTGCACGAGTATTGTATGGTAGGACGGAGGCAAGTAGAATCCTCTCCGGGTTTCTGGTTACCGTGTCTACATAATAAATAGATGCGACGCATACCAACAGTGTTATGTGATGACTGTTTCCGAGACTTAGCAAGGGTTGCAAACGTAAACTTGTTATGTAGAAGCTGGAATCGAGAGGAGTCTGCATCACCTGTTCAAAAATTATTACGTTTGTTGACTAAAACACCACCCTTCAAAAAAATCGTCAAGTACATAATACAAGTTGTATCTTTGTAAAATATTAGTAATGTCGGAAACAAAACCTCTGCTAGCGATAGATTAAATTTAATAAGATATTTTATAAAAATCTCAGGTGTTAATCAGCCAAATTCTTTCGAACATATTCCTACAAGTAATAACTTTTCTTTCCACTGATATATTCTTTATCTAAAAACTAGAGAAAAAATCTCCTAAAAATAAACAAACTATATTGTTCATAAGGAAAACAAATCTAGGGAAAAATGGAGAAATCTGAAATGACAGGATCGATTGAAAACTAAGAGATAGCAGGTAAATTTTACGAGGGACACAATACCATGACATGTTCCAGACAAATTCTTCTGGTGTATTCTCAAAAATCAAAAAATAAATGAAGATAGACATTTTTTCCACAGAAAGAGTCATTATGATTATAAAAATGAATGAGAATAACAATAAAGGAATTCTATAAATACCTATTTCGGACTTGCCAACGGACTATCAGGAATTGAGATTTTACTACGGTGTCAATGCAACTCTCATACCACGGTGATAAGATAGAGAAAAAAACACTTTAAATTGGTTTTTTGATTCTATTGTAAATACATGTTAAAGATGATAGTCATAAATAGTTAAACTTCGAGATTCGAATTTGATGGGACCATCGAGGAAACTTCGACACATCGAGACCTTTAGTCAAAAACGTTGAAATCCCCCTCCACCTCCCCCCCTCCCCCCCCCCCCCAAAAAAAAAATCAAATCAAATAAGATTAAGTAACTTGTGATATAAACATCGTTGGAGCTACGGTTTTGAGGGTCAGTTTGTATAGAGCAAAGTTTTAAACCACGACGGTGGTACAATTCTGAAAACACTTTAAGGCCATTGCACGTGCTTCTATAATTGAAATCTTAATTATAATTATCGGTAAGTATCACGCCGTTCCAATACTTATCAACTAAATTTTTATTTTACATTAAATCGTGTAACAGATAGTATAGTCACTTACTTAAAATGTTGATAATGTGAAGTTTGACTAAAATGAAGCAGATAGATAAACAAAACCTACTCTGTTGATATCGATGTAGAATTTTGAGACGAAAAATTTACATTGTTACAGAAAAAAAGTTACCCGTTTAACCTGCTTGATTAAGCAATATTTGAACGAAGATGTAATCATTTTTGAGCGGCCAAGATTTAAAGAAGTTTGGCTCCGATAATTAAATGATATCTACATACGAACAAGATGAACCCAATGATATCGCATCCTAATCCAGCTACATAGCCGGTTTAGGAAAGAACAAACGCTAAAAACAAGCTTCAGAACTAGTCTTTTTCTCAATATTTTGAAAACAGATTAAAAGATCTTTCGAATTTGGCCCACAGCGACAGTCTGGTGAGAGGTCGACGGTACATATTTTGCCCACTAGCGACATCTGTTAGCCAAACAGCTGAACATCTTTTTTGACAATACGAGCGGACATTTGGATCCCTTGGGGTCCAATTATTGTCCCGTTTTCAGATATACGTGTCGATAAAGACATTAAAACCAGTTCGAAAGTGTCTATATTTACACAAGGGGCTCAAATCCCATCAGTCATTCTCAAGATCGCAGAGAAGAAGGTACCAACTGACATTTTTATGGGATTTCATATTAATGAGATTTGCTTGATTTATTTCTTTTTTTATTTCATTTCAAAGAATTTAATGTTCTTTTGCCAGATGATTTATGGGTTGAAAATTTGACAAATTTATTTCATTATTTCTGCTGGATCTATACAATAGCTTGTTGATATTGGATCATCAGTTTTACTGTCAACACTGGAAAGCGACACTTCGGGTTCTACTTCTCGAAAACTCAAGGATTTCTGTGTCTCTATCTTATTGTAGGTCATTGCTAAATATCCTGACATCTTACATGACGATGGATAGATACAGCCTGTTTATGTTTATATTAATTCATAAACAGGATGTCATATGTTTATTTTTTTACACTCTGCAGTTTCATTTGGTTTTAAACTACAAATTTTACTATTTGACAAAAATAATTCTCACAAGGATACTTAAATATTCTACCAGGGAAATGTTCCTGTAGTAGTTGTAAATATCTAATATGAAAATGCGTGGACTTTTTGAAGAATTTTTTTCCAGTGGATTTTAAACATAAAAGTTCAATCAATTAATATTTCCGGAGAAATACAACTTTTCCTGAATTAGAAGTATTCGTGATGTATTGAGTAATATGTATTACATACAAGTATCTATCGATAAGAATGTTTGAATTCTATAGGATAAACTATAAAAATGTCGTAAAATTTGTTACAGTTCAGAAAAGGATATCGTCGACCGGACTTGGAAGCTTCGTACAAGGTAAGCGTCATATTTCTAGTCCTTACTAAATAACTTTACTCCATTCAATAAGTCGTCGGTAATGTTATTTATATATACAAAATGTACGTTAAAGAATAGAAATAATTCATACTTTATGTTTTATGTTTTACTTACCAAATCCCTATGAACCTAAAAAATAACAGCTGATTTAAATTCGTTTGTTTCAATTTTTTCAAGATAAAATCAAAATTTGAATTGATAATGAGGAAATTTATAATCCCAAATCGTGAATTTGAAAAAGGATTAGGATTGAACGTCTCGATACACAAATTATAGGTTAATCATATGTTGAAATGTTAATTAAATTCTGAATAATTTGTATTCTTAGCTTAGATATACAACGGTATCATGTTAAATCAGCTTAATAAGGCTATTTAAACTTAAAGACTAAAGCTGTACTGTAATGAAGTTTATTTGAATTTAGTAATAAATATATTTACAACAAATAGTGCAAAACCTATTTTGACGATTTAAAGAAATAATAATAGTCTTTTGAAATCCTAAAATCATGTTAAGATTTCACCATAAGAAAAAGGAAGATGCTTTTCAAAAACTTCTTATTCAACACTATCCAACGTTAAACAGGAAAAAATAATCGAATGACATTTAAAAACAAATAATGAAATGTTTTATTTATAACTTGATATTTATAAAAATTGTTATAAAACTTGGAAATTTTGTGATCATCTTCCCTGAACTCGCGTACGAAAAATAACATGTTTAAAGATCAAACATTTACTGAAGATATTTCGATTTAATCTTTTTTAAAAAAATGTCTTATCTTGTTTCAAGATGAATTTTGAGATTTTCGGAAGCCCTCGGGATGTTGAGCATTGTCTGACGAGTGTCAATATTGACTCTAACCGCTTGACCACAGGCTTGTCTGCCAGCCTCCGGCCAGTGGATATCAACGATGAAGATTCTGGTTTGGGAATGGACATGGTAATTAACCAGATTTATCTTCTCAACTTCTGTTCACGTTCGGAATTATATTCGTATAAAATTTTTGCTTGTATGAAACAAATTTAATTAGCGGACTCCTTCCTGTATAAAAATAATTCTGTTAAGTCTGTTTGAGAAATCTGTAACGTTTTCTTATTTTCATCACCCCGTTAATTATATAAGTTAATTCGGAGGTTGCCAAGTTTTTAATACAGAAATATACACTGACGATACGGCACCTTTATTTGCTTATTCATTCTGTTTTGTTTTTTCATCAAACGGCTTGGATATAGCTTTTGCCGAGAATAAAAATATAGTTATAAGTTTAGCAACTGCTTGAACATAAACTCAATATTGATTTTAAAAGTAATAATAAATATGCTAATAGGTTATGAAATCGTTTTGCCCGTCGGCTTGCAGTGAAGCTAGATTTACAGAACTTATGTGTGGGTGTGTCTTTATTTGTCTTGGTCAAACAAAAACTGTTCAGAAGGAAGATAAAGCCTCCGGCCACTCGCGAGTGTAAACTGATATTAGGTCAGATACACGCGTAATTATTGCAATTGCTGACCGTGTCACACGTGCTTCCGTCCTATTACGGTCAAATTTGACCAACACTTTTATCATCACTAAAACTGATATCTCACGCCACCTTTCAACCGATGTCAACGATTAAAACTACTTCCGCCGGGAAATAGGTATTGCATCACACATGTGTAGAAAAATAATATACCTGGAAACACTTCCGATATCTAAAGCATATCATATCAAACAGACACTTAACAGTTAGTATCTCAGTAGTCTTACACTGTTTAAATTTCTAAAATATTCATTGTTGGCGATAAAGTCGTGTTTGTGATTTTATCTATTGATTTCTTGTTGTTTATTTCTATCTTTGACAACAGTTTACCATCCAATTTTTAACTCGTCCTGAAATTCTAGGATGTTTTCATTATCATTTTTTTCTCCGATATGTTTGAAACTATTTTGGATTTTTTTATCCAAGTTTATATTGCGTGTTTCTTAATTAACAGACAGATGACTTTTTTGAAGATGAAGAATTAGCATCATCAATTGCTACTCCGGGATTCGAAATAAAAAAGGTAAGTGGGTAGTACCAACACACGTCTTCGTTGTTAAACTGGTTTTGTGTTTATCATTATATCATAAACAGTGCGTTTAAAATGTGATGCATTTTCAGATCATTTCAGCAGTCACGATTTTGCATTACTAAAAGAAGCCCGCAGTTTGAATTTAGTAAATATTGCAAATCTTTATTTGAACATCAACATTTAAATGTTTGTGTAAAAAATATTATGTTTTGTTTCAAAGACATGGTCAGGGAATTGCATAATTTGAAAAATGGTCTTATTACATAACACAGCGTGGTGTTTTAAAATCCTTTGGGCTCAGCTGATAGCAATCGTACATTGATTGTGCCGCGAGCATCGTTTTCTGTTATCATTGAAATGCAGCATTTTCGATCGTATCGAATGAAAAATCCCAAAATAAAAATGTCATTGCGTTTAGGCCACATTTTGTATTTTGTTTTGCAAATAAATGATTTACCAGTGATGTTTTAATGTTTATTTTATTACAGGTAAATCTGAAATCTACCGTCAGGAAGTCTCTATTTGGTCATAAACGTGTGAGGTCTGGCGAGGACGGTACCTTTAGGTCAAAGAGACAGAGGCGTTCCGAAGGGGATGATATTGTAATAGGATTCGATATGCTCTCTTTTCAGGTAAACAATTATAATAAACACAATCTGTCTACAACGTCTTGATTTGTTTTCACTGATTGATATATAAAAGTAGACATGAAAGATTCTTCATCCTATCTTTGATATTTCACATATGTATGTATAATATTTCGAAATAATACATTAATGTAAAGAAAGCGAAGCGATTTTATGTCTCGTTGTTTAATGTTCTTGTGAATTGACAATTTTATTTTGAATTTAATTCAGGATACGGCAACACCTCCAAAGTGTGATTCCGGTTTTGTAATTGATGCTGTAAACAAGTTCGTAGAGCAAGACGACATAACTGGAAATGGAAGTCAGCCATACTGTTTACCCACAATCCCTGGAAAACACAGTGATCTCAAAAGCATCTCACCTAACACAGTAAGTAATCTTTATATTCAGGTTTTCCTCTAGCATATATATCGCTATTCAAATGGTACATAGTATAAATATTGATGTAATGTTCCCCTTACTATTTCAGCAGTATCTTAAGATATAGGAAACATTCTGTAGAAATTATTATATACACTATATTGGCATTTAAGGAATTCGTTCATTCTTCTTGTAGTTATCGGACGTATTGAATGGCCAGTACGATGACGTCATCAGAAGTTACAGAATCATTGACTGTCGTTACCCTTATGAATATGAAAGTGGACATATCAGGGTAAGTTCGCATTTTTACACAATTAGTCTAGTATCATGTGAATTCGTTATGCATCATTTTTTAACCATTGAATCTCCCAGTCATAAATCGATTGTGATAAAATGATAATGACGCTACGTCATGGATTGAAAACAAAATGGCTGTCTCTGTTTCGTGTTGTCATCCACATTTCTTACTAAAAATGAAAATGTAAAGTTGCTGAGTCACGTGATAAAAATATCTTTAATTTGTTTCCATTTCATATTACATTTATGAAACTCGTTTTGAAGTTTTAATTTTTGCTCTAAAGAAAGAAAGAAACAAACCAACAAAAACAAAACTTTCATATGAAATGAAAACTCAAGAAAACCTAAGAGACATTAACAATGTTATTACATTGAGCCAGTTTATCTTTGAATCAGATACAGATAACATGACTTTATACAAAGTTTTAAAGATACAATTCTCCATCTCCAATAATATTAGCCAGTACTTTATAACTCATATTTCACGAATTAATGAAAGTAGTAATCTACCAAGTTCAGAGTATAGCATGGTGTTAGTACATTGTCTCGCCTTAAGTAAACGTCTGTAAAAACCTGTATGTATTTTTACTACCAGCCTTATGATTGACTACGATATTGAATTTTGAACTATTAAAAAGGAAAATACATTTCAGTCTCAGCTAAGCAGAAAGGACATACATCAAACATTGTTTGCTCTATATAAATTAATGTATATATATATATTTACTGTTACTTTCAATTTCTATCGCTTTAGTAATTAAAAGTTTTACACATTCAATTACTTTCTACTACATTATGCACGTGATTTCATTTTAGGGAGCTGAAAACCTGTACACCAATGAGATGATTGAAAATCTATTACGTCAGAAGACCAGACCGATGTCGGTCTCTTCAAAACGAGACATCCTCGTTTTCCATTGCGAGTTTTCTTCTGCTAGAGGACCTAGAATGTAAGCATGTTATCATAAACGTGTTACATGTACATATATATTTGTATTTTTCTCTATGATTGTATAAAAAAGAAATGTTCGGAATGACTATGCTGTTCGTTTTGTTAATACTGGTCAATTGCAAGAAAATTAGACAATTTTGTCACGGTTTTTCACACAACGCACATTTTGTATAAAACTGTTAAAATAAAACGTCAAAACCGGCAGTCGTATACAGATATAGAGGGTATTACATCTTGCCATTACATTAACAAAACATTACTAATTTCTGTACTTACTTTACAGGTCTCGTCTATTACGCAAACTTGACCGCAATTTGAACATCGAACACTACCCACTTCTGAACTACCCTGAAGTATATCTCCTCCATGATGGTTACAAAGCCTTTTATCATACCTGTCAGGTAAGTTATATAGTCTATGGTCGGTTTCCGTACGATATAATATACAACCGATCTAAGTTATTACGATGTTGGGTTTTAAAAATATGTGAAAAGTGAAGTAGTTAATTACACTATTTACCGTGGTATGTTACAGTATAAACTTACCGAAGTCATTTGTACGCACACAAAAACTTACAATGGCGTGGGGGTATTGCAAGTAATATAACGAGATGCTAAATATCAATGTAAGAATTAAGCTATTTAAAATTTGCATTCCTAGACATTATGAATGCCATCCGAATGAAGACGGGGTCAACATGAAATATTCGTTGACCTTATTCTACTGCTATTGTTCAATTTGTTTCCTACACCTTTCCATCCCACTGACTTAATGCAGATCGATTGAAACCATTTCGACACGATGTTCGATAAGCCATGCTATCTCTTCATGTTGTATAATTTACCACTAACCGATTTCAAATCTTTCAGGAACTCTGTGAACCTATGGGATACATGCCAATGCTACACAGCAACCATACGTCGGACCTTCGTCACTTCCGGTCCAAATCAAAATCTTGGTGTGTCGGAGACAGAAAACGCGGGGTACAGAACAGACTCAATTTTACCGATTGCTGAATGCAAAACAAAACGAAATCTTGCATCTTGCCATACCGGTTTTGATATTGATATTGTATACAAAGATCTGCATGATTATCCAGGGACATATTATCGGTACACTACAAACAATGGTACCTGGTTCACTGTTGGGTAGCTGATGATAAACGAGTCTTTAAAACATTTAATCTTAATTCTACGATCGAATAATGGAACGTTCATTTAAAAAAATACCGAACATACAAAAGAAGTGCCACGTGCACGCAATTACGTTCATAGATGTCGCCACGATATCATGTACATGTAAACAAGAGGTCAAGGTATGACCTCTAAATTATATCCTTCTAGATCATGTGTTTGTAACATCTGTAGGCACTGATCGACATTTAATTTTTTCATTTCAGGGAAACAGTTCAGTGCTCATAGTTCCATTTTTCACCGCTCTCGTTTTTCGAGAACGAAGTATTTATTTGTAAATAATTAAGTAATTTATTATTTTCTCACTAAGATGTGTGTACGTGCTGCGCTGTACGTGTCTTGAATATTGCAGATTCTTTTTCTCTCTACCTGTCGTATTTTCTAACATTTTGTGTTATGTATATGCTGGATTGTAAACAATTTGTCAGACAGAGATACGTGTGTGGGTGTTTGTCGTCGTCAAGGCCACGCGACCTTGTATTGCTTATTATTTGTTATGAAAGCGTTTTGCCTTCTGGACCCAACGTATGTATGCAGGTGCGTGTGTGTGTGTGTGTGTGTGTATGTGTGTGTGTGTATGTTTATTGTTTTACGGGTTCTACGGATATGAACCGTATAATATGAATTGTATTATATAAATCATGGTCATCCTGTAGATTTCCATTGGCTATATATATGTAACAGCTTTAGGGAATTGTGACCTGTGTACCTGAGGTACCGATATGTGTAAGAATTTGATACTATATTGTTTGATATTAATTGATTGACAATATTAATACCTACAGTGCTCACATTCTACACTTTTTTCTACTTTGACTATCTTTCCTCAAAACTTCAAACTGATTTTAATAAACCACAATCAGAAATTAACTTTGTTGTTTGTCTTCTTTTCTGATAACATAAAATCCCATCCCTTAAAGCTGACTATATTACTACAGGTCTAAATCAAATTTCGCATCGATTCCATATTGTTCACGACATATCTGCTCCCAGCGTCTGTAAAGATCTCGAGTAGGAGTATCCCAAAGAGATTTTAGAGTTATCCACCCTTTTTGCGCCGTTGTGAGCACATACTCGGCATTTTCTGGGTCGTTTTCAGCAGAGTACGCTCCCATTACTAGTGACTGTGCAAATCTTGCACATACGCACTGTTTCAGCACCTTTAAATCTTCATTTTCAAGAGAGAACTCTGATAAGTATCCAGCAAGAGTGTGACCTCCGGCGTCTATAGGATCTATGACGTCACTTCCGAGTATAACGTAACACATGATTATAGCAATCTCAAAAATGTAATAGGAGTACACGGAATCTCCAAAATCCAGAATTCCTATGACGTCGAAAACTCCATTGATAGGGCGTTCGCTAACAAGAATGTTATTGTCGTTGACGTCAGCATGGAGTGTTCCTATGGATAGAAAATATGTAAAACAAAACACATAAGCTATATACATTGTAATCAAATTAGCAGAAAGTGCAATAAATGATCAGAGATAAGTGTACATACATATCCTTGTATGTTATTAGTTAATCTGAATTTCTCCTTCAAAGCCCGTAGGTTAAAAAAAATCCAAATTTTGTCTTTCAAAGAACTTTTATTCTTTCTTTAACATTTTCTTCTCAAACAACAACCTATCACCGGTGTTACACACTCTCCACGACAACCAACACTTTCAATATAGTATCCAAAGTTGTCTTTTCAATACTAGCTTATAGGTGGCGTGTACCGAGCAAACCCTTCCTCTATGACTTCCCCGAACACCATTATACCCTTTGTTTTAAATGTTCCCTATCAAAATAATTATAATCCGAAAACCCGGGGTCCTGGGGATGTCACCACTGAGTGTACATCGCCGTTATCAAAAAGGTGTCCATATAATCCGTAGCACACACTACCTGAATTTGATAAGGTTGATAAGGCTTCCCCACTAGACACTAATTACTTGTCAACTGACCCCCATTAGTTGCTGATGTATAGAAACTGTCTCCACATTATTTCTACACATAGACGCCTACTTTCTATAATGTTTAATTAAATGTTTTGGATTTTTACTATTTAATCTAAACAGAAAATTAACCAACTGTATCTCTTTAACAATCGGGTACATTTTAAAACTACTTTTATACTTAAGTGATCAATTACCAATAGTTTTATACTTAAGTGATAAATTACCAAAAGTTTTATAATTAAGTGATAAATTACCAATAGTTTTATACTTAAGTGATAAATTACAAATAGTTTTATAATGAAGTGATAAATTACCAATAGTTTTATACTTCAGTGATAAATTACCAATAGTTTTATACTTAAGTGATAAATTACAAATAGTTTTATAATGAAGTGATAAATTACCAATAGTTTTATACTTAAGTGATAAATTACAAATAGTTTTTATAATGAAGTGATAAATTACCAATAGTTTTATACTTAAGTGATAAATTACCAATAGTTTTATACTTAAGTGATAAATTACCAATAGTTTTATACTTAAGTGATAAATTACCAATAGTTTTATAATTAAGTGATAAATTACCAAAAGTTTTATACTTAAGTGATAAATTACCAATAGTTTTATACTTAAGTGATAAATTACCAATAGTTTTATACTTAAGTGATAAATTACCAAAAGAATTAAGTGATAAATTAACAATAGTTTTATAATTAAGTGATCAATTACCAATAGTTTTATAATTAAGTGATAAATTACCAATAGTTTTATACTTAAGTGATAAATTACCAAAAGAATTAAGTGATAAATTACCAATAGTTTTATAATTAAGTGATAAATTACCGAAAGAATTAAGTGATAAATTACCAATAGTTTTATACTTAAGTGATAAATTACCGAAAGAATTAAGTGATAAATTACCAATAGTTTTATACTTAAGTGATAAATTACCAATAGTTTTATAATTAAGTGATAAATTACCAATAGTTTTATACTTAAGTGATAAATTACCAAAAGAATTAAGTGATAAATTACCAATAGTTTTATAATTAAGTGATAAATTACCAATAGTTTTATAATTAAGTGATCAATTACCAATAGTTTTATAATTAAGTGATCAATTACCAATAGTTTTATAATTAAGTGATAAATTACCAATAGTTTTATACTTAAGTGATAAATTACCAATAGTTTTATACTTAAGTGATAAATTACCAAAAGAATTAAGTGATAAATTACCAATAGTTTTATATCTAAGTGATAAATTACCAATAGTTTTATAATGAAGTGATAAATTACCAATAGTTACCAATAGTTTTATACTTAAGTGATAAATTACCAATAGTTTTATACTTAAGTGATAAATTACCAATAGTTTTATACTTAAGTGATAAATTACCAATAGTTTTATAATTAAGTGATAAATTACCCATAGTTTTCAACTATAACACAAATCGGCATCATCTTGGTAGTCTGTAGAACAGTCATCCGTAATATGGCGCCATATATGACACCAGACTAAAAAACCATTCATTCCATTATTTCACTTACTTCGAATAAAATTTATAAATATACCTGACTTTAGAAGAGTATAATTCGTAGTGACGTCACACCGGAAGCTGTCAATGACCTCACGGATTAAGTTAGATCTATCGTCGTCTTTGATACAGTATATGAATTTCTGAAGATCTGGAAGCTCTGTTAGATTCCAAATGCGTCTGTGTCGTGTATGAGCAGGATGTTGGAAGTCCTAGAAGAGATACAAAACAACGGATACGAAAGGGAATGAGTTAAAGCATTGATATATACGTGGTGTGGTTTTAGTCTGGTATCAATCACATCCAGTTCTTCCCTGTTAAGTTACCTCTGAAAGTCAGCGGGGAAAACTACACTTTAATTTTGATTAATTACAAAATAAGTCCAGGAGAACTATCAACTGCATTACCTGCCTTATCTACAACATTTTCTCCGTTATGTTATGCTCGTTAAAACTAAGGCAGCACTCGGCACACCTCGGCCATTTCCATTCCTTTGATAAAGTGTACCGATTGCTAAGACAGGCCAGGGCCTCCGTTTTGACCAAAAGTTTGAAAAAACGACGCTGATTGATCAATTCTGTCAACGAATCGTTGGTTAGACTTGAGCATAGGAACGTTCTCTTGTTTCTCGTGTGCCAAATGAAGCACCCATTTGTCATGATAAATGTATCTGAACTCATTTGAAACGGTTTATTTCAAACATTCAACATTCACAAATAACATGCCCAAGTTTTGATCGATAATTTGATGCTGAAAATAGCAATGTCATGTACCTGTTAAGGTGGCAGACGTAGTCGGCCACGGAAGGTAAGTGTTCTCTCTACGGCCACGGAAGGTAAATGTTCTCTATACGGCCACGGAAGGTAGGTGTTCTCTTTACGGCCACGGAAGGTAGGTGTTCTCTTTACGGCCACGGAAGGTAGGTGTTCTCTATACGGCCACGGAAGGTAGGTGTTCTCTTTAAGCTACAAAGTCACTGATTTATCAATACAATCTGACCGTGACCTCCCAAAGTTGAACGTACTGTTGAATTCGGCATCGAGGCGGGACTTGATGTTAGATTTTGCTCATGTAGAAATATTTATGCAGTTTAAGGTAGATTTTAATTGTCAGGGAGACACGTCAATAAATTCAATACTAAAAGCAAGCAGTACATCAAGTATTCATCTTATTTTGTACATATTTGATGAAAGGTTTGTTCCCCGAAACATGTTATTTACATATTTTGTTGTTTTCACAAGATTCCAATGTAGAATGTTTTATGTTTGTATTTATTTAGGCCTAAATGAGACCATGTAACTCGTGTCCAATCCTTTTGTTCATCGATAATAAAATATGTTTTAAAAAAAAACAACATGTGTTTTGACTCCTCTATCAGTAACCACTGGCGACACTAATGAATGGTCTTTCCAAAATGGCAGACGTATTGTAGTACAATAACAAAAACGAAAAAAAGTATTTTCACTTCAGTGCACCGATTTAAGTAAATGGGGATTAACTTATATTTCCACCAAAGACATTTAAAAACAATGCTTTATCGTAATATTATAAGTGATTGTGTATATGAATTACACTCTTCGTGACAGAATTGTCACATTTAAGACGATAAGCTTTCAATGTATAAATAGCTTCCCGTCATTTACGAAACGTAAACATGCTTTGTGAACAGATAACATATCCACTCCTATGACAATTGCGAATCTAATTTTATAAACTAAAACTTATTACTCTTGTTGGCGCGAATGTAAGCGCGCGAGGGGTTTGATTGTGGGAGGAAGAGGAAAAGGGAGTCTACGTAAAAAAAAGCACGTGTTGGGGAAAGTTACGTACGTTCGGGAGTGCGTTACCAGATCTAAGAGGAATGACATACAACAAAGTGACAGGTAATGTCCCTATTTATGTTCTGTTAAAGTACAAAAACAACCACAAGCGACGTTACAGCTATATTTAAATGAATTTGTAAAACACATTGAAGTTTTAATATACGCATCATTTGACAATTTAACAAGATCTAAGTTATAAAAAAATTCCGCTTGATGATTATGCAAAGATAGGATTAAAGCATATTTCAACTGGGTGGTATCTATTGAGGAACACTTCGTGAGGATATCAATACAAATGAAAATCAATTAAACTGGGCCCACTTTAAAATACAAATCGTTCTTGTACAAAGTATGGAAGGTCGTTACGTAAAAACAACCACGTGACAATCTGCATACTCAAATGAACAAGTGCATAGTAAGCACGTTTACAGGAATATATTTACATTTTGACTTCGCTCCGCCTCAATGAAACTAGTAATGTCACTTCGTTGCATTTCCCAATGAAAGAAGTGGGTCGCGTGCTTTTTTCTGAGCGACGAATCACTTTCTGTCGGCGTAGGAATACATTGTTTACTCAAATCACACCTCGTAATATAGTTAACACTGCGAGGTAAAAATAATATTTCTGAATATGTTAGCTATTTTAATTATAAAAAACATTATTAATATTTGCTATGAATGACCATTTCATATTGGATATGTATATATTCAAGTGTATAAACATGAAACAATTAAAATCTTCTAAGAACTATTGTTTTTGTTGTCTTGACGACGAGAGCAGCTTGATGACTGCTGTTCCAAATGTGTACACACGTGTACGATAAGTACAACAATGTTGCAAACCATCACTGTCATGTAGTGCAGAGTCCGTAGAAGGCATAATGTTTCAGCCGGAATTTCAAAATAGTAAATGTAAATATAAGGATTGATTGTTTATTTTGTTGCTTGCATGGACTGATGAAGGGAAGTGAACCTCGTGCAAATGAAGTGAAATCCTTAAAGCGCGATGTCGCACGTGCTTTTCGCTTTCCGTAACCTCATCTCACAGGTTGAATGCTGGTGTATAGTCATCCGACGGCTGTGTAGTGTTGAAACCGAGAAATCATCTATAGTATTTTCCCACTTCGGTTCGGCACCCATCGTAAATGATTACAATGTTTACAAAAAGTGAATTTAATTTTTTTATTTATACAAACGCACGCACGATATCGTCTTGAATCTTTCTCAGATAAGCTGGTTTTTTTACTTTTGAAGAAAAACAAACTTTTTTTTGTTGTTTACGTGTGTGTAATCTGCATTTTTACATATATTTAAGTTGAAATATATGTTTAAAAATGCAGCCTACACACAAACATAAAACAAAAAACGACAAATAGTTGGAGTGACCTACCATTAGGGCCTTGTCCAGACGACCTGTGATTCGCCCTATCTGTGACAGTAGCGAGGCGGTGTAGGGAACTCCAAGGAGGATACGACCTGGCAGATATTCTAGGAGGCGGACAGCACACCACAGGACTGAAACCAAAGATGCAGAAATTGGAGCACGTTCTCATGTATTTTTTAATCTCAATTTAAATATTTATGAGATATATCTATCTATATATATACGATATTGATTAAGAAACTGCAATAAGACTTGGTAAATCGCATAGGGTTTCTTTAGTACAAGTGTGATCCCAAATGCCCCATATCGTCGCTCTTGAATTGATTTTATCAATATCGGTTTCTAATTTATGAAAAGCCAGCGTCATTACCGGTTAAAACACAATCCGTAAAAAGTTGCACCTTGCTAGGGTTCGTAGTTGAATGCTATTGTTGATGATATAATATTTCTCGAAGCCTGAAAGCATTATTTCATGCAAAGACAATGCCTGCAAAATTCATGCAAATCACGGTGTACTGAAAAAGGAAACTGTTTTGAGATTTGTAATAAAATGTACCACTCGCCTTGGTCTTTATTTGATTTATTGTCACTTGTGAACCTCTCTAGTGACATCAGTTTGCCATTGACATTTTTTACTAGACGTGGGGTCGGGATCCCTTGGTCTGCCACGTGTAAAATCATTCCATTCTGTGCCTCTAAATGTTGAATAAGATCAGAACATTTAAAATACAAGATTCCAGTGAACAATACTGGCTGTGTCATAACTCTACAATAATTACTTATATAAAGTTTTGTATCTGGCTTAAAATTGGCAAAATAACCGTCATTTTTAGAGAGCCTAAAGGTGTCCAATATTTCTAGCTTAATAAAAAAAATCATAACAGATAACGGACAGAGAGAGAGAGATAGAGAGAGAGAGAGAGAGAGAGAGAGAGAGAGAGAGAGAGAGAGAGAGAGAGAGAGAGAGAGAGAGAGGAGAGAGAGAGAGAGAGAGAGAGAGAGAGAGAGAGAGAGAGAGAGAGAGAGAGAGAGGGGCGACAATTATATTTACATACCTACATAATCCTCGTCTCTCGAATCCAGAGAGTTTAGCACCTTTAACACATAACCATGAAAACACACATTTTTGATATGTTCGTTGGCCGTTTCCATGGATACAGTTATAAGATAGTTCCTGTCATCGTAACTGTTCAGTTCTTTCCCTTCTGTAACATCCAAATCATACAAACGCTTAACAAGTGTCGAAACGAGGTCGAGGTCAACGTTCGGTCGAATGACTTCACCTGGATTGATAACAGTTCTCTCATCTTCAGACATGTCTGTAAAAAAATCAAAATTTAAACATCAGTGATAGAGCAGAAGTTTCGACCAGGGCACATAACCCATAATATTCCTCATTTGAGGTCAGTTGCTTGATCAAAATGCACCAACATTAGTGAAAATGCATTGAATACTCTTTGTTTGACGGCATTTTAAACCAGTTCAGTGCCATAGAGCCGAATATATTTTGAGGTGATGTTGATGCACATGTAATCTTGGATAGAACTGGTATATAGGGAGGCAATAGCAACATACTGCAATAGAATTATACGTCACGTACTCATATTGACGTCACGAAAGGGTAATTAATGACGTTATAAGCACAGCAATGATGACATGATCTTGACATTAAAGATTATACAGCGGTTTCGCGATTTCCCAATGGACCATACAGTACCTCACCATTGTACAAGTGTAGTAGATAGGACAAATGCTGTTATGTCCTCAGGATCGAAAGATCTGGAGCATATTGTTTTTTGTGCTGTCTGTTTGTTTGTTGTGAACTTAAACTATTGCAGAGTAAGAGGTAGGACTTTCATATTTGGCATGTGGGTCACTTGTAACAAGACCTTTCTGGTGGTACCAAAATTTGACCACGCGGCATTGACCGTTTGACCTACATTTGAAAGTAAAAAAAAACAACGAAGACATGAGTGTTTTCACAAAGTGCAATTATCACATACCTTATACAGTTCAGTTTTAATGTCCAACTTCACAATTGTGTTGTAATCAGGGGCATAGCGTTTCATAAACACTTCCTGTTATTCCACGGATATCTATTTCACAACATGGCATGTTGTCTATTATTATTGTCATTGATATTTAGGCTTGACTACACTGATATCCTTTTAATACTGTACAAAAACACGAAAGCACCTCTAAAAACATGTGCAGATTTATAATTAGATTTAGCCGAGGCCAATAAGGAAGTGAATCGCATATCGTACTGCTGTTTCGTCCTTATAGGACTCATCGGTAATGTTAAGAACAAGGATTGAACTATTGAATTATTGGTGTATTGCAATAAAGTTATTTCTCTCATATCTCGCCATGTGGTATAGAGTTTGTTTTATAAAGGGAGGGATTCTGACTGAGATAGAAATATATTCTCGGACAGATAGTCAAAATCCTTTTAATTAGATTCATATAGGAAATGTTTTCCATACAAGTCGATGTCGAGCTGACAAGAGTTTAAGGATTCTGTTTGCCTTTACACATTTTTGTTGACATATTCTGTTCCACATGTTATATCAGATTTACATATACAATGTAGAGGTTAATGGAGACTACATGTAGATGCTGTTCCACCATCAGCATCTTGTAAGAAAGCGTTCTACTCAACTGTACCATAAAACTCCGTGGTTCTCCATTTGACCTTATGATGTTGCTAGGATATGACCAATCAAGGCAAGGACAAACATGCTTGTATGAAATGTATAAGTTTCATTTGACCTCGTTATTTACATACAGCTATATATAGAGACAGTGTTGGCCTGTTTGGCAAGTAATTTTCCTCTACCTGACCAGAATTTTACAACCTGCAAGGTCTGTCGACTTTCTAGATGCATGAACATGTACTGATAACTTAATACTACACGTGTACATACAAAAAAGGCCTTACTTGCCGTGTAACCCTTGTCTGGTAGATCGTCCCGTCAGCGCCGTCTGTATGACACGACCTATATATAACACCATGGGTCTTGATGCGTTACATATATCGCTATCAGTTAACACTGCAGTGTAGATAAACTAGAGGCCTACGGGCATCAACGGTCATCCGCCTCTGAAGGCCTATATTTGAAAGAAGCCATATAGTCCTAAAATAAATTGCTCAACTACTCTACAGCTTACAAAGAAGACATTTGTTGGTTTATAAAAACAGTTTCTGCAAACTTGAATCTATATTCTTTACACATGCTATTACGCAATCGCAACTACTCCGAACCTATTGCTTGTTGAAAAAAAAGAAAGTTTAAAATTTACTTCACCCAAGAGATTCGTTTGAAGATTATAACACATTTGACCTATGTGACCTTTAAAATAGTCAAGAACACGAACAGAATTGATAACAATCCCTCCAAACATGCCACAGGCCCAAATTTAGCACATTGGACATCTCGGTTTCTTGCGAAGAAGTCGTTTAAAGATTTTTACACACTTGTTCTCTGTGACCTTGAAAATCGGTCAAGGTGATTCATTTTAATAAACTTGGTAGCCCTTCATCCTATCATGCTACAAGCCCAATATCATTACCTTTTTGTTATTGAAAAGAAGCTGTTTCAATATTTCAACACATTCGACCCCTATGACCTTGAAAGTTAGTCAATGTCATTCATTTTAAGAAACCCAGTAGCCCTTTATCCCATCATGCTACAAACTCAATATTAGCACCATGGGACTTTTGGTTATTGAGAAGAAGTCGTTTAAAGATGTTCACACATTTGTCCCATGTGACCTTGAAAATGTCAAGGTATTTCATTTTAACAATCGTGGTGGCCCTTCATCCAGTCATGTCACAGGCCCAATATCAGCACCCTGGGCCGTTTGGTTACTGTTATTAGAATAGAAAGTTTACGCACGCACACGGCGTACAGCGCAGTTGTTGAACAGCAAATTGATATATGATCCTGTTTACTATTCATGTTTAGCGGCTGCAGAATTAAATATCGTTTTGGAATTTCGTCTGAGAATTTGGGTTTATCTTCATGTCATTTAACTGATATAGATCGTGATTACAGCATAATGCACCCGAATACTCAGCATTTGTCCTTCATGTGCTGTTTTTATTGAAATTACGAAATTGCAGAACTTATGTGACATTTTTCACACGAAGTTTTAATGATGACAAAATACACATTGCGTTCATTCTTCATAGCATACATATATTGTAGTTACCCAAGTGCTATGAACAAAGATTCAACTTTATTTTTAGCCAGGAATGTATGATGTAGAGGGATAAAATATTAGGCCCAGTGGTGACTTCTCTCGAATTAGCTTCTGTGTTTGTGCACTGAACTGTGAAATCTGTATTATGTTATTGCATCAGATATGATTATACAACTGTATATTACCTTTGTTATACTCAGTTTATTTAAATCTACCAATATAGTTTACAATATATACTGAGGTGCAAAAGTAAGTATACATGCGAAAAATGCGTTTCTTTTTAAGATTAAGAGAAAGATCGGTATAATTTATAAACATTATATTCCTGACACAAAATCATATTCTGCGGGAAAACAAACGAAAAACCATCCAAGCGTAAAAACCATCTAACCGAATGTTGCTGTTTTTCTAGCAGTGCACGCTATCGGTGTGTATCGTGTTACCTGCGCTTACAACTGTACCAGGGACGTACCCTGGCAATTCGCCATTGATAATTGACAAATACAGATATGCCACGACTTACAAAGGAACAAAGAGAAAGGGCAGTTGTATGGTGGCTGATTTCTGCTATTTCGTTGTTTCGTTTTTCGCCCCGAAAGAACGATAATGATCGTCTTTTCGCCCACGCTAAATATCGTCTTTTCGCAGCAATATAACGAAAAGACGACAAAACTCAACGCGATAAAACGAAAATCTACCAATACAGTTTATATATATCTACCAATAGAGTTTATGTATATCTACCAATATAGTTTATATATATCTTCCAATATAATATATATATATATATCTACCAATATAGTATATATTTATCTTCCAATACAGTATATATATATATATCTACCAATATAGTATATATTTATCTTCCAATATAGTATATATATATATATCTACCAATATAGTTTATATATATCAATATAGTATATATATATATATATACAATATAGTATATATATAAATCTACCAATACAGTTATATATATCTACCAATACAGTTTATATATAATATACCAATACAGTTATATATATATCTACCAATACAGTTTATATATATCTACCTATATAGTTTATATATATATCTACTAATACAGTTTATATATATCTACCTATATAGTTTATATATATATATATATCTACCAATACAGTTTATATATATCTACCTATATAGTTTATATATATATATCTACCAATACAGTTTATGTATATCTGCCTTTGCAGTTTATATATATCTACCAATATAGTTTATATATATATACCTATATATATATCAACCTATATATATATCTATATGTATATGTATACCATCGAAATATCAGATGGTTGCTATTTTTATATACCTGAGTGAGTTTGAGAACTGGTTAAATGTTCCGATGTCACGTTCAGAGAAACAGAATATTCAGCCGTTGAAGCTTCGATAAAACTTTCTATCATTTGTAATGATAATGCTGAAATAATTTCATGCAGAACTGATTATTAATAACTCACATTACATATTGTGATCAATGAAATTCTTTGTCTCGTTATTTCAGAGGGATTCAGAGGAAATGAGCCGCGTTTGGAATGCACACAATGTCCGCCCAACAATGAACCACACCAGTACACATGATCATCATCGTCACGTACATGCTACAACACTCGCTGTTATCTACATATGTAGAAGAAACTGTAACTGAAGTATGTAAAAATAAATGGATATTTGAGAAGAACTGGCCTGTGAAGAAGACATCCGCGAGCTCTCATTCATAAGTAACTACCCTGTCGACATAAGCGGAAATCAAATCAGCCAAGCATGAAATGTAGGCAAACATGAGACTTCTTGAGTTATGTAATATTTGCTGTCAACATAAGTTTCAAATTGCTTATAACAAAAAATTATAAGATATGTGAAATACAATTCATACTCAATACTGCACCAATAACGTGCAAAAGATCTCATTAATGTCCCGTCTCATTTGATAAAGCTTGCCCTGAGACATGTAATATACTTCCAGGAATCCAAACAGATCAGGTCCCACTTGTATAAAACATCTCAACTTGAGATTTCCTCAAGTCGAGATTTTCCTCAGCTGATATCTCCTCAAAAACGGCTTGTATAAAATTTTCTCAAGGAACAGGAGGAAGTCATCGGCTAGGATGTCCTGAAATTCCTTGAGGAATTTTCATACAAGATATTTTCAAGGAGATATAAGCTGAGGAAAATCTCGACTTAAGGAAATCTCAAGTTGAGATGTTTTATACAAGTGGGACCTGATCTGTTTGCTCGACATGACACTAAGTTACAAAATGTGAAGACACGAACTCCATCAACCACACATTGCTTTCCAAAGCCCGGAAACCATAAAGCTTTCATATGTCTTAGCTATACCTCATAATGGAAGTAAACATAGACACAAATACATCATTTCTATGTCATATTTACGAGATACATATACAGTTTTGTCATAATTAGATAATTAAGTCGAAATTATGAGATAACTACGTCGTAATAACGAGATAAAAATATTTCAAGTGGCTTCCGTAGGAGTTTACTTAATTAAAACTCAGAAAACAAAAAGGAAAAATATGGCAATTGAAGTCCATGGTAAATCCATCGTATGCACAACATATGCAGCAATTGAGGACATATCGCGTCGCGCTTGCGCAAATTTCTCGCTTCATTTTTTTTTACTTTAGATTATATAACGGCATTGCATATTCACCTAAATAAAATCCTCTCTCTCTCTCTCTCTCTCTCTCTCTCTCTCTCTCTCTCTCTCTCTCTCTCTCTCTTTTCTCTCCCTCCTCCCCCCTCTCTCTCTCTCAGTCAAGTGCGCACACATTTGTACGAATACCTATATAAATATGTAGGGAGTTACTGTGTAACCCCAGTAAACTCTTCAAAATTGATAATGTATTATGTACCGACGCTATTTATATCCCCTCCCATGAACGCATGCTTATTATTTTCTCACAATATTGCCATCATCTGTGCACACCTCATATCTAAGACGTTTGTCTACGCCACCCAAAGTGAACCATGGACAACTCGGCTCGTCATCAATAAGTTTACCCGTGTCCTAGACACGTATAGGTTCCAACTGTACGCCCCAGAGCAGTGGACTTTCACACCTCGGCAGCAGACCTTTTTGTATCCCCCGCTCCCCATCCGTCCTATCAGAAATGACGTGACAATGAATGGCCAATTATAAATTTACTAATGAAGAGGTGTTACATGGGGTAATTTCCAAATTTCATTACTGCTACATTGTTTCAATCATTTAAGTAAACCACAAATTACCAAGCGGAACCTTTCCTTCACAATCCGGTCAACATATCAATTCAAATTTATATAAAAAAACACCATTTTGCTAAGGGTCGTATTACGGAGGGTAGTGGATGCTTTTCTGGTATTAGCTTTTGTGTCTGCTCATTGAGCCGTGAAAGCCTTCATTTTGTTAGTTAACTGTGTCCCGTTCACTACAAAATATATGCTGTCATTGCATTAACCGGTCTGACTGGAGCCAATTTGTCAAACAGTGAAAAGGGAATCTCATTTTCGTAACAGAAATAATACTAATAAACCAATATGACGGATCATTACAATCACATTGGCCAAACGAGATATTATTGAGATTTTTACGATCACTTATATCCCTCACTTTATATAGGTCCAGAGTCATCTAACGTTCATCGACTCCAGACCGATATAAAATATAGAACACCAGAATAACGCGAACTAGTGTATGTGTGTGTCGATGTGTGTTTGTAAAAAAACGAGAAAAAAACCAGCAGGTCAACATAATCGTAATCCAAACCCAAATTCCATAATATCAACAATGGAAAGATTTACATGGAGATTCCAGGAAAGGTACAAGGAGAATCACACCAGATGTTCCAGAACAGTGAGCGTCTTCTGCTTCGTAAGCGACACCCGCCTTATAAACCTTGGTCAATCCAAGTAAGTAATGTCACGTCCTCAAATGAGAACAAGATATACAGCAATGAAACCAACAAGCAAAATATCAAACACGTCCAGCATCATATCACACAAATATGTATTATGAGCTTGTTAGTCAGTTAACGACTTATTTCACGAAAATTGTGATAATAGGAACAGGCCCCTGAATATCGAATCAACTGCGACATAAAAACACCATAGATTAGGAGTGCAGGAATGTTGCTATCCAAAAATAGAACATTCACAGTAGGGAAATTGATATCATCACGTTTACAGCTTGATGGAAAGCTGTCCGTGAGGCATCCATGATTCAGTTGAAGCGTATTGAACCCTATGTTGATTTTATATAATCTGTTTCGATATTATTGTAGCATCGAATGGAAAGCATCGGTTTTTTTCAAAGTTGTGACACTCTCTGGTTTAGTTAACATGTCTGTTGAACGTGTATGTGTAGCATGTTCCAAGTGACTTTATTTGAAAGCAATCGATCCATCAACAGCCGATTTCCATGTCAGAGTATACCCCTTCTATTATACACACTTACCTACGTCACTCGCCTTTGTCCTGCCCTATATACGCCTCCCATCCCCTAACTACCGATTGCTAGGTTAGAGTATAAGGTAAGCAGTCTAGCCTATCACATTTTGGAGGCAGAACCTGCTTATATTCTTTGCTATTGTTCACCGTAAAAGTCTGGTAAGTTTATCATATTTTAAATATGCTGATGTACGCATTTCTTATCTGTGACTAGCGGTATTTCGTTTCTCTCTGATTACAGAGCTTTTCCGTGTTCAAGGCAGTTCTAAGTTGTACATTGTACTGCAAATGTAGAAATTCCAACTAATACCATACAAAGTTCGTGCAGATGCCACTGCTTCACATACTAAAGAGTGGGCACCCATTATTTTAACAATAATTATCCCATTTATAGGACGTTCTTTCGACGTAAACAGCGCCACAAAGAAGAATATGGCTACAGAAGATACCATCGATAAGGACCAGAATGTATCGGATTTACTATATACCGTGTCTGAGAGGCCACCACTTCACGTTACCATAGTTCTCTCATTCCAGGTAAGACACTTTTACCAACAGCAGCAATTAAAGAATTATGTCCAGAGCAGATTTTTTCTTTGTTTCTTTGCAATATTAGTAGAGGAAAATTTCTGATTAGCTACTACGAAACATCGTCATCAGATATTAAGAAAACAGTTATATCGTCATCGTAGTTGCATGGAAAAATCTTTCACGCTGAGTAGTTTAAACTAATAGTTGGGTGGTAAACATGTTATTAATATTTTGACGTTCCTTCAGATCGATTTCCTCTGTCACATGGTATGATTTAAAAATGTCTGGTTCTAAACACTAAGTTTTTCGAGTTTGTTTGTAATTTGGTATGAGGTGGTCGGATATGATATCTATTTATTGGTCACTCAAGATTATTCGGGTTATAACAGCTAGGAATTGTCTTAGCGCGCGTCGGAAGAGTTGTAATTTTTAGCATGGGCACAGAAAGAATGTTTTGAGCAGATTCTGTTTACTGCCAACGCATCGCAGGCTGGAACGATCGCGGTTGAAAAGTTCCAATGGTTTTCGATGGTTTAGCGATTAAGCAAGTAAGTATTTTGTGACTTCAATACTTAATTTCTGAATAAAGCTTTGTTCGTTATCTGAACCGACACAAACGTGACGATGCATATGAGAATAGACTGAGCCACTCGTTAATGTGCATGTTTGACGGCACATCTTATCGAGGTCACTTAGCCGACAAAGGAATACTTTGAATATGTAGCATATACTTATAACCATTGCAACATACATTCCTGTTGTTTAAACATGAATTAATTATTTGTGATATATCAAAGAAGAAATATATTGCTATCAAAGAAGAGATATCTTACTATCAAAGAAGAGATATACGGAGGAAGAAATCATAACAATGATCGAGATTTTGGTTGAGAACGTTTTAATCGACTTTGGTGGTCAGATCTTTCAACAGACTATTGACATACCTGCGCTCTGTTGGCTGTCTTGTTCTGTTTTTATACGAGATTGAACTTATTGAAGAGCTTATCAAAACAGGTCACAAAGACCTCGTTCTTTTCCTACAACGAAATCAACATGGACAGCTTTCCATCAAGTTGTATAATGAACGTGATGATAACAATTTCTCTATTGTGAATTTTCCATTTCTGAATAGCAATATTCCTGCATCTCCAACTTATAGTAATTACTCTTCCAAAACACATGGTCTTATGTTCCTTGCACTTTTCAGAAATCAAAACGTCCATATTATGATGATAGCAAAACTTTCCCGCCATTTTCATCAACCTGCATCTCTTAAAACCATGTGTTGTGAGTTTGTCCGTTAGCTTCCGAAATCATATTGAGAACAAACCTTGGAATATCAAATCGACTGCGACATGTAAACACCGCAGTAACATTGTGAGCGGCGCGTATGCCGATTTTATAGTGTTATCACACTGAATTATTCTGCCGAACGCACACTGAATGGAACTGAATCCAATCACATTATACTGACATCGTGCAAACCAGTCATCACGCTACCAGAAAATACGCGCTGGAGAAATGATATCAATATTCAATCGCTGTTGTGTATCGCTGCATGTCGTAAGAGGCGAACTAATTGTGGGGAAAACGAGGAGACAATGCGTCGAAGATCCGGAGAATCCGGTCGCTGTATTCCATCGCATGATCGACTTAAAGATGATCACGTATAAAATAGGTCTCTTCCGTGTCTTTTACAACGCGAATACCGAAGATCTTGACTTTTTAGGCTAGTCATCTGCTATCAAAAGGGTTTGATTGTTTTGCATGTGATGAATTATATCCCATATTGAAATATAAATATATATATTCCCAACAAGCTAAGACTTTCAGTGATTTCAGTACTTTTCTTTCTTTCTGTGCTTTATATTCCACTCTTGGTGTTCCTGTTTGCATCCCTCTTCCTGTGCTTTGGTTTCCCCTCTTGGTATACCTCATTGCATCACTGTTTCGGTGCTTTTTTCCCATTCTTGGTGTTTCTTTTTGCATCCTTCTTCCTGTGGAAACCAACATCCTAGTTTGCTCTTGGCTTGCTTCTTAGCTCTGATCGCAGATTCAATTGTACGTTATAAAACTCCTCTAACTGGCTTTACTCAGGTTATACTCCTGGTTTCAATGAAATCATTTTATCGATTGCTTTTTATCATTCATATTAATTTAAGTCAAAGTTAGATTGAGTGCTCATTTAAAAGGGCACTTTATAGGGTTATCATCAAATGTGAACTAATTAATGTTGATATAACGTTAAAAAATCAATCCATAACTACTTATATTTGATTTTAAGTTTATTTAGTATTAGAAGTAATTAATTACTTTACTATATGTATATATAGATCTTACATATGTAATTTTCCTTCTCCATTTGAGCAGCAGGTGCTGATATCACTGGCAGGTTCATTGGCTGTGTCTTCTTTCGTGGCCGACGCCGCATGCGCAGAGAATGACACCGATCTTAAATCGAGGTTACTGAGTTCCACTTTATTGATGAACGGAGTAACCACCTTGCTGATGGTTATTCTAGGAATAAGGTAAGTGTGTGTGATAGTATATTTCATAAGCAATCTACGTTAATCTTCTTATATTATTTATGAAGTTAACTACGAAGAACTAAGGGAATTTATCACCTGGATATCGTATTTTAGCTTGGAGTTATCCGTTCTAGCAACAACCAGGGTCATATGATGACGTGTTAGTCTGGGTGGACACCAAAAAGTTGAAACATAAAAACAGAGAGGAAGGAAAGCACCAGATCGCGAGTCACTACAACGTCATCTAAAAGAAGATGCAGAGGCTCAAGATTGGTCAGATCTCACGAGATACAGAGAGAACCGACAAGGCATGTTCTTTGTAAACTCCTGCGCTGCTCTCAAAGATTTCTGAACATAATACTGCAGCAGAAAAACGGTAATGAAGGTTCATGATGTATATGGTGACGTATGCAGGAGAAAAGACATTTATCCTGTCAGAACATTGTGCTGAAATAATGTTTTTGCCTTCCCTCACCCGCCTTGTTTAAAGATTCTTTAGCATTAAGATGACCAAATTTCATTTTTGGGCTTCTAAACATTCTTAGACAATTATGAAGCCTAACTTTGCCGATATTTGACATGCCTACTTTTTTCGTAAATCTTTAGACTCCCACTATACCAGGGTGCTGCAGCATTGTACATTGTTCCGCTCATAGCGATACAATCAGTGGACCCTAACAGATGTCTCTTATCAGGTAAGATACCCATTCGAAGCACCTAAGCTTCCGTTTATGTCTGAAATGCTTTCGTCCCTGTTTTTCGCCACAAAATTCAAAAATTCAATTGGCATATTTTTCTTTGAATTGTTTCTTCAGAAAACCTTTTTATTACGATACCAAAAGAAATACAACTATAGTCTATCGCAAGGCATATTTTTTCATAGCATTTATATTAGTCACATTGCATTACCTATAACATTTTTTGCCAAGGGAACTCTCAACATCAACGCCGAAACAGATGCAATGCCCAGTGAAGGTTTAGGTTAATGATGGCAAATTCGCTTCACACCTTGCGTAATATCGTCTAAGCATGTTCCCGAAGCTTAACTTCGTGGAGTAGAAAAACGATTATACAAATCAGAATTATTTTATGTAAAGTTGTGATTACGAAATTTTATCGAGAATTTCCATTATGACGCGTTATCCAACGAGTGGAGTTATGGGGTTCCAATAAAAAAAAATTCAATATGGTCTACACCAGCACTTCTTAACATAAGAATATATAATATGTTTTCATTTTACAATCTTATTTTACAGGGGATGATGTTTCAAGTAATTATAGCACCGTGTCCTATGAGGGAAAAGAAAGTCCGGCCTTAAAAGCTCTTGCTATGTTAAAAATCAGAGAGGTAATGATGGTATTCAGGGTTAAAGGTTATGGTATCAGTAAAGAGTTGGAAGTACTAAAAGTTCTTCTGTAACTTAGGTGCCAGAACCCTTACTGCGGTTTCAGTAACCCTAATATCACTGACTGAATCACCTGTATGGCTTTTACTTCATTGTTAGATCCTACTGTATCTAAGTCCATTAAAAATGCTGTTCACATATGTGGATGGTGTACAACTCACATCCACTGTCTTATGGTGTTGGCTATAGGAAAGTGTATATCTAAAAAATTATCACAATTTTTTTTAATGAATTGATTTTTACGAATTTGTTGTATCTTTGAAATTGATCTGGATTTAAAAAAAAAATGTTTTGCAAATCGATGGTTAATAGAAATAAAAAAAATACTGTTGTCCTTTTCCAACAGATGGCAGGCAGTCTGATGTTGGCGGGAATTGTTCATTTTTTCATTGGAGCGACAGGGTTGGTAGGGTTTGCCCTCCGAGTTATCGGCCCTGTCACCATCGTGCCCACTGTGCTTCTCTCTGGCCTTTATCTGACAAGGGCAGTCACCAAATTTAGCAAAACACATTGGGGAATAGCATTTGCGTAAGTTAGATTTACAAGTTTCTTATATATATCACGTGGTGCTTGCGCAACCGCACTCATGAAAATGCATTGATCAGTTTCGGCAACATGCTATAAAGATGGGTTTTGTTAAGAGCTCAAATTTTCGCAGATTTACAAAAAGCTTGAAGAAAAGCCAGATGTTTTTCACAGAAGTCATGAAACGGACTATAGCCCCTAAAATACGATTATGATACTAATAATTAATGTGACAATTAGGTCTAGATGCTGGAAAATAATCTGAAAAAAGTAATATACTAAGTATTTGAAATACTATCGAAGTAAAACAAAGAGAAAAAACGAAATGTAAACCAAACGTGTAAAGACGTGTTCCATCTTTACTCTTTCCCTAGAACTGCTGCCATGGCCATTATCATGTCAATCTACCTCAGTAAAAAGAAGACTCGGATACCGTCATGGTCGCGAGAGAAAGGCTTCCATTGGAATAGATATCCATTCCATCAAATGTTTGCGGTCAGTGCTTGGTTTCTTGACGTCCAATTAACTGGCCACTCAATAGCAATTTGATGGTTTAGCATCTATACTTTTTCACGCCAATTGTGGGGATTAATACAAATAGGTACTTGATATAGAGAGGATCTTACATGTGTTTTACAACACTGGATCAGTTTACGGCATAGAGTAGATGATGTTGCTATCACTACAGAATACAACATTTCAATATTGATTCGTTTTGGATTTTTATTTATTTTTTTCTTTCGACGTGGTGAGATTTTTAAGGCCAAACCACGCCATAAAAGACGCCCTCAAAAAGAAATAAATCAACTTGAATTGAAAAGTTATAAACATTATAACCACGTGGGAGCCGTTATCTTATTGTAAAGGTCTGTAGTTTTGTAATCAATGTAATTACACAGACGACAGATAATTTTTGTACTCGGTGTTATTGCATTGTCAACATGTACGGTTTGTTTTGTAGGGGAATTGGCTCTTGGTTAAAGCTTTGTACTGACCATACATTTCTTACTCACACGAATAGTGTAGGGAATGCATTTCTTATAACAACTAGTTATTGTTATAGAACGATATTCCGAAGGGCATGATTTTGTATAAAGAAATATATATACTCTTTTTGTACCAGTTCTCTCAGCGCTACATGACCTATCTATGTCGAATCGTTGTTGATCAATAAATCAATCAATATTGATTGGTTGTTAAAACCTGTCTAAACTTTGATGTTGGGAAGATTGATATCTATTATCCACAGATCATGATTGGGATGCTGTTCGGATGGGCACTGGCCGCTATTCTTACTGCTGCTGATGTCATCCCGTTTGACCCCAACAACGTCCAATTCAAGGCCCGTACTGACGCCAGAGGCGACGTAGTCAGAAATGCAAAATGGTTTTATTTTCCTTATCCGGGTAGCGTTTAATTTATACTTTAATTAGTTTTATATCCTTCAACATGTTTGATGTGGACATTAGGAATAAATACAGTAATAATTTACTTTGAGGAAATACATGTAATGAATCGTCTGTAAGTACAGATTATTCCAAAAATTCTCCGAAGTTCTATACCAACATTTGATTCACGATTGTTTCCAATTTTACCTCAACTGACTGACGTTATTACCAAGGTGTGTTGGAATCGTTTATACCAGTATTACATTATGATTTTAAGAAGAGGAAATTTGTGTCATGAAACTTGCAGATACAGATGCTAGGAAAGTTTAAGATATAATCGGGCCTTTGTGGACACAGCTTTTCCTGTTCCTACCGGAGAAATCCACAGTGATCCACTTACATTGTATCGTAAGAAAGTTCTGCTACAATGCAGAATTTATTGAAGTATTTATATATTTGATATAGAAGATTGAAACCTCTTCTCTTATTTTTTGTCATTTATGTATTATTTTTTTACGTTTGTTCTCGTCAATTAAAGGTCAATTCGGAAGTCCAATATTTGAAACTGGTGCGTTCTCAGCATTTCTTATAGCAACATTCATTTCTATTTTGGATTCTATCGGTGATTATTACGCTTGTGCAATGATATGTAACGTCCCACCCCCACCAACACATGGAGTTAATCGTGGAATAGCGATCGAAGGACTGTGTACAGCCCTGTCAGGGGCCATGGGATGCGGCCATGCTACTTCCACTCAGGGCGGCAACATTGGATCTATTGGAATAACAAAGGTACAATGTTGCTCCTTGCATTATTTCGGTGTTCGATATTGCAGTATAAATGTGTTTTTATATTTACGAATTCTAATACTAACACTTATCAAATGGTATTGTTAAACACAATTGATTTGTTTAACATGTAAATAGTATTAATGTATGTGTTTGTTATTGTTGTCTGTTTGATATTTGAATTTTATTTTAAAAATTAACACACATGTATACATGTATCTGTCAACATATACGTTAATGTACATACATTATTATCTGTCACAGGATAACTTCACATTTCATCAGAAGTTACTCCATGCATTTATATATACACAATTAACATCACAAGTATTACATGTAGTTGGAATCCATTTTGAAAAATATGATTTCACTTGAAAATTTCATCAGCAAATGACATCGCCTTAACTTAAAAAATAAAATAATGGGGACCAACTTATAGCTGTCTACATGATTATCTTGAAGTTATTATGATAGAGTATGGAGTGACATTTTTGGGTATGCGAAGGCATGCTCTGATCCACTTTGATGTACCAGTACATGGCTTATTAGCATAATCTGTTGTGTTATACGTGCTTAGAATGGTTCATGTGTTTTTAGTTATAACCTTGAAAAAAGAATTCCTTTAAGAATCGCTATTATTCTATGGGTATACTTATTTAATTCTGTACAATATATTCTAGTTTCTTCATCAATGTGGTCAGTTAAATTCTATCGAGTGGGACACGGTTACAAATTTTCAGCTTGAGGAAAATTGTCTTTTTTTTTCATTCCAGGAGATGAAATGTAACTTTTATTCACCGGGAAGATAGGAAAATTCTTTTTGTTTTATTTTCTGACATCTCTCCAAAATACTAGGATAAACACGCCAGCAATGGTTATATGGGTGTTCTGTTATCATATCTTTACCTCTCGTCCGCTGAAAGACCGAAAGGTCGTAAAAAGTGGACGTAAAACCCGTTAATAAATAAATACATTACCTTACCGGATAATATAGTTTAACATCTAAGACATAGGTCCTCATATAATCTAACAAGAAGTAAGTCGATTCATTTTATTTATCACTGCCATAGTGGGATCGATACATTTTTACACCAGATCGAGATTTCCCGACCACTTTAAAGAGCTGTCTATTATCCGTTGGAAATGCTTTATATTTTCACCGTAATGCTTTGTATTTCTGTCGAACTAACTGTCTGGAGAGACATTCTTATATCGATTCAAATGAATATTGACATATCTTCTGTCTGTTTGTCTGTAAGGTTCTTTGTAGTTAAACAAAAAACGTGCATGCGTGCAAATCCCGTCTTTGGGACTAATTTGCATTAAAATTGGCATGACAGGACAGACATCATCTGATATCTTTTAAATTAATAAAAAATGTATATGTTACATTGTATAGTTTGGAAACACAAACATAGTGATAGACATGGCGATATTTCAAAAACAGGAATTATATATAAATAATTAACTGTTTTAATGATAAATAATAATAATGAACTAGGCTTAAAGATTAAGTAAAACTATTTTGAAATGTAATATATATACTTTACGTCACAATATCGTCTCGGTAAAACTTATATTGAGATTTATACCAGGAATGAACTAAAACACTGATTTGCTGTTTTTGTTTATATAAAAATTCAGTTTTAGATGAAGTGAATAAACCTATCTATAAAAGTAACACACGATATTACAAAAGTGTAATGTGTACCACGTTATATCGTGATCAATTCTCTTTGACATAATGATCGTCTTTTGCATTGTTCTCATTTATGGAGTAAAACTGCCCAAGCTATAAACATAACATACCAACTCGATGAGACTCTGATAGATGATGTCCTTGTCATTTGTAGGTTGCCAGTCGAAGTGTGTTTCTCGGCGCCTCCTTCCTATTCATTCTGTTCGGTTTGGTGGGTAAGGTATCTGCCATTTTTGTGACCATGCCTCACCCAGTGCTAGGAGGAGGGATGCTCGTCATGTATGGCATGTTTACGGGTGTAATCCTGTCTAATCTTCAAGTGATTTCCCTAAAGTCCACCCGCAATCTCGCTATCATCGGGATTTCTATCGTGGCAGGTTTGATGGTTCCTCGATGGATTGAAACAACGCCCAATGCTATTGACACAGGTTGGTCACAATGTATCATTTCGCCTTCATTTTACTAATCACTTCACATTTGTAGACTTTTTGTTTTCATTTCCAGGAATTTTTGTGACAAAGCTACGTGGGCCTTCATGGCTTTTACGTTTCGTTTACTATGGAGCTGGTGCATCTTTCCATCTAGGGGTTGGCAATAGCTGCCTTTCGAGTTAGATCCAATTCTGAAATTTTCTCAAACTTACGCCAGTCACGTAGATTTTAGAACTAGACATCTCTAGTCTGTGACGGTAACTGTTGAAGAATGGAATTAAGCAGTAAGATATTGTGAATAGATTTAGTAACGACGGAATAAGAGAACAGACTTATCACATAACAGACAGGAGGTACCATTGTTTCAAACTCCATTAATTGTCCGAGCGCTGAGAAACTAGCCCAGACTTATTTGTAGTATTACACTACAGATTATCACATAAGAGATTCGTCCATTCAAGATTCTGTTTGAAACTTTGTGATATGCTTGATAAAACATGCGTTTACCGAAAAGCAAAAAGAGCTAGGGATAGCAACATTTCCGGAGGAAGGGAAAATTTAATCACCATCCAACTCCAGAAAACTCTAAAAAGGCAGATATTCATAAAAATATTTTACATATTCGTTAAGAATGAAAATAGCACTATGAAGCCAAAAATCATCATATCACTACATAAGACGACCTTTCCATATCAGTTTTAGAATGATGGTAATGATACATCTTTTCCATGGGCTTTATAAATATAAATCTACCAAAACGTTTTACTGAAATTCGTCCATTAGCATTCGGTATTTATCAGAAAAAATGTGACATTTGTAACATTAACCTGTGTGCGATTCTATTATTTTTATTAGCAACAATATAATAGTAGTAGTATAATAGAACTGATGAGGTCGATAGTAAGTGATCGTTACCCTTCCGGAAGCGGAAACTACTGATTATATATTTTCTTTGTAGTTTCTGATGTTCTCTAGACAACCTTGCTTTCTTTGGTTGATTTATTGCCTCCTATATGTCACGTTGCAGGTCTAAATTCCATGTACGACATTGTTTAAAAGGTCAGAGAAAGCACCTCTCATTACTTCTTTCAGGTAACTTAACTGCAGATAAGATACTAAAGGTTCTTCTAGCCAATCCAAACCTGACCGGTGGCATCATATCATGTGTTCTTGACAACACTACGCCAGGTAAGGACATCTTTGGGTTCATCTCACTATGGATGTAAAGATACATACATTCGTGATATACGTATGGAGGTACAGTAGTTACTTTACAGAGCACTTTTTAAAAGTTTTCTTTCGAACGCACCTTTACACTGGCAGTGTTTTTAGCCACACAGATTCAAATGGAATGTTTGCTTCATGCGAGGTAGAAATATATTTTGAATATATACATTTTTTTGCATTAATCACACATTGTCCAGTCCAGTTCACTGTATCCTTTGGTGTACTCACTCAAATGGAGCAAGTCTTGACTAAAAACTTCGCGATGTACCTTTGGAAAAAATACCATACAATCAGTACAAACAGAGTACAAATTAAAAGATATATAGCCAAAGGGATGCTTGTACATGTAACAATATCGGTGCTTAGAACTGAAATACACTGTAGTAATTAGTTACATGAAGCATTCTTTTTCACCCCTTTTATGTTGTTAGCGACACTAAAAGAGAGAGGAATTTCTACATGGCGTTCCCAACAAAACAATGCTAAACACAACGAGGAGGAGAAAAGCGAAACATTTATCGTGGATAAGATATCGTATAGTGAGGGTTTGGAGGTGTATAACCTACCGTTCTCCATCAAATGGATTCCATACAAAGTGCTGAAATACATACCATTCCTGCCTCGACAAGACAATAACCAGGAGATATTTCCAACGCCACAATTCAGCGTATAATATATAACATGCAAGACACATTTTGAGGAAAAAATTCTGTTCAAATATAGTTCTACTTCAACAATCATACTCTCGTCATTAATAAAACTAAGAGATGTTTTATCTTACTTATTTTTTCGTGTATTTATATTTTCATGTTTTTTTGCGCTAAATAATTTTATTTTGGAAATTCAATAATTATGAAGATAGCTCTTATTTGTTTAATGTTTTTTAAGATGTTTAAATCTAATCGTCGAATTTAATTAAATTCCAAGTTAAAAGGATTAAAAGCTAAGAAATAAAGAATTTAAATATATATACTGAGTACTCTTCAAATAACAAATTTGAACACCGAGGCATTTCCATGAAACTAATAACGAGTGTGTGAAATTCGGTCTCTACACATTGTCGCTATTTCTCGTCCGCTGAAATGCCTAAAGGCCGTTAAAATTTTATGTTACATATACTTAAATTAATAGTGCGAGGGTGTACTTGTACGTCCTTGTATTACTACATGTATGTGCTCGTGCATGCGAATACCCGGTGTACTGTTCTTTTCTTTCATACAGTCTGGATTTTTTTTGTGTCTTGTTGAGTTGTATAACTCTTCATGCTTGGAGGAAACGAAGGTAAAAAAAATAAGATAAAAGCATGTACGATACTTTAATGAAACTGAGTGTCACAGTATTTTTTTATTTAGGCATTTATTTATAAATTTATTTAATGTTAAAACTATGAATAGCTGCACACCAATTCATACTTCAAATGTGACTGCAAATCGAAACCATACTTCTCATACATGTACATGTATTATCGTGTTAATATAAAAATGTATTAAGTATCACTTAAAGCTAGTGTTTTATTAGAAAAAAGGATACAGGGTACCTGTATTTCGTCAAAGGCCCTACTTTTATGGATACTTTCCATAAATAAGATCCGCTGTAATATGAGATGGTTATAGCAAAAATAACCTACTTGAATAAAAGCCAACATTTTGTTTAGATGTATGCAGCAGGATACCAAAAAGTCACCAGCCACATATCATTAAAGATTAGTATACTGGGTTGTAACAGCATTGTCAGTACATGCAGATTCCAGATTATCTAAAGCATTGATAAATCCTTCAAACCTGGTAAAAAAATCTGACATGGCTGGCCCAACACATATACGTGTACACCCGAGACCTAAATGCTGAATTTGTAAAAATTATCAAATGTCTACTGTTCAGTTACCTATGACCACCTTGATATGAGAAGATTATAAATTGATGTAAATACTGGGTAAATATGAATAAAATCTCTATAGAGATTGTCAATATACATGTGTGACATTGTTTCAAAACTGGAAAGAACGTGATGGATGGGACAGACGGGACAGATGGGAGGACATTCCTCTCTGAAAGGCAGGAGAATGAAAATGAACTTAAAACAAGACGTTTGGACACAATCTTTCTCTTTCATTTATTCATCTGTAAAAAAGTAGCTCCGTACAAATTTCGACAATCATTTCTACAATGACAATTGGTGTTAAAATAGCAATTCCAATACATATATATGCATGAATGACAAAAGACACACACATATCTTTTTCAAACTCCCTTCTTTCATTGCTATAGAGGTATCACTATACAATACCTTTAAAAGAGGTGGTTGGAGGCGTGTTTTGTCAGGTTTGGCTTTAGCACAAATACTTAAACCTGAAAATTTGACTTCATAAGAACAATTCTTTAAGATATAGCTATTAAAAACATTAATAAAGCTACATAGAGGTTTCATTGATGAATGGCTCTATCATATAGTTATGTAAAGAGAATTACTGTTTGAATTAAACAATCTTACAAAAAGCAGCATTACAGGTGTAAATACAGACCGTTATTTCTACCTTAATTAGTTATAATTAACTTTATTTAATTAAGTTATAAGATTTACCCTATAGCGTTCTACTGGCTATTGATATCTACCTACATATACTGTCATGGACAGCTAGGTCCAGTTACTCAGTTTAAACATTTTAATTGGTGTTACTGAAAAATCAAGGACTGTCAATGTGAAATTGACACTCTAAAAATGTCAATCTGACCCGTCTCAACAAATCTACATTTGTGAAATGATGGAGAATGTTCCAAGTTTTGTTTCATTGATATTTGAAAATTTTCAATAACAAGTGATTACCTATAACCAAGCTTTGAGTAAGTGGGGCCCAATGCCATAGAAAACAAGAGGTCTACTATGTAGAAAAATGACATACCTGTACATAAAAGAGAGGTTTTCAGTACAACACAAAAAGTCGTCAAACAGAAAAGTTGATACAAATTGGTAATATAATATAAACTGTCATGAGAGGACATAAATAAAAGGTTTAGTGTGTAGTAGGAATATCACAGATCAACATAGACTTATCACAAATATCTAATGTAGGTGGAAAGTCAGAAGCAGGGCAATGGCAAGGTTCTGAACCCCAAACTATACCCGAGGGAAGAATGTCCCACTTACCTACATATGGGTGACTATTATTCTCCCACCCCTTACATGAATATTGATGAAGCAAGAAAAGGTACAGTGCTGAATATTTATATATGTAGCACAATTTCTATTTGTTATACATATAAAGTAAAGCCATATTTGGCGAGATCAATCAAAATTAGGGCATACCAGAAGTATACCTTAAATCTAAAGAACATCCCAATGTCTTCTTGACTCAACAATCATCTTCCATATCATAAATCAATATGGTGGCAAAAAAATTGGCAATACTGCGTAGGGTATTTATCTCCCTTTTTTCCATTTATCCGAGCACTAGTCCTCTGTGCTTATATCAGGTAAGGTACAGTAATGAATAAGGAACTTGTGTAATAGTGCAATCTGTTCATTCGATGGAGTCAGCTGCAAACAAGGTCGTCATGAGCGGGTAAAAAGTGTTCTAACAAATATTGATTCTGACGTCATTCCACATAGGTGTTTCACATGGAATGAGAGTATCCTATATCTATCCTGAGGTGGGAGAAAAATTAGTCATCCTGACAAATATTGCAGCAAATTTGACATTTTAGTCAATGATAATACAAAAATATAGCATTTGAGAAATCCCTACTTGAAAGAATAATTCTTAAGTAGTAACAAAATAAATGGTAGATGTAAGATTTATTACAAAATATCAGGAAACAACATAAAGAAGAGGCACTTAAATAGTCATTATTAGTCATATAGGACGATGATTGATGGCCATGATAGAAAGTTATACAAGGCAATTAGTAGATAGTCATGGGCAGCACTCTATCATACATTATGTTAAATGGATTTCTAGACACAATAAAAACAAATGAATTCAGAATTTTTTAACTTCTGTTTCAGAGGTGTCTAACAAAAGGAGCTTTTTCTGTCTTTTGATACTGTGATAAGGCACCATTACCTGATAAATGAATTAATGATTTCAATCCTGGCTTCAATTAGAAAAACTGAGGTGAAATAATTCACATAACAGAATTTACCTATCATTTCTTTTATGTTTCAAATCACAACTCAAAAAGTTCATGGCGAAATAGACTGTCCTCCCATGAAATCTTGTTTGGTTGAACTATGTTTGCACTGAGTATTATACATTTTGAGAATGTAGAAACAAATAAAAGACTGAAGCCAAAGTCCTGGCTGTTACAATGGATGTATATTGGTGGAACTGGAGAATATATTATGACACAAGACTTCCTCAATTTTCCACTACAAAAAGGATTATGATAAAGAGGTGGTCTGCAATAACTGAAGGTCAAAAGGCAAGGATTCTCTCTGCAATTTCTCTTGGTCTTATAATAGTAATTCATACCCCTAAAAAAACTTTATACATTTCAGCACAATCTGTGCTTGACAATCCCTGTCTAGATTATTATTGTTAAATTTTATATCACTACTAATCTAAGCATTCAACTTCATAAATGACAACCATAGAGCAGTCTGAATTTCAACCACTGGCAGTTATTTCTCAAGTCAACATTGAGCAAAGTTTGAAAAATTTTGATTAATTACATTTAAATATATCTAAAAGTCATCTTCATTGTAAAGTGTGTAATTTTCAGTCCCCCAAGATTCTTTAGCTGGGGCTACAGATGATCGCTTGCCCTTCTTCTTCAGGCCACTCTTTGGTCGAAATCCGCCATCTGTAGATCCAGACTGAGGACGCCCAGAGCCTGGACGGGATAGCCGACTACTTGGTCCTACAGACAATAAAACAAATAGATACCAGCATGTGACATCATAGAGAGTGGATATCAATTATCTGGTGATGAACAAGTTGATAATCGTGTTTAATTTGTGATGAACCAGTAGATAATTGTGTTTTATTGGTGATGAACCAGTAGATAATTGTATTTAATTGGTGATGAACAAGTAGATAATCGTGTTTAACTGGTGATGAACCAGTAGATAATTGTGTTTAATTGGTGATGAACCAGTAGATAATTGTGTTTAATTTGTGATGAACCAGTAGATGATTGTGTTTAATTGGTTATGAACCAGTAGATAATTGTGTTTTATTGGTGATGAACCAGTAGATAATTGTATTTAATTGGTGATGAACAAGTAGATAATCGTGTTTAACTGGTTATGAACCAGTAGATAATTGTGTTTAATTGGTGATGAACCAGTAGATAATCATGTTTAACTGGTGCTGAACCAGCAGATAATAATGTTTAATTGGTGATGAACCAGTAGATAATTTTGTTTAATTGGTGATGAACCAGTAGATAATTGTGTTTAACTGGTGATGAACCACTAGATAATAATGTTTAATTGGTTATGAACCAGTAGATAATTGTGTTTAATTGGTGATGAACCAGTAGATAATTGTGTTTAACTGGTGATGAACCACTAGATAATAATGTTTAATTGGTTATGAACCAGTAGATAATTGTGTTTAATTGGTGATGAACCAGTAGATAATTGTGTTTAATTGGTTATGAACCAGTAGATAATTGTGTTTAATTGGTTATGAACCAGTAGATAATTGTGTTTAATTGGTGATGAACCAGTAGAAAATAGTGTTTAATTGGTTATGAACCAGTAGATAATCATGTTTAATTGGTGATGAACCAGTAGATAATCATGTTTAATTGGTGATGAACCTGTAGATAATGGTACTTATAAAATAAATGATATATATCAACAAGATATTTGACTAATAAAAAAAACTTACTGGTTTCTTGTTCATCAATATATTGATCCATTGCTAGGTCTGTTTTGGCCCGCTGCATTCCGTCCTTCAGTTCCTTCGCCAATTTACGGGCTTGTTTCTTGCTTCCACCTGTTGAAAATGGTTAAAATCCATAAAGGTTCAATTCAGTAGAAAGATTGTAAAACAAACCTGTATGTATGGCATAAGGTTGTGTATCTGTTGTCTGACATTGCATGATCATAAGATTTAACTGTTTTTCTCTACCAAACCCATCCCTCTCTTATGTCTCTCCTCACACTTCTTTACATTTCACTTTTGAATTCAACCCGAGTGAGGACAGCCATGGCTTCTGTCCCCAATCTGTGATTTGTTCTCCCTATGTGTCCTCCAGTATTAAATAAGATGTACAATGACTGGTTACCTATGTGACTGGAAGGATGGTGTCATGCTGTGTCATTCTAGGTAATGATATTTCAGCAGATTGTTGTTGACACAAAGATCTCCCCCAGAAGAAATACTATTCTAATCTCCTTCATTTTGCTTCTCCATAAACATACAGATGGACATATAAAGTTCTGTAATTTGACAATTACCCATATTGGCAGAATCCACAGTATCTAATATATCTTCTCTCGACATTCCACTTGTAGCTGCTAATTGCGTAATAAACTGCTGCTTTTGATTCTGAAAAACAATTGAGAATTGTATTTAAGTGGTACTTGAGTTTGGATTCTAATATGTTAAACATCGCAGTTTTGATTATTTAATTCCATTTTGTTAATCATGAATCCCTAATAGTACGAATGATTCTAAAAGACCTTTATTCTATTGATGATTAAGCTCCTTGCTGAGCCCTCCCTTTTATCTTACTAGGAGTGCCTTACCTTGAGCTCTGCCTCCAGCTCTTGTTGTAACTGCCTATTAAGTTCCTCTTTGCTTCGCTCCAGCTCAAGCTTCATGTCCTCCTCCAGCTGATTTATCTCACGTTTGTGTTTCTGCTGCATGTACAAGGTACTAAGCACCTCACTGGCCTTACTGTAACACAGATTATACAGTGTCAGAAAAACATTGGTTTTTCAGGGTACATAGTTTAAGGAATTGTACAAATTATGCATTTCCCCACCTGTACTCTACTACACGCTGGGCTGATTGTGTAAGGCTTATTAATCCAGCCATGTTTTATCATAAGTTGGACATTTTTCACATGCATACAACACATTTCTTCGTCATATCCAAAAATCTAAACAGAAAGTAGACCATTTGTTAATCTAAATTATACAGATGTTCTATCAACTTTTTTCTAAGACTCCAGAATAATTCAGACTAACCACTTGCATTTCTGTTTTGAATTGATTCAAACTTGAGAGGCAATTGTTAATTTTTTTTATACATTTAAACAATTGATATGCTACAGTTTGTTTCTTTTTAATTTACTTGGTAAGTATAATGGAAACAAAATCAGAGAAATCAACTTCCTGTTAGATATTATAGTTTATCATAACTAGATAAAAATGTTCAGCTAATTTAAATGTCCACAATACTATTTGTAGTTTTAGTTTACCTAGCTCCTCTTCGTCGTATAGATCCACCTCTTTTTTGTTGATTTTCTACTACAATTTTTTCTTGCAATTCCCTGAAAAATTCAAACAAATAAAGTTACAAAAATAAAAAAAATTGTAAGAATTACACACATCGAATAAGAAAGGACTGGAATCAACTCTGCTCCTGTGAAAAAATGGGTCTTCAACCTGACATATCTTGAAAAAAAACCTCAAAAGACGTATGAAATTGTCCGAAGAACCACGACCACTGTCAGTATTAATGACAGTATATAGTATAGTGAATACGCAAATGACAGTATATAGTATAGTGAATACACCACTGTCAGTATATAGTATTAATGACAGTATATAGTATAGTGAATACGCAAATGACAGTATATAGTAAAGTGAATACATGAATGACAGTATATAGTATAATGAATATGTGAATGACAGTATATATTATAATGGATACGCAAATGACAGTATATAGTATAATGAATACATGAATGACAGTATATAATATAATGAATACATGAATGACAGTATATAGTATAATGAATACGCAAATGACAGTATATAGTATAATGAATACATGAATGACAGTATATAGTATAATGAATACATGAATAACAGTATATAGTATAATTATTGACAATTTATTCTATGTGTAGTAGGGAATATCGCTGTAAAGTTTGTAATTTCTGACAAGTTCTTATTATTCGATATTGACCAGAATGGAAATAAAACAGAAAAACTGATGCCTTAAAAGTCAGATTGATATAGAGAACAATAATATTTCTCTTTTGTATCTAGGTTTTGGTAAAAATAACCATAAGAAATGCAACGTTTGTTAATAGTAATTAATAAATATTACACTGAATTATGAAAATACATTCCAGCACAGCAGATTAGCCATTGCAACAACATGTATATAATACAATAAGTGTTAACCAGCATACAGATCCCTTCCTCACAAATCAACAGCTGTAGCTGCTCTCCCAGTTATGTTGGAGAGGTGCTATGATGGTTAGGGAGTAATGGTACAGGTAAATTGATAGAAAACTATGAATGAAGGGTCATCCAGTACTTTACCCAACTCTCACCTGACCTGCATTGTTAAAATCTATGAGAAAGTAATGACGATAATGAAGGATTGAGACATTATGGTGCTTTTTACAAACTCCCTGACAATAGTTTATAAGGAACATATTTTGTTCCCTTATTAAAATAAAGACATTTATGGCTTTATACAGCATTTCGCAACTGTTTAGATTTTCAATATGACATATTTTTAATGCACACATAATACAAAGCTTACAAGGTAACCCTGATTCAACACACAAATGATAAGTGGCTAGTTATCTCACAGACATTTATTCCATATATAATTGATTCCACTATGAACAGCTACCATGGCAAGCTAGTTAGACTTGCAAATAAACCACAAAGACTCCATATGAATTGAAGTTGGCCGATAACAATGTTATGAAAAAACATTAAACAAGTCTAAGATGGGGGTCAGAAAATGCCACAGAGATAACTTTCCCTAGGTGTAACCTATGGGTAAGGAATCTCTCCCCCATCCTATATAAACACAAAGTGTATGTTTTGTTGGTGTATTGCAGAGAGGCTTATTTGACCGCAAGGTTTTTATAAGACAGGATTTGGACTGAATATTGACCACAACACTAATGGCAAAACAACCTTTATGTATTTTCCCAATCCTTGCATTAAAAGTCCCCAAAAGAAGAATGATTTAACAAATTATCAAAATCCTGCTTTGTACTTTCCCATGTCTAATTACGGAAAATCAGGCATAGATTTAGATTGTTGTGTATATGCTGCAGAAAAGTTTGATATAGTGCAGAAAGAAATAAACTAAAAATGATTGAATTTCACTGTTCCCAAAGTATACACCATTCTAAATCTGGTACATGTCAACCCATACTGAACTGATTTTATCAAAGAAGTAATTGGTTCTTGAAAACCTAGCTGAATGGCCAATTAGAATGTAAGTTTGTTAATCACTAAATATATTAGTTTGCTTCCTTTACTGTGCATTAAATCTACCTGCTGAGAGATGTTCTACTCATAGTTTTATTCTGTATGTTTATCAGTTGTACAGCCCATATACTGACCATGTACAGTCCATATACTGACTATGTACAGCCCATATACTGACCATGTACAGTCCATATACTGACTATGTACAGCCCATATACTGACCATGTACAGCTCATATACTGACCATGTACAGTCCATATACTGACCATGTACAGTCCATATACTGACTATGTACAGCCCATATACTGACCATGTACAGTCCATATACTGACTATGTACAGCCCATATACTGACCATGTACAGTCCATATACTGACTATGTACAGCCCATATACTGACCATGTACAGCCCATATACTGACCATGTACAGCTCATATACTGACCATGTACAGCTCATATACTGACCATGTACAGCTCATATACTGACCATGTACAGTCCATATACTGACCATGTACAGTCCATATACTGACCATGTACAGCCCATATACTGACCATGTACAGCCCATATACTGACCATGTACAGTCCATATACTGACCATGTACAGTTCATATACTGACCATGTACAGCCAATATGCTGACCATGAATAACCCATATACTGACCATATATAGCCATTACACTGACTTTGTATTGGCCATATACTGGTGGAAGAGAGAATTAAGAATAATACAAGTTTAAAGTGAGGCACATAGTCAATGTACATCCAATACACCAGTAAAATCTGTTGATGAACTGTTTCTCTGAACTGTTTCTCATGTAGAAATAGGTTATTTATCTACAGGGAATCACAGGATATAAAACAACCTATTATAACCAAGCACTTACGGCCTTAGTATATATGTTTAAACATTTATTAAGTCACATCACAGATAATGGTTGTGACTGATATTAACAACAAACAAAACAATGAGACTTGTTATCATAAATCCCCTTTTATAATGACAGTGGAATGGGCTGTGACAGACAGACCAGGGTAAAATTGTAATGCACCATAAACTAATGGGGGTATAAGGATTTCAGTTTATTTATTTTTACGAGATGTCACCACATTCTTTATTTATTGCTATTTTGTGATGAGCAGTACCAACAGACATACTTGGCGACTTGATGTTAAAAAATACCAGGATGACAGCACAATTACCAGTGTAGTAGTCAGTTCTTTCTGTGTTGGAAAGTTTCTGTGGGAAAAGATTCACCATCACAATTCTTCTACAACATCCCTACCTACAACTCTATCTGTTTTCTGCAAAAGAGAGAACTTATTGGATAAATGTTACACAAGCAATTTCAACTTCCACTTTTCCTGCCATAGGATTCAAATCACTACAGTGTCAGTAGGATAATACTGAGCAAGCATTAGAAGCACCAGAACACAATCACCAATGTAGATACTTAACATGTATCATACCTCTCCAACTCGCTGAATTGAAATACAAAATAAATCATGTACTTTGTATGAATCAACATTGTCATTCTGGTTATTCAATAAAGAGTAAGCAGAATACTCAGGCATTCACATTATTTTGGCTTTCATTTGCTATTTAGGTCTCTTCCTGTAGAGTCAGTTTTATGCCAGAGTTATTTCCCCTTGAATATCACTCATCTGATAAATGCTATTGCCAATAAAGATAAAAGTTTTCTATTTCTGTTTTGTTTATTTATATTGGATTTGTATATCCAGACTTAACCCCAATACCATTTGTCTACCCTTTTGTGTCCTTATAACCTAACACTATTATTTATCCTATCTGTAAATCTTTACTTACAGCCTAGTTCTGAAATGTGTTTTCCTTTTATATCCCATTGAACTTCTGTCTCACTACTAGTTTATGACATGAGTTATGTTCCTTTGTGTGACATCCACTTTCATCCCAGAATGACCTCATTACCTGTGTTTAACATGAGTTATCTCCCTTTGTGTTTCATCAACTTTTATCTCTACATGACCTCGTTAACTGTGTATGACTTGAGTTATGTCCCTTTGTGTTTCATCAATTTCTACCTCTACTTGACCTCATTACCTGTGTATGACATAAGTTATGTCCCTTTATGTGCCATTTATACACCCCTATGTATTTGAAATTTACTCTTTGTACTTCCAACCTATTTCCCCCTTGTTATGGCGTTTGTGATTTACTTGTCATCTGCTTCTGTTTGCCACCTACCTTTCCTTCTGTAACTTCATGGCCTGTATTTTCTCTCTGATGTTGTACTCCTGGTCCTCACGGCATGCCTGGAGCTGTTGATTGAGGTGGTCCACTTGGTTGTTGTGTTGCTGAATGATCTGGTCTGCTCCAGACAGCTGTACACCACCCTTAGAAAGCTTGTTTTCCAGTTGTTCCTAAAAACAGAAAAATCAACAATCAAATTTCAACAACATAGAATTTTGGTGATCATTATGAATTATTTGAATATGCTATGAATAAATTGTATGTAACTCTGAAATATCTTAACAGTAACTGATCTTTACAATTCATCATCTCCAATACCAATGAGACAGGCTTTCTGTAAGTTTTCTGCTGACAGGGGCAGAGATGGGAATCTCAATAACTGTAATGGTTATGACCTTAAACATGATGTTTGTCACATATTTTTAAATTCATCAGCATGACCTTCAAAGATAAGTTTGGTTATACTGAGATAACCAATCTAATTTCCATTGTTATAGTAGTCTGGTATTTTCTTTAGTTTATCAGGCAATACACCTGGATAATAATCACCATAAACCTCGTTTTTAACTTTTCTCATCAATTAATAAGTCTAGTGTAAATCAGGATTACCTGAAGAGACTGCAGCATGGTGTCTTGTTTTTGTAGCACCAACTTTCGCCTGGCTGATCCCACCTACAAAGTAAAACATTTCTATATCATTTATCACACAACAATTTGTGTGGAGGTGTTCGTTCTCCATAGACTACGGGTATTTCCATGTTCCTCCTGTACTCTTCCCAACTGCCCCGAAAGCGGGTTACTTTCATAACATTACACAACAGTGAAGCATGATGTTACCCTATACAACAACCCTCAATCAAAGATAAAGCTTTATTTATAAATCTAACAATTGCCACATGAGAATTAGAGTAGAACTCTGGAGCATCAGGACCACACAAAAATAACAAATCTTGTTTCCATATTAGACAGTACAATTCTATTCCACTCATAGGATTATTTACATCAAATTAAAAATGTTTCCTCCTTTAATTTTTTGCAATAAAATGGTATGCCAAAATCATCTTGGTTTGACTTTGACTTAAACAGCATTACATTAATCTTGCGATCAGTTAAGTAATAATGGATCAATAAGGTTGTCTTTATCACAGTGAGTCAATGAGGATTTTCAGCATTTAATCAACCTTTGAGATGGCTTACCTCCAAGAGATCGACCAGAATTTCTAAACTGATTCTACCTAACCTTACCTCCAATTGACAAATGAGTGTGAAATACCTCAATTTGACAAGCAAGTGTTGCTTACCACTGTTTGACTAATGAGTCTGACTTACCTCCAGTCGACCAATGAGGACACTCAGTTCCTGTTCTCCCTGAGCTAGAGCCTCCTCAGTCTCAGTGGCCAGTCTCTGTCGGAGACTAAGTAGAGCAGCTTGTCGTTCCTTCTCAATGTTCTCCTGTTCTAAGGCTATCTCTTCCTCCTGTTGATCATAAATTTTTATGTAGGAAAATTTTTTCAGGTGTGGTTACCTAAATTTCACTAATGGTACCTGATTTACATGTGTCAGAGAATTGGGGAAAATACAAATGACTGTCAAGCGTACTGACAGGAATCTAACCCTGGTCTTGAGTGTGATAATCCACAACTCTATGAACAGAGCTAAAGAAGCATGCTTCGTCAGCTGAGCAACAATAGTACAAGCCATACCGACCCGCTTTTCTTACACTTGTTTGTGAATATATCTTTTCTTTGAGCATGCATCATTTCCTAAATCATAAATAAAGGTGGATGGGATAGAGATTGATGTCCACTGTTCTGGTTTTCCTATGACCTAAGACTACATTTTAAAAAACCCACTCCATCACCTCATATTGTCCTTACTTAAGTATTACCACCGGAAACAAGTTGTAACTACCAACAAACACTCATTCCAGTGGAATTGAGGACTCAAACCTATGACAATTTAGTATACATGTTTGAAGTCCGTTTAAACCTATGACAATTTAGTATATATCATTGCTATAATGGATCCCCAGAAAACTTACCAACTGTTTCTCTAATTTCTCCATCTCTTCCTTGCTGGCCTTTGCCTTGTTTGCCATGGCGTCTTCCCTCTGCTTCCTCAAGGCTGCCATCTTGGCTCGTCGCTCATTTAATTGATATTCAATACTAGAAGAAAGATAAAAGATAACATGACAACACCCACAATCTTAAAGTGTGGACTTCGTTAACGTTCTTGACCAGCAATAAAGATTGGAATTACGAAAAAAAAGAAACATCTTGTATAAGTACATTTGCCTATCATAAAAGTAGATTTATAATGAAATTCTGTGTCTCTTTTAAGTTATCTTTTCTATAGTTTACATTTGTTTTCAAAACAATTCCATATCAATATCTTTTCTATAGGTTACAACTTTTTCCCAAACAGTTCCATATCAATTCTTATCTTATTTTGTAAATTTTTGTTTTCACTGGACTACTATTTGGTCAATAATGTAGTAACATTTATTTATCTGAGAGACTTTGAAAACCCTGTCATTTTCCATTAACAACAAAGAGATGTTCTGTTACTGTTGATTATATAATGTCTGTTTGGTTCCTTACTTCCGTTGCTGTCGTATTTTACTTTTATCCAGCTGGTTATTCAGAACCTCCATATTGTGTTGGTGCTCTCTAATGATCTTCTTTTTTGCCCTGGTGTTGAAAAATGTGTACATAATGTAAATGCAAATTAGTCCATTAATGAATTTGCAAGTTCACAATAATTGCCATATAAACACATATGTTATTTTTGAAATCCTACCATTCTGTAATGAAATTTGCGGTACTTAAACAGAGATAACCTGCCTTACTGAGAACCTCAGAATTTACAGATTGAAGTAAAATGTGTGACATGTACTTACTCATCGGTCAGTTCCACACTGGTGGACAGTACACGGTTGACTGTCTGGTTCTGCTGTTCATTCATTGTCTCCTTCTCCACAAAAGATTGTTGCTCCTGTTCATCTAGTTGCTGTTAAAACAATATTTCCAACAGATGTATTTATAAAAAAGTATCAAGAAAATTGTGAAACAATCAGGAAAGTATGTAATTTGTAGTATATTAATAATCAAAAAAAAAAATTAATCCAGAAAAATACAAAAAAGTCGTACTCCTTACTTCAATGGACAAAGTCCAATGGCATCATTTTATGTTAGTGCAAGGCCTCTAGATGTCACACAGTAGAAAATCTGTATTGGTTTAACAATAAGGTTGATTTTTATAACAGCAGTGACTATTTTAGTTCTGAGAGCCCTTGACTGAGAATCTAATATACCTGCATTTTTTTCTCCCATCTCTCATTTACTTTGCTTGCCATAAGGTTTCTTTCATCCATCCTTTTTTCTAAAAACAATAGGTATTATTACAATTTTTCATATCAGCTTCTACTGAAATATAATTTTTGTTTTCAATGTTGATTGTTTTTTGTGATATAATATTCTTTTTTAGATACATATTCTTCTAGTTAATACACAAAGGTCTATCAGAGTCTGAGATCTATAGCAGTACAAACAATGAACAGTTTTCTATTCAAAAATGTAAAGGAGGTAAATAAATTCAATATCTGTCCATCATACCCAGTCTATAACCGTATCATGTTAAGTCTATAATAAATTATGTACCCTTATGATGTATATTACCCACCATTAAGCTGGTCCATACGAGCCTTGTGTAAGTCTATGATCTGTTCTGCCTTTCGAGAGTCTTGCCCGAACCCCTCAAGCTGTTGCCTTATCTTCTCTGTCCGCATACTCACCTGAATAGCCTCGTCTGATGATAGTTTCTGTTACATAAAGAATCAGGCTTTCTACAACTTTCACATAGGTGTCTTTTCATTCTTATCATAACCAATATCTATCTTCAACAGTCAAGTGTTCTATGTTTATGCTACATCATCAGTCCTAAAATCCTTTCGGAAATGTCACCTTTTTCAAAGAAACATGTATTTTTCTATAGAAATGAATTTAACCAAAGTACGATATGTATGTATATACAGATGACAAACTTTCTCCTGGTTATCTAAATGAGCATATCATCAATAGAACAGTAAATATTGAAATTCCATAATTATTCATATTGTAATACCATTTTAAAATCAATCTAAACATTTTAAATATTCATCTTTATTTTTCCCAAATCTAGAGATGTTTTCATTAGGATGGTGTTGATATCATGTCAGTCTGAGATTATCTATACCTGTTTGAGATTATCTATACCTGTCTGAGATTATATATACCCGTTTGAGATTATCTATACCTGTTTGAGATTATTTATACCTGTCTGAGACTTTACATATCTGTCTGAGGTGATCTATACCTGTTTGAGATTATCTTTATCTGTCTGAGATTATTTATACCTGTTTGAGATTATTTATAATCTGAGACTCCTGTGAGGTGATCTATCTCTATTGTCTCTAATTCCTGTTGATCTATCTCTGTCTCTGTGATCTCGGTTTCTGTTCGTTGTTTCTGCAGTAGGTCATGATAGCCCTGTTCATAAGTAAAAAATTATAAGTTAAGCCATTGCATTTCATATAGAATTGGTGTTAACAATTATTTGATCTTATAATTAGAACTGTAGTGTTGTTTTGGTGGTTTTATTAAAGTATAAGGCATGATATATAATACACAGTGATACAAGAAGTTTTAATGATCCCCCACAGTTATATAAAGTTATGAACACAAGATAAACCACTGATCAGAGAAATAAATCAAGATGAAATCCCATCTTCTGTCTGGTCATTTGAAGACATCTGTAGCCAAGACCACGGACAATACAAACACAAGTGCCATATCTATGATCAACAGTACCAGGTAGATTTACCTGGATAACTTTACCTTGACATGTTTACCTGGTTAGATTAACCTGGGATAGATTTATCTGATAGATTGATCTGGGGTAGATTTATCAGGTAGATTTATCTGAGTAGATTCACCTTAGAAGATTTTTCTTAGCAGATTTACCTTGGTTGATGAACCTGTAGATCTACTTGGGTAGAGTTACCTTGGAATTACCTTGGTAGATTTTAACTACTGAAGCAAACAGGTCAGTAGAACTTTACGCGGATTCTTACCTGAGAGAAATCTGCGGCGTCTGTTCCCCTCTCTCGTTTCTCCTTATGTATGGCTCTTTCTCTCTCATGCTTATTTTGAAGCTGATTCAAACGTTTCATCCGTCTGGATCTTAGTTTATCAGATAAGTCTTCTAGTTGTCTGTTGGATTCTGTTGGTGTAAAGAAACCAATCAAGCTATATATAGCTAAAAGAATTATGTTCTTAAAATCAACTGCAATAGACTTTCGTTAGAGTCATTTAGAAATACTGCCCGCACAGCCAATTGTACAGAGACCATAATTGTATAGCAAGTATTATAAGTACCAAAAGCAAATACAGCTAACTGCTGACAGCCAAACATCTGTTCTGGCTCAACCTCAAATCTGACACTAAACAATTGTCTGTATAACATGTGCCATGTCTTGAAGATGACACAGATAAGAATGAATTACTCATGTAAATTTCAGTATTATTTTCAATCATACAATTTTGTGTTTACAGAATGATTAACCTTGATGTTGATATACATGGACAATGTTTCACAAATAATGTTATTTATCTGATAAGCATCATCTTAAATTCATGGATTTAAAATGATTGAGTACCATGTTCAAGTTTATTACAAGATCTGCCTTGTTTTGTCTTTTTGACTGTAAACTAATTGTTAGTGTACTTACAGAAAAAGGTAGCCAAAGGACCTTTTTCATTGTTATAAGAACTTAGCTGTTGTCAGGAATACTTTTGTCAAATGACATTTTTCTGTTTGTAACCATTTAATAACATAAAAACACAAACAATATACAATGTAATATGGTCAACAGCAGCTCTGTGTGACGTGACCACTTTTTACCCACCTTTTTCATGCTGACTGTGAAGTTTCTGAAGATCAAGCATATACTGGTTGATGAGCTGTGTTGCTTCTTTAGAACTCACATCTTTATTATTAACCAAGTCCTTAACTGCCTCCTCCATAACCTGAACATTATCTTTTAGTTCCTCTTTCGACTGCTGGTCTTGTAACTTACGAAACTCCAGGATTTGTCTCCTCCTGGCAAGGCGTTCCTCCAACAACTGTTATGATCAATAAATGTTTTCAGAGAGTCTTCCTAACATAATCATTATGATCAATTACTTTTACAATTGTTTTTCTATTAACACTAAGTAATAAGCATGAAAATATCTACCAATCAGTATCAAAGTTTGAAAAACTTCTATAAATAGTAACTTAGTAATTGACCTTGACCTTAGAACACAGAAACATGAAAGTGTTAGTTGACATTTGTTTAAAGTTTTACGTAAATCTGGATACAAATACTGAATTGACAGTGATTTGGGATTGTATAAACAATGGTGACGCTAGATGTCCTCATCGGTGTGGACAAAAATTTACCTACGCTGTTCTGTAGGTATATTGACAAAGGTTTACAGTCCAGCATTTAATGGGATTATTGAAAACCCATACTATTTATTTTGCACATTTCCTTTGTTTTGTACTCACCCTATTTTGTCTGTGGAACTCGAGTCCCAATTTTTTCTCCAGATTAGCCATATCCTTTAGAAGGGCAGCCATGATTGCTTCAATCTACAATATGATACCTTATGTTAATGTGAACTTCACATGTTCAGTAAATAAACATCAATTCAAAGTTGAAAACATATAATGTCTTACAGGGGTATGTACTCCACCCCTAAAAATCATCAAAATACCATTCAGGATGTACTCCTCGGATGTTTTGATCGGAAGTAAGACATAATTCAATAAAAAAAGAATTTCTAACATACTATCTTGGACTTCTGTCTTTTTATAAACTTTGTCATCTATACTGGTACTTATAAGTTGAAAATGGGCAATTTATATGACGTTCTGAAGAAATTTCACTCAGGGACTACATCTTTTTATGGCGTAGTTGAAGGTGTAGTTGACAACATGATTTGGTTAATAGTATTATGAATTTTGATGTTTTCTAGTTGCTAAGGTTATGCTCTTGTGTATAACTCTAGAAATCTTGGCTAGATTTCAACTGAATTTTGTATGCATTATCACCAAAAATTTGTGAATCCTTTTCTGGATTTTTAGGACCCAAAAATATAAATTTCAGCTGGTTTATTGATCATGGAAAATTTGGAACATTTTCCTTTTTTGGTTGCTATGTAGTTTAAAGCTTGTTAAGTCAACTGAAAACTTAGCATTTTCAAGTGATTTTTTGCTTCATATCCAAATATCATACCCTTACTTTGTAATGAAAGACAAAAATTAATTTTCAAAAAAGGTTGTTATGAAAATAATAGAGAATATCTATTATTCAGGGGAAAAATAAGAAATCATCATCAGAAAAAAGTTATAGTGGGAAAAAGTCCTACCTCCTCATCCTTCAGGTCAGTTCGTTTAGACAGCTCCTGTCTGATGAAGTCACGCTCATCCTCATGCAACTTGACAAGCTTCTGTTCAAGCTGGGAATCGAGCTTGTCCACCTCAGTTTGTACAGCACCAGGGTTCTTGTCTTTAGCCATCTGTCGTCGTGTCTCCTGTATACCATACACAACACAGGAGGAGTTTAGCCAATGATGTGAATATCACACTCAAAACATCTAAAATATTCTGAACATCTTTAATGTTAGTGTTAACTCTGCCATCTGACCAAAAACTGACATAACTAAAAAAATCATGACCAAATTAATAATTTCGCAATTTCATTCTAGTACAAAAAAAGATTTTTCAGATTCTACAGAAATTGTACTTTATGTTTATTTAGGTGATGAGGAATTTCTCGTTTCAGTGATTTTTTGTGTTTTGTTCAGTTTATTGCATTAGTCAGGGACATTTGAGATGGAGTCTCCTTGTAGTATCTGGCTGTCTACTTCATGAACAATGAAGCCTGTTGCATGCCATTCAGAGCTATTAGGGCAAAGTATCCTTCCCAAGGTCACAACCACCACAACACTGAATGGTGCATTTCTCAACTTTCTAAGAATCATGATGTAATAGGGAGTGATGAAAACACACACCTCCGATGTTCACCTGAGACTATGCAGGTGACACTCTAACTGACGAAACTATGACCACCCCTTAGTCTCAGTGACAGACAAAAATATGGAAATCCTAACATATTTAATGGCTAAAATTCCCTACAAGTACAAGTAATATGTATTGTCTCACAGGTTTTTGTGTTCTTGTTATCTGAAGTATTGTAATATGATTGTTATATATAACATCAACAACTGTTCATTCAACATATAAACATTAAACACCTATAGGTACTCTTGTAGGCCATATACCAGCAGTAGACATTTAAAAATATTGTACATTTAGCTGGAAAAATCAAATTTGTTTCTAAATATCTGCAAATACATTTTAGTGACAATAAGAATCTTAATTAGATTTTGATCTGAAAAACTTTAAATTTCCAAAACTGAAAAAAAGACAATTTATAAATGTTTGATGTTATATCAATATAAACTTCATTTATTTACAACAATTGTAAAAAAGCTATCAGCTTATATTAATCACTCTTATTGGATTGGATGGATGCATACGGAGGGATCCTACTGTGGGTGGAAACTGGAGTACCCAGGGAAAACCCATATAGTCAGGCAGACTACTCCATACCTTTCCATGTCCATACCAGGAATTGAACCCTGGATGGTATGGTGGAAGGTGAGCACATTACCACTGCGCCACCCGAACACCCATGATGTGAGAACAATCAATACCAAGTGTGTTTATTTCTTTGTTTTTGTCACTAATCATTTCATTAAAATATCTTGTGAATTATATGTCAGAATGATGCTAACACATACATAGTTGAGAGTGAGGTGACATTTCCCTTATCCTACAATGTTATCATTAAACACCTTTAAATGAGATTTCTAGTCTGGTGAAAAGCTGTAAATAGCATTCATAAAACATATTCAATAGATAAAAAATTGTATCGTGAGACAAAATCACAAATGTAAGTATTTACCAGAGTGATATTTGTTTTTTGTATGTTATTGACAAATATTTAATTAGTCAGTGACAAACAATTAATTATCTTACATCTTCTACTTCTTGTTTTTCGTCCTGGTACATCTTTGCTTTGCTGAGAAGGTCCTCCATAACATTATTCACAATTTCTTGTAGTCCAACATCTCCAACCTTCATTCTTCGTAACTGCATCTTCAACTGTTTTAGGAACATCTGTAAAGACGACCAAAGGAATGAGTATTTGTCTAAACATGTTTGAAAACCAGTAAAATTAATTACAGGAACAATACTGGCGTGTTTGGAGTCATGTTACACCAATGTCAATAACAGACTGTTACAGGTTATAGACAGAGTTTTCCAACTGGAGGTCACTTTTATCTGTGCTATATAATTACAAGGCTTTAAGTCAACAAAGAAACTTAAATTATATGTAAATTTCATTTATTAAGAAAATCATTTTCCCATCAGTGTAATACAATTCATTAATTGACATAAGGCTACAAAGACAGTCTGTCTGTTTGTCTTCCTAAATGGTTTAACTTTTTAAATTCTGTTATGTTTGCTGGGTAATGTGATAAGTTTGTGCTTAGTCAATAATGTATTGTATACTGTCAAAGTAACATTTTTTCACATCAATCTCCATGCCATTTGAAACACAACAAATGTTTCATTAATTACTCCAAGATTTTTGTACAAAATACAATGTATGTGTACATCCCTACGTCTTCTGTAACCTGATATATGAATGTCATTCAAAATCAAATGGACTCAATAACATTCCAATACCCCTATTTTTGTTATTGAAATTTACAGTTTTTGTCTGGAATAGTTATTAAATACCTGCAGTGGGTGATACTCTATATATCTATGTAAAGTTTCATTTCCAATATTTGTAACAATTAAGTGATGCAGTGATTGTGTCCTTGTGCTAGAAACCTTACCCAAAGAGCTTTGAATGGCATGCAATGGGCATTGCATACATTTTTCAATGAATAAGCCAAAGTTACACCTTAAAGTACAAGGAAATCTTTCCTCAAAATGACTTTGACTGTTAAACCCTTCTAAATAGATGTCTTTTGGCCAGACATTGGATTTGACCTTGACCAGAGACATTGATAAGTTGCTCCACAACACATCAACACAGTGAAATGCAAACATGTATAAGTTTCGATTCAAATAAGTTATCAAGAAAAAAGTCTAGGATTTCAAATTGATGTCAAATCAAGCCAAATTATTTAATCTTATTAATTTGATATTATATGGTTGGATATGACACTTTATTTGAAAAACAAGTTTGAACTCCATGAAAACGACAATTACCATACTTTATTTGAACTTTACTGACTTACATCATCTTTCTCCCGACGAAGATCTCGTGTTACTCGGTCCACTTTGTCCACATCCTGTTTACTCATTTCTGCCTCTGCTCCTTCTCTATAGAATAAATTCATACATAGTAATACTGTGAGAATGATGAAATCTGATGAAGATTTTAAACTCATACGAAAACATTGATGAACAAAGGTCACAATAATTTTAAGAACATAGAAAAAATGTGCAGTTAAGTATACATCATTTTGAATTTTTTCTTTTTAACAAGTAAACAATAGAACCCCAATGCAAATCTTGCAGTACATTGTACAATCTGTTATAAGTTTACCTTGTATTCTGTACAAGGATGTCCCCGATACCATGACAAACTTACCTTGTATTCTGTACAAGGATGTCCCCGATACCATGACAAACTTACATTGTATTCTGTACAAGGATGTCCCCGATACCATGACAAACTAATATTGTATTCTGTACAAGGATGTCCCCGATACCATGACAAACTAATATTGTATTCTGTACAAGGATGTCCCCGATACCATGACAAACTAATATTGTATTCTGTACAAGGATGTCCCCGATACCATGACAAACTTACCTTGTATTCTGTACAAGGATGTCCCCGATACCATGACAAATGTCCCCATTACCATGAAAACTTACATTGTATTCTGTACGAGGATGTCCCCGATACCATGAAAACTTACATTGTATTCTGTACGAGGATGTCCCCGATACCATGACAAACTTACATTGTATTCTGTACGAGGATGTCCCCAATACCATGACAAACTTACCTTGTATTCTGTACAAGGATGTCCCCGATACCATCAAACTAATATTGTATTCTGTACAAGGATGTCCCCGATACCATGACAAACTTACATTGTATTCTGTACAAGGATGTCCCCGATACCATGACAAACTTACATTGTATTCTGTACAAGGATGTCCCCGATACCATGACAAACTTACCTTGTATTCTGTACGAGGATGTCCCCATTACCATGAAAACTTACATTGTATTCTGTACGAGGATGTCCCCGATACCATGACAAACTTACATTGTATTCTGTGCGAGGATGTCCCCAATACCATGACAAACTTACCTTGTATTCTGTACAAGGATGTCCCCGATACCATGACAAACTTACCTTGTATTCTGTACAAGGATGTCCCCGATACCATGACAAACTTACATTGTATTCTGTACGAGGATGTCCCCGATACCATGACAAACTTACATTGTATTCTGTACAAGGATGTCCCCGATACCATGACAAACTTACATTGTATTCTGTACAAGGATGTCCCCAATACCATGACAAACTTACATTGTATTCTGTACAAGGATGTCCCCAATACCATGACAAAAGGAAGGATCTAATGGTGGCTTCTCTATGTCATTATCAGCACCCATCTCATCATCTTCATCATCTTCATCTCCCCTCTTTCCCTTCTTTCCTTTCTTTTTACCAAATTTTGTTTTTTTGGTTTGTTGGTCTCTTACATTGTAAGCATATATCTAAACCAGACAAAACAATGAATTCAAGACTCTCTGAAATGTTAAGTTCAAATCTCAAACTTACATATTTAAATTATCAGAAAAAATATTTAATAATGATATTGAATTCATGAAGTTTATTCATCATGATGTAGAAATCTGGATTTATCCATTGTCCCAATAACTAAACTTCACACAGATGCGGAGACCTTACATTTACCAGTTATCATGGGTTGGGGGTAAAATCATTCATTTTTGAGGGGATTCATTTTTGTTAAATTTGCAGGTACTCTAAATCCACAAATTTATATGTCCACGAAATAAAAAAACAAACAGAAGTTGACATGCATTATTGTTACTAGTGGATTTATGCACAAGATTTATCCATGATATCAAATGCCAACGAAAGCAGTTTTTTTGGGAAAACCACAAAAATTTTAACCTCAGGAAAATGTATGATTTTACAATATGAAAGATATCCATGATATAACAGTTAAAATTGTTGAACACATCATAAACCAAACATCCCTGAGACACTGCAACATGACTGTAAATTCTGATACTTCTCATTTTCATACCAAATCTATAGATATACATTAAGTTGAACCTGGATATATTTAGTGTATTGGGCAGGCTTAGCTCACTTAAAACACTCTACATGAACCTAGATTATCCTACCTCAACTCAGTGTTACTTACTGTGTTATTTTTGCAGTGATTATCATCACAAGAGCCACACAAGGAAAAATAAGTCTTGTTGAAATAGAGATTTATGATCACAATAATGAAATCTTAAAAATCAAAATTTGAAAAAAAAAGTACAAATAAATCTGTGTGATAGCTAACTCACCACATCTTGGTTGCCCTTAGTCACATGTACTGCTTTCTCCTCCAATAGCTCCTCTTCATCTTGTGCCTAGCAAAAAGGGAGTCTTACAATGTACCACATCTTAATGTTAGAAGAGAATATTTTAGACAGAGTAAATATACAATACCATTGTTTTATATTTTTCCTTTCAATTTTGAATCAATGATGCTGAAATCTAACCTAGAGAGACATAATAAGAGATCCTAATGCTTGTGTCAGATATTTGTATATCTGATATTAACTGTATCAATTGAACTTACTTAAAACTACCACTAATTACCTAAATGATACCTGCTGATATAAATATAATCAAATTGTCACATCTATAATCTATAACAAAATAAATTCTGAAATTTTCAAATGTAATAAAATCTTTCTCAAACATCTCTTCAAAATCACATAGCAAACATACAATACCTAAGCACAGACTTTACTATATCTGTACTACAGTATTAATGATATCAATTTCTCCAAGTTCAATTAAGAACTAGCTAAATAATGTAACATGAGATTCTCTGGATAAAATAATCAACAATGACCATGGAAGAGGTAGAACTAAATAATGTCTGACTACATAATCACACAAAGATTGTTATTGTTTTAATCAATTTTTTGCGTGAATGACAAAAACTGAAAAGATGGCAGAAGAAAAGTGAGGAAGTTTTACTACAGAAGACTATACATATATATGAAGTTATCTCCCTTTGTATGGGTGCAAACATTGATGAAATCGATGCTGGTTGATTGTTGCCATCAATTTGATTTTATCTTATCCTACAGTAAATGTGTATACATACACAACCTGATGCACTGCAAAGAAATGATTGAAACAGGAAATAAATGATGTATACTTGTGATCAGGTGTCAAAAGGATTTCTATCGAAAGCAAAATTCCATCATGCCACTGTGAAATGTTGGTATGCACTGCTTGTGTTTATAGTGTAAAGAAACATTACAATGGCTAGCTATTTAGTGAAATGTGAAATGATAATAATGAAGATGGTGCTATATGTGTCAGTATAGAATGCTAGCACATTTGAATAATGATTATAAAGTCTTATATCTAGCTAATCTTTAAATCAAATCCTAGCTTACATTTCAATTAAGTCTACAAGGTTCTTAACTAAGTATTTTATTCTTATTTAATTATATAATTATTTCATTCTTATTTAATTCATCATATTAAAGAGACATATTATTTAGAAACTATGCGACATCAAATATCTCTAATTTAATTAAGAAGAAATAACCCGCCTTCATAAAGACAACCCACAGAAGTTATTTAATCATCATTTTAAAGGAAAAATTCATTTCAAATTTGGAAATGTACATATCTAACAATACAATAAATGAGATATATTCAGTCACCATGGAATACTGATAATATATATTCACAAAAAATTTTTCGATTGATACTTGACTCATCTTTTATCTCATTGAAATTGTCAGTGTGTTTAGTATATCACAATCAAGTCAGTTTGTTTCTCCAAGTCAAATGATCTACCATTTTTTGTTACAAACAATACTGGAAATTAAAATTTTAATTCTACATACCGAAAAGTTCATACTTCGCATAAAAAGTTAAATAAATCATATAGTTACATAAGTTGAAAAAAAAAAAATTCTGTGACAATGAAAGTTCAACATATCCAAATATTGAATTTTACATTCACAAAAATCCTTCTAGGTAAAGCAAATGATTTATTTAAAGAGTAAAACATTTCATTGTGACACACTTGCTAAATGGTACTTTATTTCCATGGATCAGAAGAACACAGTCATCAAAGAGTTAGTTTGAAACATGATAAAAACAGAAAAAATGGTTTGCTATATGTTATCTATTGAGGTTTTAAACAGTTCAGTCATTGTTATAATGATCAGTACTAATTAGTAATCTCTACATTAGTGACAAGTCCAGAAAGAGAAGTAAATGACAATATAAAAAAGAAATGAAAAAAAAAAAAAACAAGTATTCACAAGAAAAAATGACTTTCTCATGAACCAGGAAGTAATTTTGATTTAGAAGTTCTAATAAAATGACTAATCCTGCTTAACAAGTTTTAAAAATTTATCAGATGAAACACTTTTGAAGGAATGCACAAAGTTAAAGCACAGAAACAGATCACAGAGATACTGATTTATAAAGGAAGCATGTCATTGAAATGATCCACCAATAACATACATATATAACAAACTTCATTTTTTTCATACTTTGACTGAAAAGGATAAGCCAGCATGAAATTGAAAATGATATCTATTAACTATCTGATATAATGTGGAAAGTTACTTTCATGACAAACTTGCTTAAGTATAAAACAGAATTTTTGAACAGTTTGTAAACAAAGATGTATGATGGCTAAAAATTGATTGTCAATATTACCTTCCTTCTCCATAACTGCAGGTAAAATCAAGGAATGAAATGTACAGAGTTATTTCACAAAAATGTCTAATAATGAATATAGCCTGCAATCTGTAACTTAAAAAAGCAATGCTCTGCAGTTTACCTTTTCAATTTTTTTTGAGTAAATGTTAAAAATCATAATACATTAGGTAACTGTTTGAAGAACAAATGATGTATTGTTACACATGTACAGCTGTTACTCAGATATAAATTCTACCTGTGACCTGACATAATAATTCTGTTGTGAACAGTTTATCTAAATGATCCGTGACAGTTGATTGGGGTTGGTAATGGGCATGCAGGAAATTCTGATTTGTGATGTACTATGTACCTGTATACATATGTTTATTGTAAAGAGTTAAATATATAAGGTGTGTGATGTCTTAAAGGTCTTCAGTAACAAAATTCAATATCAACATAACTATATTTTACCTTGTCTACATATATCTCTCCACCTACTCACCAAAGGCAGATTTAACAAAGAAAAGTAGCTTGTCAATATGATGAGCAGTTGATATATCTTTTACATGTGAAAGAGCAAAAAAAATATTTTTAAGAATATTTTTGTTACAATACACATACAAGATGATACAAACACACATCCTTCCACTCACACAAGAAATAAAAGCATTGCACACTACTCTGTACAGAAAGGTATGTTAACATGTGTAATACAGTTTACATTCAATGACCAATGTAATAAGAGAGGTCATTGGCCATAGCTGCTATTCAGAACTGACCACCATAGTTAAACTTCACTCTAAAGTCGAACATTATAACGGTTCATTGCATTGTAAAGTCATGCTTTATAAATTATGTTACAAGGTTGTATATCTCACACAGTTCCCTAGAACACTTTGTATTTTTGCTTTGAAATGTGTCTGTGCATGCATGTAGTTTCAAATATAAAAGCAAGCTATAATGAATGGTTATTGAAATGTGTACAGAGAAGATTATTTTTGGTATGTAAGGTAGATAATATGAGTCATCAAATGTTACTGGGAGATTGTGATAGAGTTATGTAGTTTATCCTAGATCAGGACAGTCCTGTGAAATCAATGTAATAAAGGTATAAATATTGATTATCATTATTCTCCATGTATATTTGCTTTCTAAGTCAAGTCCTTGAGCTTTACAGGTATAACAAACACACACTTGACTTTATTGTCAGATGTTATAGTAATTCTGTTTGTCTACCACCATCAGTTTAAGTATAAACTAACAGCTGACGAGCTATTTGTCAGACAGAGTCAACAGTTATTGTATATAATCATACTGCACCAAGTCTTATAAACACAATAGGACCTTGGGCAGTGCTACACTATATAGGTGTAACTGGAAGTGTTTTCATACAAACCAAGCATTACACAACTCCTTATCACAACTGAAACTGGATATACCTGGGGTAATCAAAAGGACAAATAAGGATTAGTATACTTTAAAACTTTTTGAAATAACTAATTTATGAAAATCTTTTTGAATTTACCATTAAACAATGATTAAGCTGCTATCCATTGACTACTTATTGAATTATGGAAATTGTGAACAATTTAGAGACTTTACTGTCAATTAGGTCTAAAGTATTTAAATTTTGGCAAAAATAAACTCTGAGAGCTAAGGATCTCTCGAAATTACCATACCTATAATTGTATCAATATGACGGAAATCAAATTTAAATGGTTTGTTGAAATCTTATGGTCTTAAAATCTTAAACATTTTAAAATCACTAACAGTCTGGTTAATTATAAAGGTATGATAAATATGTAATATAAGTAGTCATTAACATTATAACAACACATGTTCCAGGCTGCTGCCTGTGTAAAAGACCATCTTTAAATTCACCTGTTAAGCTCTTAAGACGTTGACTAGACCTTTACTAGAGACCACCTTCAATAAGAGACCACTTAACTGACACAGGTAATTAAACCCGTTAACACAGGTTTCACTGTACAAAAGTTCATGCAGATGGAGATAATTCTACAAGATCTGAAGTAATACAAAACACATTCGACACATTTTAAAAATTTCTATTTACATAACTGTAGCAGTATAGCAGTGTTTAACACTACATCATACAGACAGCCTATTTGTTACATTGACCGTGTCATATACTGATATAATACAAAACTTTCAACATCAAAATTCTTTTCCAAAAGTAAATTAGATATGATTAAACTGCCATATATTTTTGTCTGAAGTAGAATTGACAAATTTAGGTCAGTCATAAAAGTGACTTCTAGTTGTCTTTAAATGTCACTGAACGAAAATTAAAGAAAGTCATAGCTGTTACATTGTACTTTAGTTAATCCTATTAGAGATAATCTCCATAACCCTTGACCATTAAGTAAGAGTTCTCGCCTACATAACCAATGGTCAATACCTGGAGATACAGGGTGGTCAGTCTGTAATGAAACTCTATTGAAGTCTTTTGAACCAGGTCATGTTTTACTGATGCCTAGATTTTATTGTTCTGTTTCCTTTATAGTCAGTGTTTCAGGGGATGTTTGTTTAGTAGATTTCCTTAAAACTAAATTGTTTTATTGTTATGAATGTATACCATTCTTAGGACACCCAATTTAATCCCAGTAAATTCAATTACAGAAACCAGGCACCTGCTGTGTAAGCATTATTTACAGAAGTAATACATAAATGACCAGACAGATATATAAATCCTGGGTCATTACTGGTACAAAAGATTTTGTCTTTAGTATTCTTTTCCAAAACAGATGCAATAATATTTATTGAAGTAATGCTTGTCATTACATCCTTTTATTTGACAAAATCTTCATCTATAACTGTGTCATTAGCAAAATAATTCCCTTGTCATGTCTGATTGAATAGTGGGATCATTGATTTTGTGTCATAATATCAAGATAAGATATCAACCTTGTCAACTTCTTTTAATTCATAATTTTGTGTTATGAAAATCATCCTTATGTCCTTATACATGAAATTAGTAATTTGCATAAGAATGTGAGTGCTAACTATGAAGTTCATTGTGTGTTTCTAAATAATTTATACATCATGCTACTGAATGCAGGCATGCAAGACGTTAAGTTTCAGGCGATGTGTAGTGGTTTGTGTAAAGATACATAAGATGGCAGACAGATAACAGGTGCAAGTCAAGTAGTGTAGCTGTCTCATAATCAATAAGTGTTCACATAAACAATATTGTCATAGTAACCAGCCAGTAATTGATAGGCATTGATAGATAATGATGAATCTCCATGGAGAAGACACCACTCTACATGTACCTGGTACCTTCAGTCAGTGTGGATCACCAAGCAGCCACACGAGAGTAAATTATAAATAAATGTTATATATTTTTACCTTATATGTGCTGTACATGGTAACAGTTACATCATTAGCTCTAAACGTTAACTTTCAGGAAATTTCCTTATCACTTCAAATTAATGCCATTTCACATGATTTTTTTCTGTTTAAGTCATCAAAATACATATTGTCAATAGAACTAGAAACTGAAGCAGAATTTCACAGGAGAAAAGCATGTAAAAACTTAAGTGAACAAAAAGATGAAGTGTTTCCAAGCATATACAAGTATATCCAACATGTTTAATGAAATAATGTTGAAAATTGTTGTAAATTTGTAAACATTCAAGCCCATAAAGTCTTACCATTACACTGGATTCATTACTTCCCCAATATTGCATGACATAACACTCATGATCTACAGACAAACTGTCCTCCCCAACTCCTCACCACAAAAAAAAACAAAAAAACTGTGATTTAATGGTGTGGTACTAATCCTTTTTATCCCAGAGACCCTAAATCTATATAAACCTCCATTTTGAACCCCAAACACTCAATTTGGTGATCCTTAATTGAACTAGTTCCAATGTTGACCCCAGTTTTAAATCTGACTACGTGTATTTTTATGGTCTCATAATTGACCTCAAATACAAGGAACGTTTTACTGTTATATTTTACTGTTTTCCCTTCATATAACCATAACCAAAACTGCAGTGTATTTATTGGTAATTACCCACAGTGTACTCTCACTTGTCAGTGTTACTATTAACTCCCCCTCAAGTCCTCCACCTCACCGCCAACCCCCCCAACCCCCAACCCCTCACCCTCACCCTCACCACCAACCCCACCACCATAACTAAAACTGCAGTGTATTTATTGGTAACTACCCACAGTGTACTCTCACTTGTCAGTGTTACTATTAACTCCCCCCAAGTCCTCCACCTCACCGCCAACCCCCCCAACCGCCAACCCCCCAACCCCTCACCCTCACCACCAACCCCACCACCATAACTAAAACTGCAGTGTATTTATTGGTAACTACCCACAGTGTACTCTCACTTGTCAGTGTTACTGCCAACCCCCCAACCCCTTCACCACCAACCCCAACTAACTAAAACCCTACCCACAGTGTACTCTCACTTGTCTCCACCTCACCGCCAACCCCACCACCATAACTAAAACTGCAGTGTATTTATTGGTAACTACCCCAGTGTACTCTCACCCCCACCCCTCACCACCCTCACCACCAACCCCACCACCATAACTAAAACTGCAGTGTATTTATTGGTAACTACCCACAGTCCTCCACCTCACCGCCAAACCCCACCCCTCACCCTCACCACCAACCCCACCACCATAACTAAAACTGCAGTGTATTTATTGGTAACTACCCACAGTGTACTCTCACTTGTCAGTGTTACTGTTAACTAGTCCTCCACCTAACTCCCCCCCCCCCAACCCCTCACCCTCACCACCAACCCCACCACCATGGAGGCCTGAGCTTGATCTCACCCCACCAATAACCACTCTACAACTTTACAGATCATTGATAGTGTATATATTTACAGACTGTTGACAGTATTTCTGGGGTGACAACAGCCCCCACAAACATACAGCTATGTTTACAGATTACTGTAGAATACAGAAGGGTACTTCGATGTGAACGAGTACTTACACAGGACAAGAAATGAATCTGAAAAATCAATCAGTGAAAACATATAAATAGATCATTTCATTGAATAAAATAGATCATTAGATTGTGAAGTGTTACAGGTGAATGATCAAATATAACTATTTATATGAAATGAAGGAGGAAATTCCAGGTAACCAGGTTAATACTGAATAGACAACCTATAACATAATGACAAATACATCCGAAAATATGTATCAGTGAGCTATTACTGGCCACCACCAGAATCGGTATACTGATTATGCTTAATGGGTATAAATTACAATTGGAATTGTTTTCAGAAATTAAGAATCAAGGTAAATCATGGGAATAGTAAATGGTTGGTGAACATAAATATCAGATGTAAGTCACCAATGTCCGCCAGACATGTTGAGGGATCAATACTCCCTTCATTGGTAAAACATTTTCATGCTGTGTATCTGATGACATTTTACTCTTGTATAGAAATCCTGATGATAATCATCCTGCATGACCAAATATAATTATTCCTAATGGTAAACATTACTAGGACACCTGTTACCATATCAACCAATCCAGACATCCTTCACATGTTTTTAACCTTACCTAGGTTACATCAAACCATCAGGATGTCCTCCACATGTTTTTAATCTTAACTATGGTAGATCAAACCATCAGGACATCCTTCACATGTTGTTAAACGTAACTAGGGTACATCAAACCATCAGAACATCCATCACATGTTGTTAACCTTAACTATGGTACATCAAACCATCAGAACATCCTTCACATGTTTTTAACCTTAACTAGGTTACATCAAACCATCAGGATGTCCTCCACATGTTTTTAATCTTAACTATGGTAGATCAAACCATCAGGACATCCTTCACATGTTGTTAAACGTAACTAGGGTACATCAAACCATCAGAACATCCATCACATGTTGTTAACCTTAACTATGGTACATCAAACCATCAGAACATCCTTCACATGTTGTTATCCTTAACTAGGTTACATCAAACAATAAGGACATCCTTCACATGTTGTTAAACTTAACTAGGGTACATCAAACCATCAGAACATCCTTCACATGTTGTTAACCTTAACTAGGTTACATCAAACCATCAGGACATCCTTCACATGTTGTTAACTTTAACTTGAGTACATCAAACCATCAGGACGTCCTTCACATGTTGTTAGCCTTGAACAAGCTTTAACATGTTTGATGGATATGATAGAAAGTAAGAAATATTTTATGACCTATGTTTCACTAAATAAGCTAAATTGATATACTTTTAACCAGTTATTAGATGACAGAAGCCAAAGGAAAATAAGAAAAAGCAAACCACCATTTTCCTTCACTTTAACTGCATGATTTTTTACAATACACAAAACATCACTACACAAAACATAGATGTGATGGCTTGTGAAAGATTCAATAGGTATTCAAAGGATTTACAATGAAATGTCGAAGTGGGTGAAATACCAAACACTATATATTCCAACTTGGTTGTCCAATGGACTATTTCACATGTATTTATCTATTAAAAGATCTTAAATATTTTGAATTTTTCTTCAAGTTGAAATTCCCAGAATGAAATAGAAACTGTTGGTATTTAACTTGCAATATTATATCATTTAAGGTTCATTTTAATCTATAATCTAAGTCAAATGAGATACTACACCATTATATATCTTTACAAGTTTGAATGACTTAAATTTGTACATAATTCAAAAGTCATTGTTGAAATCAAAGGTGACATGAAACAGTAATTGATGCAAATATTGTCAAAAAGAAAGAGAAAAGTTACATCCTGATTGGATAGAAAGTTGATGTACAGTCTCATCCGCATAGACAGATGGAACGCAGTAGATTGATGGGTGACTTTTGTGACACGAACCCAACTGTCTGGCAGTATTAGTGTTAGTGTGTGGCTAGGACATGAATATAATTGTAGGTCTTAATGTTCTACCTATTCACATGGTCATTGTGTTTTTACATGTTATAGTAGAATTTTTCTTCCTGAACCATTTATGTGCTTACTCTTACAATACAAAATGTAATGTAATGCAAATGATTGTGATTTAGAATTGTTCATTTTTGACAGTTTGAATGTTAAATATTTACTGGAATTAAAGCTAGTTTTTTTTGACAGTAAGTCAGTTTTTTACCACAACTCAAAATCACCAGTAATCTAATAAATGTACTATTACAATATATGTACATATACCAGTAAACACTAAATCTCATCGATACAAAGGCATTGTTTTATGTCAAACTCATCTTTATAGGACGATTTACATACTGTAGAACCATAAATTTTCGTGGGGTTCAATTTTCATGATTTTCAGTAGATAAAAAATGCTTAATAAATTATACTAATTTGAACAGTTTGTGGACAACTGAATTTGTAGATTTAGAGAACCCATGAAATTAACGAACCCACCAAAAATGAATGATTTTACAGTATGTTTTTCTAGCAATAAGCCTAAGAGACAAACAATAACCACAAACTCTAAGTAGGAAGGTGGGCTTATTACAATACGATGCTAAGGCTTGTAGAACTGGGTATATCTTTTATCACACAATGACTTACCATGGTATTCATATTGTAGTACAGTACATGTAGTTACATGTAAGTTGGATACAATTTTCACAGTGATTCATACTTTAAAATCTACTTGGACTTAGCTTTTCAATGGGAGTTCATAGTTTTCTATGTTAACATTTGATTTAAATGAAGTTGAAATACCTGGTAGTAGTCAAATTTTAAGAAAAAATATAAAAAAAGGTCTACCTGTAGCCATGGAGAGTTTTCTTTCTTTGAGTTACACAAACATTTAGAATAAAGGTGGACTCTAAGGGTGATAGGTAACGTAAATACTGTATTCTTCTTGTCACAAAGTCCAGACATAAGGTTGTTTAGACGACAAGCTTGTTTTTTACCTTGAATTTTAAATGTTTTAGGATACCAAGTCTAAAAAAATGTCATCTGGCTTTTACCTGTTTCTTTGCCATACTCCGCAGACAACATGGCACCAGTAACGCTGTTATACCAATTCCAACAACAAGGCCCAAGAAAAAAGCTCCAAAAATCCATGGCTCATTTACAGTAAGCTCACTTGATTCATATTCCAATTTCACAGGAACACAGACGTCTGATGCAGAGATTGGATAGGTGGAAATGTATGCCATATCTTGTTTTTGGTGTCAATCTCAGAACGTATATTTCATTACTGTCATCTGAAAATACCAGTTACAATATTATCAACACAATTGATCCAAAAAATAATTTTGAAATTTTATTCTGTGGTCAAAACATCCAGCGGATTTTAGGAATCTTTCTTCGATACAATATTTTTTAAGATTATCAAATTCATTATAATGCCTGAATTTCTAGCAGTTTTCCTGTATGATGACAGTGACACAAGTTTCGAGCAATATCATATCAAAACTTTAAAAATTACTTTAATGCTTCCGTCGTCTTTAAAACCTCAATAATGTATTCGTTGGTTCTATGGTTCTTATCAAGACATTACTTTAACATGCATCTTTAGATGCTGACCAAGCTCAGTGTTAACTTTGGAAAATGGATACAACACTCAACTACACAGCCACAAAAGTTAACTTATATTATGCACTATGAAGATGAAATGACCATATCCATGAATTGTCACATAGGCTATTGGATAATTCTAAGCACATGGAATCTGTTTAAGAACTGACATGGTTTCTCAGTTGTTCCATTTAAACTGAAAGTGTTTTTTCAGATTCTCATGGATTTCTGACATTGATTATCGGTCAACGTGTAGGTGATTACACAAGCCAAGAAGTGTATAAATCATACTGCCATGATAATACACTGGAGGAAACATAAATTTGACATTTGTATGTAACCACCAAACATGGAGTTGTCACCCTTGATGTTTGATAAATAACCATGTTCACGGTTACATATGTGGTTGTATAACTATTGATCATTACTGATATTTTATATATATATTATTATCTAAAGTGTGTATAAGATTTTCAATATAATAATTGCTGTATGAATCAAAATAAATTTATTAACGTTGGATTGCATAGCCCAAAGAATTACTTCCCTTGGAAATGAACATCGCACCGCATTGCGGTTTTTTGTGTGCATAGTTCATTTTTTGCTCTATTCCTTCTTTGATGATAATGACATCTATAAACACATGTGTGTCAAAAGCCAATAATTAGAATTAAACCGACTAAAACACAGAAGAACACAAAATTGCGATAGTCACAATCGGCTAATAGCTTATTTTATTTTAGCGGTGTAGTTTGAAAAGATCGTAACATTAATATCGTAGTCAAATGCTTACGTATTATTTGTGTAGTGTCCGCTGAGCTGTAGCGTTGTACTTAAGGTAATGCAATCACTCTTCCATCGAACACGTTTTCCTTTCCACCATTTTTGTTGTTGTCGTAAATGCCTAAAATTGTTGTAGTGTTGTGAAGGAGCGGTTTCTACATCCCCATTTACAAACCAGATCTTATGTTTCTCCAGAATGCTAATATCTAAATGAGTTCCGAAAGTCGGGTGATCTCGAAACCTACCGTGGCTTCAAGCACCTGCTCGTTTAGGAAGCGGTGGTCAATCAAGGTAAATGTTTAATTACTTGCCATAAATTATGAGAAATGATATTGCCTTGTTTAATTGATAGAAATTTAAGTTTTACTTTATTTTCTGTCTTAAATACTTTCGATCTAACATTAATATAGTGATTATTGTCACTTGTAGTTAAGGACGCTCTGGGAAATAATGTGATTGACACATGGATGTGTAGGTGACAAGGTGAATATGTATATATCTATTTGCTACAGTTACTCCTGCAGATGTATCAGGCGATAAAACAATTTTTTGGTATTTGCTGACAATGTCTTGGTTTGAATACCAATCAGGTTACATACATACCCTAGTTATAACGCGGCATCTTCATAGGATGGAAGAATGTCGTTGACTAAAATCTGTGAGCTTGTTGGAGACATATGTCTTTGCTTTATAAAGAATACAAAACGGAACCTTAAAAAATGTGCAGCAGTCAGGAGTGAGGGGACCATAATATAGAACACTGTCATTACAGATTTCATGACGGGAATTTAAATCATTAATAATTTCAGAAAATGAAGCATTGATATTGGTTCGCGGAAGTTTTTTCGATTACGAGTGTGTGATAAAGAAGATGAAGAGAGCCATCGTAGGTATACTCCTCATTGTCCAGCTGTATCTCCAATGTACAGCAGGCACAGCTTTAAATTTCCACTTGAGTGGGGTTGAGGAGCTGTATGTGGATTTCAACACATCATCTTTTAATGGGAACAATTATGCTGCATATAATGTAAGTATGTGTTTGTCAACATTATTAAGTATTAAACACAAGGTTTAAAAAGCATTTGAAACTGCCATATTTAGAAGCTGACTATACTTGCATGTGTAATTTAGTTTAAAATTCATATTGTTAAACAGAAGATTAATTAACATATCAAACTCAACTTCTGTTTAAAGGTGCACATGGATTATAATCAGCTTTTAAAATTAAGTTTTGAAAGGTTACAAGTTTTAGAGTCAAGCTTTTGTCCCTTGTACTTTCATTTGTAAGACATTGTTAATCTGATTTTTTTTAATATCAGGGACAAAAATGTATCATTACAGATATAACTTTCCTGTATAATTAACTTAGGCCTAACAAAAATATGTATGTAACATATAACATGCTTGAAAAATTAGGGTACACAATCAATTATATGTAACCGTGTAAATCATGACTCAAACAGTGCTTCCTTATAAATCATGACTTAAACAGTTCTTCTTTGTAAATCATGACTTTAACAGCACTTTTTCGTAAATCATGACATTAACAGTGCTTCCTTGTAAATCATGACTTAAACAGTGCTTCCTTGTAAATAATGACTTAAACAATGCTTCTTTGTAAATCATGACTTTAACAGTGCATCTTTGTAAATCATGACTTCAACAGTGCATCTTTGTAAATCATGACTTTAACAGTGCTTCCTTGTAAATCATGACTTTAACAGTGCTTCCTTGTAAATCATTACTGCACTAGTACTTCATTATACACTGAAAAAAAATTAAAATGTTTCCTAGATACCTAAAATTCAGTTTAATAGGGTAACAGGAAACAAAGAATTATAACTGGTATAAATTTGGTAGTTAGAGATAAGAAAAGATCATAATTAAATGATTCAATAACTTTCTTACTGACGTTTTTCTTTTGTTACAGCAAAGTTACTATGCCCCTAGTGCAGCAGTATATGCTCCTAACATAAACACAGCAAGTTATGTAACTTACCCAGAATATATTACCAAAGCTGCTACATCTATAGATGTACTCGATATCTACGATACAGCCAACTCCCCATACACTGGAGAAGCTAAGCTTCATGTGGAAACCATTGTCGAGGTATGACTAAATTTTTTTATTGAATGTAATGATATGTAGGTGAGCAAGGTGAACCATGTTTTATTATTGCTCTTGTGACCCTTTATCGTAAATCTACATGAAATATAATCATCCTCTTGTATTGTAAGGTTAATACTTTACTTTGAGATAGTTTCAAGTACATATCAGTTTTCTCAACACTCTATTCTGATTAAATGACATTTTGGAATCTATTAAACACTTTGTTTTCTTCCTGCAGCAACATGACACCTCTGCCAACCCAGACAAGGTACAGTTATCCCTGTGGGTATACAATACTGTAAACAACACTGTGGCTTACAGTGTAGCAGTCGAAGTGGACCTCTCTGGAGGACTAGATGTGGATTATGATGTGTCCACCTTCCTCATTAATGGTTCTGGTAGCACCTTCAGTTCTGTGATCACTGTCAATAGCAAGCAGAAATTTACATGGAGTCCTGGAGATATTGCAGGTACAAATATGTTCAGATCTTATACTGAAAGATTTTTGTGTCAGTGTGATATTTACATTATTCTTATGAGAATTTTCAGCTCCATATTTGATTTGTCGCTCTGTTCAAACTATTGTCTCAAGATTGTGTTGTTTCTGTGCACCATCAAGTTCTGCACCTGATTAGTTTTTGGTGGGTATTGGTCCAGGTTAAAGGATCAAATTTCACACTAGATCACTTTTCAAATTAAAAAGACTGAAATGTGTAAAGAATACCTCATGATCCTGCTAGCACAAAGCAAGTAAAAATATTCTCAGGGAGTAGGACAGAGAAGTGTTTATTTATTTTGAGCTAAAGTCCACTTTGTTTTATTATGAAACAGGTTTAGAAGGACAAACACTGCAGTTTATTGCTACGCCATCTGGTAGTGTTGGACGAGATCTTGCTGTGGGAGCCAATCTTTTCTCCTCCAGTATTTCCTACTATCTGAATGCCACAGAGGTAAATAGTCAAGGTGGTCTGTGAAGTATGGGTGACAATACAACAAGATAAAACAATGATATTTCGTTATAATTACTATGCAGTATTATTTACCAATATATTGTGTATCTATGAATCCCTTTACATACAAACATATTTAACCTTATTATTTTTATTTGATTCACCAGTTAACACTTTTATTGATTTTGTTTCATTATTTACAAAAAATATTTTCTTATTAAATTTTGTGGAATTAGATTTGAAAAAAGTCCATTTTAATGAATTCTGAATTCAATTTTTTGCTTCCTTATTTGAAGAAGAATAGGTTGAGGGTGGGGTTGGGGGTTTGCTTAAGATAGTCACTCTAGTGTAGACATTGGTACACACAGCTTCCTACATATATCAACATGTTAAAGTTTCTTAGGAAGTTTTTGCTAGCAATATCACGGGATCATCATTATCAAGAAGTGTTGATTGTCAGTGATAGGAATAATGTATGCTGAGCCATATTCTTTATCTTAATAGGGCTAAAAAAAAAAAAAATAGATTTCTGTTTTAAAATTTTTGAAGCAAGTGTTAGGTTTAAAGTTTGTTTGCAAGTATTTTCAAGCAGTAATGGATCACAAATGTCAAGAGGCAGTTGATAGTTAGATAGTTAAAAGACTGATGTGAATTATTATCACTATGTTGAACAATATTTTTGACTCATTGTCATTAGACAATGGTCTATTCAAAATTTCCATAATCTGTGGTCTATCACTCTTTCTTAGATTCCATATGTTGGACTCCCTTGATATGAAATGATTAAGAGTAAAAATAGAATAGAAAAGTAAAAAAAAAATTAATCTCACATAAAAGCATTAAAGATCATTCACTGTTGGGCAACAAGATCCCTCAGGGATCTCTTGTATTTCAAATTCTGATATTTTGTTTTTAACCCCAGATAATGCAGTGTATGACATTTTGTTGTAGATGGCGGGTCCAATAACCATGCAAGTTTGTTTGAGCCGTGAGGATGTTGTTACTGATAGTGTAAGTGTATATAAATATTTACATTTATTTATGTAAGTGTTTTAGTATGTTATTTGTCTAAATATAATATCATTTATTGGTCCAGTATGGATGTGGTGTTGTATACATATACAACAAAATTGTGGACAAGGGGACATAATTCACAAAATCATGGTAAAGTCTTTGTTTGTAACTAAAATGCAAGGAATTTTATTTTATTTGCCTTTTGAAATTCGAGAAAAGACATTGAAATAGCTTATCATTTTCTCTCGATTTTAAACATTAAAACATCACTAATAGCACACTATGCTACAGTTAAGACAGATATGTCATTCTGATAAACTTCCTTGACAGAGTGATCTTATCACATGTACTGACTTCACATTACACCCAATGAACTATTTTGATGGACTTATGTCAGACAGATTTGGCAACATGTTCCAAAATTTTCCTTACTTTTTATACAATATTGAAAGTATATTGAATCAGGACTATGATCACTTTAAGTTTTTCGTCCTGTATTTATTTACTATTATCCTTAACGTTTCAATATTGAACAAATGTTTGACTCAAGCCATTCAATTTTATGAGACAATTTCTCTGTTGTTTCCAGGTCCTGTATAAACATGGCCTCACAGCTCTTACCTTCTTTATGGCACTCATTTTGGGAGTGATCATTGTTATTGTAGGAGTAATTCTCTACCGATTCATTTCTAATCGTAAAAGATCCAGAACTGTGCACGTCAAGGAGGTGAATATTATTCTACAAGTCATCTCCCCCTTTTTTTATATGTTGTCGAGATAAATATTAAAGTTTGACAAGTTTCTCACCCATTTTGATTTCAATGAAGAAATGTTGTTCTACTAATTATGTCGATCTGTTTACATGTTCATGAGGTAAATATTCTAAAGTTATCTGTAATTATTTACAAATAACTGAGGCAAATGTTATTCCCCTTTTTTCATGCATTTATATAGTTTTTAAGATACAATAATATCTTATGAATTATCTCCCCCATTTATGTGTTCTTGAGGTAGATATCGGTCTACAAAATATCTCCATTACTTACACATCGGTATCGTACATATTTTTCTACAGCTTTTTCTCCCTTATTTACATATCTGTGGGCTAAATATATTTCTATTTCCACATGTACTTTAACATAAATAGTTAATTGTATGAAGACCTTTTCTGAGGTACAAAATCCTACGATTATGCTTTCTTTGCAAGTAAATTATGTAAAGCAAGTTCTTAAGTGACCTGGTGGACTGTAGTCATCATATTAACCCCATGGGGCCATCATTTCTGACTTAGTCAGGGAACTGGGTGGGCATGTTACAGAACAATGAAAGAATATTGGTTTAAAATTTAACCTGAAAAGCAATATATAGGTTGTCTTAGTGACACTTGGCATTGAACAACTCTGTTTTATGTGACCATAATGAAGTCCTCCCCTTGTAGATAGATAGGCATATCAACAAGTATGTATTACTGTGGGATACGTATAGGAACATAGAACTGTTGTCAGTCACTGACTTTATGGTACATAATGTTCAATCTATAGAGAGTAAGTTTACTTGTGCTAATTAACTCAATATTGTCCATTTAAGCATGATGTCATAATGCATGAGAAAGGAAATCGTCTTGTGATGGATTATGGGAAGGCTATAACAAAGAAAGGACACACCATTACAGACTACAGGTAGATATATATATATAGATGTAATTAATCATTATATGTCATAACAGACAACAGGTAGATATATATATATATATATATATAGATGTAAATTAATCATTATATTTCATAATAGACAACAGGTAGATATATATATATATATATGTTAATTAATCATTATATTTCATAATAGACAACAGGTAGATATATATATATATATATGTATACATAGATGTTAATTAATCATTATACGTCATAACAGACAACAGGTAGATTTACGTAATCTACATTGTATTTTGATATTATTTGTGCAAAATGTATATCAGTTTTTCATTATATATCATATCTTTGTGTACTTAATATCTATGTTACCTCATTTAAGCCTTATCTCAATAAGGATTTTTTTATATTTTGTGTGCAAGAATAATTGATCATTAATGAAAAAGTGTTACACTGACAATATTGGTGTTTGCTCAGTAATGCTTCAGTTTTGTGTATTTGGAAAGCATGATCATTTCTCCAATAGAATATTAAATGTATAAACTTTTAGAGCACTGCAGTTTCAAAATTCTCTTCTTTTCCAGCTTGGTGGACGAGAATGAGAGTCTAGTTGGAATTTTGGCTATGAAAGATCCTCTTCAACGTCATCGAGAAATTGACAAGTAAAAAAACTTAGGCTGCTGTATAACAATAAACTTGCTGCTGTATAACAATTAACTTGCTGCTGCCTGATAAATATAATGATGTTTTATCAAAATAATTGGCTGTGACTTGGTGATAGCTGTGAGTTGCAGTAAATTCCGGTGTATTAGATTTATTTTGGTATAATTACTAATACTTATGGTTTTAAAGTTTTGAAAGCTAACCCCTTTTGATCTGTTAGTTATATTTATATTTCTAACAGGATTGGAAAACTCAGTTTAGTTTTTTTGATAGTTGTTAATGTAAATTGTACATGTATATGTAAAATAAGACTGAGACAATCTGTTTTTAACCTTCGTAATAATTAATTTATTTCTAGGTAACTACTGGAAATAATGTCAAAAAAATAACATTGTCTAAATGTTATGTTATGTCTGGTTTAGTTTGGACATCGCAGCCACCGTAGCTGTAGATGAGAATCTGGAGGATCAGAGAAATGAATCATCAGAGGTAGTCACTACCATGTATGTTCAAGTCATGAAACAAAATGGTGATATCTCTCAGGCAACAGAGGATAACGTACTCCAGAAACATCGCATGAGAAAGGGTGTGCTCCGTAAAAGTCTGGATGATGAATACCAAGGAGAAAAGAGAAAGCTTCTCAAGAAACTTTCTGCAAAAAACAAGGTGAAATCACAAAGGAGGAGAATGCAGTCTGGTGCATAGCCTATTTGTCAGAATCTTTAATGTGCTTTAATAAAGATTTTAATATAATATGCTATTGGCGTATATGTACATATTTGAGTACCATGCATTAAAACTGTGTATGGTTTTAACTAGACAGAAAATAAAGATTCAGTATGTGTTTGTCAATGTATACATCTGGAACCGCTAAGATGGCATTTGTCTTATGGCAGTCTTAATTGTCGTGGATTTTATCAACTCATAACAGCCAAGGTCAAGGTGACTAAGTACATACCATGTAAGTGAAGTCATCAGAACTAATGATCTAAGAGACTGAGATTGTTCTAAGAAATGTAAATCCAAAGGTCAGATACTTGAATATAGGTACAGATCTTTTATAAATGCCTATCATTGATATGTTAAGTTTCAACAAAAATCTGTTTTTCAATTTCAGGCCAAGATGTCAAGGCTTCACCAGAAACAGAAAGTGGAAAAGAGGAAGCTAATTAGTGACATGACTGATATAGGAGATGAGGTCAGTTTGAGAGGAAAACCTCAGTATGGTGGGACTAATAGAACAGCATGTTTGTAGAAGCAGGAATTTTATTTCATGCCTTCCTCAGGTGTTATAGAGAAACCGAAAATCTTACATGACCTACCTTACAACACTGTTTCTTCTACTTATTCTTTCCAATCAGTTAACCCATTATCAATGATCTGATTTATGCAGACAACTTGATTTGGGGGACCATTGTCAGTGAAATGACCTGTGTCTTTGATAATATATCTTTTTTCTTTGGAACCTATCTGGTCTTACTTAGGACTGAAATTTTCACTATTCATTGGGAAATTAATCAAGATATCCTTATGTAATGTTTATTATGTGATTTTATGAATTTTGAGGTACAGTGAGATAAACAGTTGGATTAATTACTGTATCAAGTAATTAGCCTATGCCTTTTGATAAGCTCATCCACTTCTATTGCAGTTTCAGAAGAAAATCACTCACTGTTCTATCATTATGTCTCCTCCCTAATTTTAGCTGGAGGTCATGTGTTACACCTTTGATCTTACTGTTCTATCATTATGTCTCCTCCCTAATTTTAGCTGGAGGTCATGTGTTACACCTCTGAGCTTACTGTTCTGTAATAGTCCCACATGTCCAATTTGAGTCACTAGGCTTATTGATGAATAAAAAAGTTTTATTAGATTGTTGTGATAATTCAGTGAATAAGTGATGGTAATTAGTATTAAGAAAATTGTGTCAAACTCTGACCTCTTGACCACTGCAGGAGAGGAAACAGTTGCTGGACATGATGGATAAGGAACAACAAACAGAACAAGAGGAACAAACATTCCATCTGAAGCTGGAACAGGATGAAGAGATGGAAAATCTCAGAAAGGTACAAGCTTTTATTCATCAACAAGACGTTTTAGCAAGTTTGATTTTATTTCATCATTTATTTCATGGAAAACATTACATTACAGAACGTTTAGCGAATGTTTGGGTTTAATTTTGATATATAGGTAGACTGGATCCTGATTCCTTAACTAATGCCCTATAATATGAAATGTGGTTTTGTAAGCTATGTACTGTATGTCCTGTTAACCATATGGCATTTCTGACCATCATCTTTCAGACCAAGTGATAAACACCTCTTTTTTACTAATATGACCAATCTTCATTAAAGCAATATCAATTCTCTCAGAATGTGATTTTATTTGTACAGGAATATGCATAGTAGAAGAACTTGTTTCTCTATCTTTCTCTTTTGATACAGGAATGAAGTAGAGATTTATTGAACAAGAAAGACTTTGTAATTGATGTTTTAAGAAAAACTTAAGCTTGATGACAGTGAAATGTATCATCAATAATGAAGTGATATTAACGCTTTGTCTACTTAATGCGTTATTGAATTGTATCAGAATTAAAAAAAAGTCAGAAGTGATTTTCATCTTATTTTCAATGTTATAATTTTGGCATCATGTTTACAGAATTACATGTCCAATATCTTTTTTGTAGGAATTTGTTGCCCGTGAGAGGATCAATCAAAAAGAGCTCCACCAAAACATGTTAAAGGACCTGGAAGTGGATGGTAATCTGAATGATGAGAAGGTTCAATGGCTGCTCAATGAACACAAGGAATCACAGAAACGTCTTGAACATGTTTATGATGATGAAATCTCAAAACAAAGGATGCACCTCGAGGAGAAACTTGAAAGAAGACGGGGCCTGTCTAAACTTAGTGTAAGTTTAGTGTAGAAACTTGAGTGACGATTACCCCTGTCTAGACTTACTGTAAGTTTAGTGTAGAAACTTGAGCGACGACGACCCCTGTCTAAACATAGTGTAAGTTTAGTGTAGAAACTTGAGCCACGGTGACCCCTGTCTAGACTTACTGTAAGTTTAGTGTAGAAACTTGAACCACGATGACCCCTGTCTTGACTTAGTGTAAGTTTAGTGTGGAAACTTGAGCGACGATTACCCCTGTCTAGACTTACTGTAAGTTTAGTGTAGAAACTTGAGCCACGATGACCCCTGTCTTGACTTAGTGTAAGTTTAGTGTAGAAACTTGAGCGACGACGACCCCTGTCTAGACTTACTGTAAGTTTAGTGTAGAAACTTGAGCGATGACGACCCCTGTCTAAACATAGTGTAAGTTTATTGTAGAAACTTGAGCGACAACGACCCCTGTCTAGACTTACTGTATGTTTAGTATAGAAACTTGAATGGAGACAGGGCCTGTCTAAACTTAGTGTAAGATTATTTCATCCTGAATTCTGTAATACAGGAAAGTGCTGATTTCTTCTATTTGTCCATTTGTTTGATTGTTTTGTTAGCAAATCTCAGCCATCATCCAATGCACAGACTTCAGATATGTATGTTATGTGTATTTAAAAACGTAAAACAGATGATAAAAGCAAAAACTAAGAAAACTTTGTGACCTTGCGTGACCTTTTGACCTTTAAACTTAGGTTGAATAGTTTCCACAGTGCATCTCAGACAATTTGTTTGACTAATACATGAATTTTTCCAGATTGTATAGTTAAGAGGATCTGATCATTGGATATTTTTTTTTATTTTGTGTTATTGTTCTCGAACGAGGGACAAATTCATCTTTCAGATGAAGACTGACATTGAACTGTTAGTAACTTACAGAATGCTTTCTCCATAAAAAGGGTGAATTTGATGGCAATATAGGAAGAAAAAGGAGTGAAAGTTTGACAGATTCCAAGCAGAATGCTCCTAATTAACAAAGCAGAATGGCTACATGCTGTTTGTTTCAAAGCACCTGTTTTTTTTGCCATTGAATTTTGTATCGAAGTACAGCAGAGGGATGCCTCATGTATGCTTATATACCATTTGTTGTAATTTTCATTCATTTTACAACAATGATGAAACATGGTGATATTATCTGGGACCCTTTATGCCTTTTCACATATCACACGAACCCATTAGTTAACAGATGACAATTTTACGGATTTCTCTGTGCTGAACTACTGGTTCTATATCTTGATGATGAGGAATTACATTTTTCATGTTTCTAGGAACAAAAAGAAGATGACATGAGAGACACTTTGAATTTCCTAGCATCCAATATGAACGACTTCATCAAAAAAGCCAAGAAGTAAATATTTTATGCAAATTTGCATGATGTGTTTTATTTATTCTTCAAAGTAGTCACTTTATAAAAGATATTGAAATGTTTGTTTTATAGATCTATGGTCTGTCAGGAATTGAATTGATTTTTTAGCCTAACTTAGGCAATACTACTGTTTACTTTTCAAACAAATACCTTTTTATATGGAGACATGTTGTGCATCCTGTTGTGTCTCATTCTTCCCAGTCTCATCCCGTTCTCTCCAGTTTCATCCCATTCAATCTCATCCCGATCTCTCCAATTTCATCCAGTTCTCTCCAATCTCATCCCGTTCTCTCCAATCTCATCCCGTTCTCACCAATCTCATCCCGTTCTCTCCGATCTCATCCTGTTCTCTCCAATCTCATCCCGTTCTCTCCAATCTCAACCTGTTCTCTCCAGTTTCATCTTGTTCTCTCCAATCTCATCCCGTTTTCTCCAATCTCATCCCGTTCTCTCCAATTTCATCTTGTTTTCTCCAATCTCATCCTGTTTTCTCCAATTTCATCCTGTTCTCTCCAATCTCATCCGTTCTCACCAATCTCATCCTGTTCTCTCCAATCTCATCCCGTTATCTCCAATCTCATCCCGTTCTCTCCAATCTCATCCCGTTCTCTCCAATCTCATCCTGTTCTCTCCAATCTCATCCTGTTCTCTCCAGTTTCATCTTGTTCTCTCCAATCTCATCCCATTCTCTCCAATCTCATCCCGTTCTCTCCAGTTTCATCTTGTTCTCTCCAATCTCATCCTGTTCTCTCCAATCTCATCCTATTCTCTCCAATCTCATCCTGTTCTCTCCAGTTTCATCTTGTTCTCTCCAATCTCATCCTGTTCTCTCCAATCTCATCCCGTTCTCTCCAATCTCATCCTGTTTTCTCCAATCTCATCCTGTTCTCACCAATCTCATCTTGTTCTCTCCAATCTCATCCTGTTTTCTCCAGTTTCATCTTGTTCTCTCCAATCTCATCTTATTCTTTCCAATCTCATCCTGTTCTCACCAATCTCATCCTGTTTTCTCCAATCTCATCCTGTTCTCTCCAATCTCATCCCGTTCTCTCCAATCTCATCCTGTTCTCTCCAATCTCATCCCGTTCTCTCCAATCTCATCCCGTTCTCTCCAATCTCATCCTGTTCTCTCCAGTTTCATCCTGTTCTCTCCAATCTCATCCTGTTCTCTCCAATCTCATCCCGTTCTCTCCAATCTCATCCTATTTTCTCAAATCTCATCCTATCCTCACCAGTCTCATCCTGTTCTCTCCAATCTCATCCCGTTCTCTCCAGTTTCATCTTGTTCTCTCCAATCTCATCCTGTTCACTCCAATCTCATCCCGTTATCTCCAGTTTCATCTTGTTCTCTCCAATCTCATCCTGTTCTCTCCAATTTCATCACGTTAAAGCTTATCCTGTTCTCTCCAATCTCATCAGAATTTTGTATCTACAAGTGACAATACCACTGGTTATATTTGATGCTCTGACCTTTGAAAGTTCATAGATCATATCTTTAAGCCTTGACCTTTGTCAGGGATGATATTCTGGAGGCAGATGAAGCAAAAGAAATGTTTGAGAAGACCAAGAAAGACATGATTGCCCTTAAAGAACAAATGGACAAGAACCGCCGCAAACAAGAGGATGATCTTCACAAAAAACTCAGCAACCTGAAAAGGCAACGAATGCTTAATCTGGTAGAGGTTTTATTTGATGTGTTTTTGCTGACATTCAAATCATTTACAAGTACACCACAGTACAATGATAAATATCTTACATTTAATGTTGTCAGAAACAAAATCACTCTAAGATAATACCAGTATATTATGTTCTGCACCTAGCATTGATTAAAAAATATATTCATATCATTTACCTTTTATCATCTCCCTTGAAGATTATCTGATACCTACCCAATCCCCTCTACCTCTTGGGTAATATCAGGGTATATACATAGCATATATGTTGTCTGTCCCCTCTCCCTCTTGGGTACTATCAGGGTATATACATAGCATATATGTTATCTGTCCCCTCTCCCTCATGGATAATATCAGGGTATATACATAGCATATGTGTGATCTGTCCCCTCTCCCTCATGGATAATATCAGGGTATATACATAGCATATGTGTTATCTGTCCCCTCTCCCTCTTGGGTACTATCAGGGTATATACATAGCATATGTGTTATCTGTCCCCTCTCCCTCATGGATAATATCAGGGTATATACATAGCATATGTGTTATCTGTCCCCTCTCCCTCATGGGTAATATCAGGGTATATACATAGCATACCTATATGTTATTGATTCCCTTATATCTCTCTTATTCTGAATGCAGTATCAAACCAACTGTGTATGTATTTAAAGATAAATTTTTATCATTGTTACAGTTTACAGCATGTTACCTGTATAATCCAATATTGCCGTTTAAAACCAGACCTCTGCCTTATCCATGCTGCACAATTACTTTATATATATTCATTTATGAAACAAAGTAGTGATATATCTGTAAAAAATTATTTTCATTTGAATTCATGAATCTTAACCTTCTGTTAATATCAGCTCTCTATTTCTTATTCAAATAATTTCCAGAACTAAAACTTGAAATATTATGCACTCTGTCTTAACGAGTTCATGGAAAATGTAATTGTTTTAAGACTTTCGAATAAGGTTAATTCTTGTTAAGCAGAATATTTTGTACCAATGATATAGGAAATTCAGGTTGCTATCAATATGGAAATAAAATAAATTTTAAATTAAACATCTTAAAGATTTTTACCCTCATTTATTTCAGCAAAAACAGCAGGACACAGAGCTACAAAACTACATAAAGTCTCATTCTGTCCAGACAGATGGCCCAGTGGGTAGGCACACATAATTAATCTTAAAGTAGTATTGAAAATTATCATAGGAAATTGATCTAGACCAGCTAACATGTTTTTATGTTCTATAAAGAGAGCAATCACTTATGCAATCTAACATGAAAACCTGAGGTGAGTGGTTTAACATTTTTTACCCATTGTGGTTTTTGGCATGTTCCTCAGAAATGCCGAAACAGACTACTGTTGTGGTGGTGTCCTTTGGCAAGTTACCCCAATTGCTCTTTATGGCCTTTGATGTGCCTCCTGTATAATGTTCAATGAAGTAGCCACCAGCTACCACAAACAAGTACGTGCTAAGGTACTTTTTTGCTGTATTCTGATGGTATCATTTACTGTCACAGATCCATTGTCATTGGTGGAAGGCAAGCTCCAACTTCAGTCAAAACACAGAGATGAGGCATTCAAACTTAGCAACCAGTTGGATGAGGAACATGCTCATGACCTTGCAGCTCTACGTGAGGAAATTTCCTGTCAGACCGAAGAGGATCTTAGTAATTTACAGAAACAGCTCATTAACAACCTTAAAACCAAAGGTAGGTTGAAACGATAACATTCAGTTCGGTCTCTGATCTCAATCTGGTTAAAGGTCTGAAAGTAACTGTATAATACTGAATAATCAACCTCTAAACTCAAGTTAGATCAAGGTCACAGTAGTCTATAACATCTCATTATCAACATCTGAAATCAGGCAAGGTCAAGGCCACAATAACCCTATAATACCTGATTACTGAACTCTAAATACTGTTATCAGCTTAACAGTAACATTTTAGAGTTGTCCTGAGAAATTGGTAAATGTTAGAACAGCCACTAATTTGGAAAAAAGGAATATAGTTAAAATTGTTCAAGATCAAACTTGTAAGCTTCCTAAATACTTAAATTGTACTCACAAAATAATTTTTGTTTCAGGATTTTCTGAGGACACTGCACGGTTGTTAATCAAGAAACATCGAGATTCAATGGCAAAGTTACAGGATTCCCAGGAGGCTAATCTTCATAATCAAATGGTCAACATACAGGTCAGTCTAAATGATGTCAATGAGATTTAGCTGATTTAGTCATTACAATTGTAGTTTGTTATCAAGGACTGCCTGTTATTTTACCAAGTATTGGGTACTGCAAGATCAGTAGCAGAATGGCACAGTGGAAATACACTCACATTTCACCTAGGTGTCTAGGGTTTGTCTGCCAGAATGAATGTGAAAGGAATGAAGTCACCTGTTTGACCACACAGTTTCCTCCAGCATTAAGACCCCATGCAACTATATGAAATGTTTTCATCATTTCAAGTGTACAATTTATCAATAAATGTGTTGGCCTCTCACTGTATAGATTAAAGTAGTATTTTGAAGTATCAATTTGTATTGTTTAAAGTGTTAGTTAAACTTTATTACAAAATATATTGGTGTTCATGTTATGTTGGTTGATTTTACTCAGGAGAGGCTCCAAAGAAATCGGGCTGACCTTGAAATGAGGAAAGCACAAGAGAAACAAGAACAGGCACTACTTCGGGACAGGGAGGAGAAACTAGTCAAGTAAGGGAGACAACTTGTTGTCGTAAACTGATATGGCAATTTGAAAATAATCCTTTCCATTTAGCTTTTTTTTCTTAGCTAGAAATAAACACTCTCAAAGAACACATATGAGTACCTGGTTCTTTTCACTTTTTTAAATTCATGTAACATTTTGCTTAATATCAGGTCAGAAATACAATTATTTAATATGCATGCATGTATGTCATGTCTTGCTTCATATCAAATTTCTTATGAAAAAAAATATTCACCTTAGTTGGCTTTCAGTCATATAATCATGAAATGCCATAAGTTTAGATATAGTAATTTGAATATGTTGATTGTGGTGACAGTAACCTGATCACAGGACAGATGGTGATGTCTGATGAAGAAAGGGACAGGATTCTACAGGAGCATGAGAAACAGATGGTCAAACTAGAGAACAAGTGAGTTAAGAGAAACAGAATATCAAACTGCATTGTAAAGATTGTCTTTTGAATGTGTAAAGAAAACCAGAAAATACCAATATTACAACAAATCTTAAATGAAACTAAAAATTGATGAAAGGAAAGCAGAATTTACAAAAGGACTTCAGAAAAATTAGAAGACTAGACATTATAGAGAGGTTAACATCTTTTGCTTTATTGATGACATTCACCAAGAAAGTTTGTTACATTCTGAAATGTTTAAAACTATTTTAAATTACCTTTCAAATCAAATAAATTAAGTTATGTTAACACAATAGTGACACCCTAACAGTACACTGGTATGTGATGGCACGCAGACAAACTGATATTTTATTACCTTTAAGAGTATAAAGTTTTAAAATGAGCACCAAAACACTGCTGAGCTCTAGGAAAAGCACTGGAAATTTGTATATCCATTTTTGCAGTCTCACTTTGAATAAACTTCGACAAAAGAGGATGTTAGAGGAAAAGCTAATGGAGAAACGGGATAGACAGATGCACAAATTACAGGAAAAACAGCTGCAGCAGACACAGGTAGCCCTTGTACAGTAATTGTTATGAAAGTCTGTAGGCTGGATGCCATTAATATCTTTACTCCTTGTTCTTGTGAAAATATTAGTTGTCAGAATTTTTAGATAGATACAAGCAAATGTACATCTGAATGATAATGTACATGTAAATGTTGAACAAATGTACCTTTCTGTGAATATACATGCGAATACAATTCTTTTAACCAATCCCACTCTTAAACAAAAGATTCTGCATTACAGGCACAGAAACGAAAACATGAAAACAACGCCGAGGAATCAGACGAAGAAAGCCGCAAAGAAAAGACAGACTTACTTAAAGTTCAGTTTGAACAAAGGATGGCAATATTACATGGACAGAAACTGAACCTGGAAGATGAAATGGAAAATGTATGTGCCTTGAAATGAAAATGGAAGTCATCCATGAAATTACCTGAATGCCTTCAATCAATATCTGGGATAAATTACTTCTTACTTTTATTACCTCTTCATTTAGCCTATATGAGCTGAATCTATCTAAAAGATAAAGGAATAAGTTTTTGTCTATAGTTATCTCCCTTACCTAGTTTTCATTTTTTTTTCTCCTTGTTGCTTTTTGCCAGATTAATGTAAAATCACACTGTACCGCTAAATAAACTATAAAAACTTTAGTTTCAAGAGATGAATTAAGAAAATTGGCTCTGAATCCTGTGTGATTATTACAGTATTTTTGCTGACTAGAAATATCATATTGTGCTATAGGTTCGTGTGGAGATGTTGAAGCAGCGTGCCTTAGCCTTGAAGGATCAGGAAGAAAGACTTGGTGGTATGGTAGCAGCAATGCAAGTATCAAAGGCACATGAACTTTCTAAAATTCAGGAACAGCAAAAGGCCATAAACAACCTTAAGATGAACCTGATGGATGACTTGAATGAGAGAGGTGTGCTAGACAACAAGGAATGTCACGAAATCATTGATCGATACCGAGAGGTACAGTATTTAACAATACAAAAAATTATTGCTCTCAATTTCAAGGTCTGGTTCCGTAATCGTCTGCATACTACAGATCAATGCTATGTTAATGTCACCATGTCAGGGCTATGTTAAGGTCACCAGGTTGCGGAAATGTCAAGGTCATGTGGTCAGGGTTATGTTAAGGTCAGGTCTATGTTCAGGTCAATAGGTCAGGACTTTGTAAAGGTCACTAGGTTATAACTATGTTAAGGTCATCTTTGCAGGTGTAACACTTGGCCCAAGGAATAAGGAACAATCCAATTTAAGATATTAAACATCCAAAAATAGGCTGTCAGAGTTAATCTGCCTCAAGGCACAATTAAATTTATCAAAATACCAGTTTGGGACCGAGGTGAAAGTTTGAAGACTATGTCTTAGCAGAAACTGTGGTCAGATTTCAACATCTATAACCCATAACTAGCCTTACTTATGTCATAAGTTTTATTAGCATTCTAATAGGGAGTTAATGATATCATTGATAATATTACATTCTATCATGATAGAAACGGCTGCCTAAGATCTTGGAATAAAAAATGTTGAAATAGACAAATGTTATTGATATGTGTATTATATCCCTGATTTTTTATATTGATTTTTACTGATTGTTTATTTCAGGAGCAAGACAAACTACAACAGACTTTGGCAGCTAAACAGAAGCAGCATGAACAGGTTTGTTACCATGTTAATTCTTTCCTTCATATCAACATTGGTTCAAACACATTATTTAAATGTGAATATTAGGATATTTCTGTAGGTGGAAACAGGAGTACTGTGGGGAAAACTCATATAGCTCAAACACATTATCTAAATGCGATTACTAGAACATTTCTGTAAACAAAAACAGGAGTACTCTGGGAAAACTCACATGGTTTAGCAGGTGACCTCTTACCTTTTCATATCTATTCAGGGAAACAAACCCTGGACGGCTAGATGAAAGGTGAGTGCATTATCATTGTGCCACCTGTCATCCCAATTTGTCTCCTCATGTAATTAGGTGTTCAATGTCAGTATAACAGTTTTATGTCCTTAACATGGCAGGCAACATGTTTCTAAATACACAGAACCAACTGCACAGATCCCTGTCAGCCTGTGATAGACTTAAAAAATTAAAAACAATAGTCTGTTCTATGTTTAACATTACCGGTATATATTTTTAACACTGAGCGTCAGGTGTTACTCTATTAAAGGCCCTGGAGAAACGATTAAAGCTACGTCTGAAGCAGAGAAAAAAAGCACTAGAGGAGACACAGTATAAGGAACTCCAGGAGATTATAGACCAGACTAAAAATAATGTTACTAAAAAGATCAAGACAGCCCTGCTACGGCATAAACAGATGGTTGAGATGAAGCAGATGAGGTAAAGTGGAGTGCTTGGGATGTTTTATATGTGTTCAGGTGCCTGAGCCAGACATGCTTTTCTTTAAAATGTGCTGATTTGTACCTTCAGTTATTATAAAATACAAATAAACAGCAGGGCACAAAATAAATAAGACAAACTACAACTGACAGGTTTCAATATCTGTACTAAGTTAGGGGTTCATGTTTGGAATGCAGGTTGGACATGTAGGAGATGGGAGTTTGTGTTGAGGATGAGTTAGGGTTGTAGGTTTGGGTTGTAGGTTGAGAACTCAGGTGGGATGTGTGTTGGTGTTGGGTATGTAGATGTTGGGAGTTTGTGTTGAGGATGAGTTAGGGTTGTAGGTTAGCGGTGTAGGTTGAGAACTCAGGTGGGATGTGTGTTGGTGTTGGGTATGTAGATGTTGGGAGTTTGTGTTGAGGATGAGTTAGGGTTGTAGGTTTGGGTTGTAGGTTGAGAACTCACGTGGGATGTGTGTTGGTGTTGGGTATGTAGATGATGGGAGTTTGTGTTGAGGATGAGTTAGGGTTGTAGGTTAGCAGTGTAGGTTGAGAATGCAGGTTGGAGTGTGTGTTGGTGTTGGGTATGTAGATGATGGGAGTTTGTGTTGAGGATGAGTTAGGGTTGTAGGTTTGGGTTGTAGGTTGAGAACTCAGGTGGGATGTGTGTTGGTGTTGGGTATGTAGATGTTGGGAGTTTGTGTTGAGGATGAGTTAGGGTTGTAGGTTTGGGTTGTAGGTTGAGAACTCAGGTGGGATGTGTGTTGGTGTTGGGTATGTAGATGTTGGGAGTTTGTGTTGAGGATGAGTTAGGGTTGTAGGTTAGCGGTGTAGGTTGAGAATGCAGGTTGGGGTGTGTGTTGGTGTTGGGTATGTAGATGTTGGGAGTTTGTGTTGAGGCTGAGTAAGGGGTGCAGGTTGGAGTGTGTGTTGGTGTTGGGTATGTAGATGTTGGGAGTTTGTGTTGAGGCTGAGTAAGGGGTGCAGGTTGGAGTGTGTGTTGGTGTTGGGTATGTAGATGTTGGGAGTTTGTGTTGAGGCTGAGTAAGGGGTGCAGGTTGGAGTGTGTGTTGGTGTTGGGCATGTAGGCGATGGGAGTTTGTGTTGAGGCTGAGTAAGGGGTGCAGGTTGGAGTGTGTGTTGGTGTTGGGTATGTAGATGTTGGTTGAATTTATGGTATTGGTTGGGGTGTTGTTTAATTACATATAAAGGACACTCAGTGAGAACATCCATGTTAACAAAAACAGCAACAAAAAATGTAAAAGAATTTTCAAGTTACTTAAAATCTGCATACTCTATCTGACTTTGTATGGAGTAGATGATTTATCTTTTAATATCCATCAAAGATTCTGTAGGTGTTAATACCACAAAGTATTTTAATATGCTTTTGATTTAAAGTTTATCAATTTTGTTTAATCAACAGGTACCGTATTGACAGAGAAATATCTCAAACACTCCATGAAACACAGAGGTTGTTTGAGATTGAAAGGATGCAGAAGATTCAGGAACAGGTAAGGAATATATTTATAAAGACTTCAGTAGATTTACATGAACAGTCTTATATCTTCATACAATGAATACTACTTTGTCACATTTAAAACGTTTTATTTTAACTCTAGTTAAAACTGATCTTATGTAATGCGTTGAGTTAAGTTCCACTCCAACACTAGATAAAACTGATCTAATGTAATGCTGTAAGTTTAGTTTGATGTTCCCTCAAATTTTTTTGGGGAGCAAAGTTTCCGCTTTGCCCGTTCATCATTCTGTCAATTTGTCTTTCCTTCCTTTAGTCTGTTCAACCTTTCATTTTGTGTACAGAGCATAACTTTGCCTTCAGTTAAGCAAATATCATGAATCTTCATCAGTTACATTAAAGCAATGTGCAGTGTACTAGATTCAAGTCCCATAACCCCTTCTTTACAGAGCTGTATGTTAAAACATTGGAACACAACTTTGTTTGCATTTAAACTGGGTTGATAAGTTTTTGTGTATAGTGTTCATACTAAGGCAATGTGTATCAATTAACAAAGTTTAAAATACCAAATTGTTCATAAATATACACAAACTAGAAGGAAGTAGTGTTTCTGATGAAAGTCAGGACTAATAGACTATTGCATTTTATAATTGTTGATTTTTTGAAGGTAATTCTTTCCCACAATTTTTATTCTTTTCATTTAAAATAGAAAATAAAAATGAAACCTCTTGCTTACATTTTCCTGGGCTTTGAAAGCATTTTTTCAGTGATGTAGGGGGCACTGGTAATATCTCATTTTCTAAATGATTTTTGAGAGTGGTTTGTTATAGGAACTTCTGGTGATATCCCGTCTGATAAGTATCGGTGGATTTGGGAAGGAGGACCTGACTAATGTACTACGGACATTATTCCCATCAAAGACAGAAGAGGACATCAACACAATTCTAAGTAAAATCTATGACCCACAGAAGATGCAGACAGTACCTGTATCTAAGGAGAGAGAGTAAGTTACAGACGGATACCTTTTTCATGTAAACCTGTGCCAATTTCCTCATTTTGTAAATAAAGTAAAGTTAAGATTGGGCGATTACTTTAAAGCTGAAATATGTTTTTAACTTACCGGTTACAAGTAAAGTATTACGAGTGCTGTCCCCTCCCCATGTCTTCCCCTCCCCTGTGTCTCTCAGCATGTTCATTATTTTGGAGAGGCAAAAATTGGCAGTTTTATAAGAGGACATCCAGAGGCAATATTGTAAATTCTATTGAATAATAATGAATTAACCAATAAAGTCATTGAAAATAAAAATGTTTCTGAAATTGTACTACAAAATATTATCTGATGGAAATTACATGAAAATACCAGCTTGAATTGTAACCCTTTCCTGTGGTGCTTCCTAAGGTCAGAGTAATGTGCTTATTGATCTGTTCAGATATAAAAACGTCTTGCACTTCATATATATATAAACACAATACAATCTATACATATATATATCATTTTCCCATAGTGCCAATGCCAGTGTTAAATCTAAAGTGAGTTTGACAGCAAGAGTGAAGGAGTTTTCTCGCCGTGAATCGCTGGCTGAGATGCAAGCCATGGTTCAGCCCTCAACTCCACAACGCTCTAAGAAGTAAGTGCTATCTTTTCAAATTATAGACAACGTACTATGACAGATGAAAGAATAAGGATTTTGTGTTAGCATTGTTGCTAAGAGTTGATGTTCAAACATGCTTTGAAATCAATATCAATTTTGATCAGACAGGACTTTTGGGTATATAATATATATATTTTACATCACTCTAACAATAAGGTAAGGTTTACGTTTCTTGACAAGTCAAATTTTCAATTGTACCAGAAGCTTGATTCAAAAAGGAAGCATTTTTCATGGAAGTCATGAAATGGGCAATATCATTTTGAATTGTTTTAACTTTTATTGAAATGATATCATTGATGAGAATTTAAGATTGGAATAGAAGTGAGAATCGTTTAACATAACTGATAAATGAATATCATTTAATGAGTTTAGTTAGTGGTTATTTACCCCAGTATTGTCGGACATGTTTCATGTTGAGCCTTTCTTTGTTTTCATTAATTATAAGAGATATTACCTTCATCCAACATCTAGGATGTTGCTTGAGGCCTGAGTCAATGTGGTCACAATGTTCATATACAGATATATACTCTACGTTAAGCTTGATGGCGTTTCACATAAGTTATGGTTCTTTAATAAAAGCTTGATCATATCAAAATAGAGAAAGGTCTTTAAATGTATAATATCAGTATAAATTATGGAAGAGCTCAGCAGAACACTGACATCTGTCAATGAGACGATGCCTAGCCATAGGGAAAGTCATGTATATGATAAACCTGTAATCAACCAACCAACCACCAACCAACCAACCAACCGACAAACCAACCAACCAATAAACAAATAAACCAATCAACCAACCATACAGTTAAATGATTTTAAGTTGAGTTATGATGCCTTTTTCTCATAAAACTACCTTAATGATGGCGTCATATCACTAAACATCCAACTGATAAATCTAAGGTCTCAGTGACCTCACATACTGCTAGCTTTATAGTGCGTACTATCACAAAAGAGCTGGGCTTACAGTCAAATGTTGATATCTTCACTGTCCTCCTGAGAACATGATCATTTTCAAGAAATTATCCACAATTTTTAGTCATCTTTCTATGATTTATGAAAATTGTCCTTGATTTTTTCACTTTAAATTTTATCTGACACAGAGATCTCTAAAATAAGAAGCTTACATTGTTTCATAAATCGAATTTGAAATAAAAAAATTTGAGAAACACTCTCTCAGAAAAACTGTAAATGGATAATACATAAGGGCAGCATTTCCAGCTTTATTTTTGTGGATACTCAAAAAGATTTAAGAATAAAAAGCTCTTTGATTTTATCATTAGTGTCTTTGGTTTTCAGAGGAAAATCCAAGCAAAAGTTTGTGGAACGATTGGATGAAGAGGAACCTGTTCCTTATCCTTCCTATTCACGTCCAGACCCTATAGGGGAGGTACGAGACATGCGTAAGCAAAATGATGACGAGTTTATGGAAGCCAGACATATCAACTCAGACTACCTACAGGCTCAGCCTCTCAACAAACCTCAGTTACCTCCCCTTGAATCACCTCAAGAAAGCGGTGGCAGGAAAAAGAAAAAGAAGAAATTATTGAAAAAAATGGCAAAACCAAAACAGGGTTATGACGATGATGATGACATTTTGTGATAGACTTTTATAACTTAATTTTTTTAGTAACTAAGTCTAACTTTATCTTAATCTATGTTGTAAGAAAGTCAAATATGGTGTCCGAAATGTTGAATGTCATTAAGATAATCAAAACAGGTGTTGAACTAGTGGGCTAGAAGTGCTTTATAGATCATACTGTGGTCACATTATATCCTAGCTGAACTGACTACAGTGCATTGCTACCATCTTGTGTATTTTTTGAGCTATAATCTGTTTACCTTCTCGCCACACCATTATCGACCTTATTGTACATATGATTGTAGTACAGCCAAACAAGTTTACCATCTTGTACACCAGTTACACCAGTGGTAGTACGCTCCACACTGGTCATTTGTCTGATGAAGCTGATTGTGTAGTCTTTAAAACATCACACTGAAATCGTCTACTGGTTGTGTTATCAGAACTTTTATTCTATTGATATTACAGACCTGAAAAAGGTGTTCTGAAATGATAAATCTTTGTTTCTTCCATAGCGTACACCTTCAGGTGTACCTTACCTGACCTAATGTATTACCTGTATCAGAAATCCATTCTGAAGAAATCATGACCTCACTGATAATGGAAACCTATAGTGCTCCATAACATCATCACAATTGTACATGTTATTGTTTGTGGGTTTTTTTATTGCTGGATGCTTATGCTGTTCATACACTTATACATGTAGGAAGCTTTGGTAACTGAAGAAAATAGAATTTTTTATATGAAAATAGGTACCATATTACCATGGTAATAAACATATTGATACTTTCTTGATTTTAAAAATTGGGACAAAGTTTGAAAAATCTAAAATGAAAATTCCTTTAGGAAAAATGTGATTGAGTTATCTCTCTTTACCTGCACTTATTAAAACATTTTCAAAGTACAAAACAGACTGGGTTGTAAATTTTAATGTCCCTTTTCATACATTTCCAAAATTGATGGTCTGTTCTAGTTACTTCAGAAATATTTACATGTAGAATGAACAAAGGTAACATGAATTGTACATGATAGGATTTACATTGTAACATTGAAGATGCCAATATTTCGTTATTACAACTGTAGTAGTGTATTTAATTAATGACTACGTTGAAAAACATGATTTATTTCCTTTTTAAGATCAACATTCCTTGTTAGATATCTATTATAGGTGTATTGTATGAGTGCTGTTAAGGGTAAATTTTGTAAACTGTGATATTTTACTGTTAATTCTTATTTTATGATATTCTTTACATAGTTTTTATACATAAAGTAAAATATAGACATAAATCATACCTCTGGTATATTTCATTGTTCTCTAATTTCTTAACAAAATCAAAATACTAAAGGTGTCCCTTACATTACATACCTCTTCACTGATAGCCTTCATGGCAATGTCTGAATTTATCATACCCTATGTTTTCTACAGAAAGCCCAGGGCCTAACAGCATAATCACTATTCAGGAGTTGGACTGATTACCGGACAATGAAAGAACATTTTTGGTAATCATTCAAGACCTGCTCAATCGATAGATATAGGGACCTGTATCACTAGTGTAGTATACAGCTGTCCAGACAATAAAGGGTTTCTATTGGGCTGATGAAGAATCCCTAGCCTAACCATTGAAAGTTAGATACTAAACACTAGTGTAGCCTTGATAAATGGGTTGTATTTTGTTATACAATATTATAACATTAGTTGCAATATGAATTAATAGTCATACCTGTCATCTTTTCCCTACTTTTGTGAAATTCTCACTGAATTTTACTCCAAATTGATGAATTTTAATTCTGTGTAATTTTTAAATCTTGCATTGATACTGAGCTAATTACTCTACATAGAAGAATTAATAGGAAATTTCATATGGATAATAAGGACAGTACATTTTTTTGTGTCACCACTTTCTCCCTTCCTTCAAATGTATGTGAAAAGTTGACAGGTTTGACCTGTATGACATGAGATTTAATTACCTGTGTCCAGTGTCATCATTTCAATGCACTATGTGCATTTGATTTTTGTAATGGTAAATTAAAATGATTTATGTTAAGGTTGTATGTTGCTCTAACTATGGTATGTGAGTTATCTCCCTTGCAAATTTTTCCTAATCTTTCAAAGTTTCCTAGTAAAGTGAGTAAATATATTGCATACATTAATATGTATCTTTCATGTAATTTTTTTAAGTAATAAAATTTAATGACATATTACTATTCATGGTTGAAAAATTGAGATCTGAATATCAATGGGAGAAAAACAACAATAAGTACAGGTAACATACATTCTCACTAGTCCTCTGGAATGGCTGAACATATCCTCCAAAAATATATAATGACCTGGTAATACATATTATATAGATATTATGAAAAGTTATATTCCTCATTGATATTCAGTTTGAAGGCTGGTATCACTACTAAGTGTTTGTTGTATGTGTACCACACTTGGCTTCACTATTCTTGTGCTGTTTACATTGGTAATATCTACTGAAAAACAATTTGTTATTTTCCTTACTTGTCCAGTACATTCCAAATGCATGTTTTGTGCATTTTGCATATGTTTCCAATACAGGCAAAAATATCTTTTTTTTCCAATGTATTTCATATCAAATGTTTAACTTAAATATGCTGTAAATTATTTTTGTCATTGACAGTTTATCTAACTTGAAACATGAAATCCCAAAACTTGGAATATCTGGTGGATTCAATGTTAACCTAAAAATATGTAAAGAAGTTAAAATTATTGTGAATAAAGGTCAATCAAAGACAAAATACGCTGAAGTAGGTTACAATTTGAAAATAATTCCATTTGTAAAGACAATTTGATTTTTTTCTACATGTACAGTTTAAAAGAAATAACAATTAACGTTTATTTAGTTAGGCAAATCTATTCCGTCCATTATTTGTTGTAGCTAGCACACACGGTGCTTCCAGTCGGAAGTCTTACAATTTTCTACAGCAAATAAACTATGAATTAGTATCTACAGTTTTTCTGACTTGTATGTTTCAGGACTGGACTAGATACGTAACTGGTCCAGTCTGATAACCTTTGTGAATTCTAAATACATAACAAGGTACTTTAATTGCTAGTATAAGCTTTTTGACAAAATGTTGTCAGTTAGGAACTCTTAGGAAGAGTTCTTTCCCCTTAATTTTACATAACCTTAAATCTTGTCTAGATGTCTCAGTTCTACTGATAAACTGATACTTTTTAAATCTGTGTAGTATTTATAACCATAACATAACATACATTTTCCTGATAACTTGACAATTATAGCAAGTTCATTCATACCCATTGAATTCTTCACTATTTTGTCAAGAGAATATCTTCTTCACTTCCGAACTGACTACATTTCAAATTAAAAGGCTTTTTCATGTAATGTAAAATTATTGTTACCTGTTACCTATCCACTTCATGCCTCGTGGCATATAAAGCATTGACAGAGCTTTTCCATCTCTTCCAGTCTGCTGCCACTGTTCTCACTTAGTTCCAGCATTTCCAGCCTGCTTCCTCTCTCTCCTTCTCTATCGTTTTCCGCCATGTCTTCTTTGGCCATACTCTTTTCCGTTTTCCTTCTGAGGCCCTTGCTTGTTAATGCAACATAGCAGTCCTTGTTCTTGTCCTGCCACATAATTTGCCCAATCTTTTTTGTCTTTTAAAAACTAAGCAATTCCTTTTGGCACCAGTCTTCCTAACTCTGTAGACTCTGCCTTTCTGAAGCAGTCTTCTTAATTCTAGACTCTTCCTTTCTGAAGCAGACTTCTTAAAGAAAGATCATATTCCATTCTTACGGAAGATCTTGCAACGGAAGGTACCAAGGCTTCTAATAGTTGATCATAAGCATACCGAGTGTACTTTGTTGTATGCTAGTCTGAACCTTTTAGAAGCAGATCATGAATGGTCAAGAAAAGGACTATTTTAAAAGTGACCCTTAAACATTGCTGAAAAAAATACATAGATAGTGAAGGCAATTATATTGAAAAATAATGCAATGTGTCCACCAAAAGTATTTGACAACCCTTACATGTTTCAAACTTTCCTCAATTTATTTTTTCAGTCTTCATCAACTTGTGTTGCCCGTCAGCAGGCTTCCATTGTACTTGATAGCCCTTACATGTGTTTCAAAGTTTCCTCAATCTATGAAGTCTTCATCAACCAGTGTTGTACCTCAGAGGGTTTCTGTTGTGGATAATACACTTACATGTTTGAAAAAAAAAACAAAAAATACAAACAAACAAAAAACAAATAAACTATGTCATATCCATCTCTTTTATGTGGAATGTACAAAAATAAAACATCAACAGAGAGAACAAATAACAATGCAATTATATTAAAAAATAGTACATGTTATATGTACATATCAATAATATACCAGGTAAACAACAACAGCAACTCTAGTTATAACACACAGTGAATGGAGTAGATAGTCCTTAATACACAGTGAATGGAGTAGATAGTCCTTAATACACAGTGAATGGAGTAGATAGTCCTTAATACACAGTGAATGGAGTAGATAGTCCTTAATACACAGTGAATGGAGTAGATAGTCCTTAATACACAGTGAATGGAGTAGATAGTCCTTAATACACAGTAAATGGAGTAGATAGTCCTTAATACACAGTAAATGGAGTAGAAAGTCCTTAATACACAGTGAATGGAGTAGATAGTCCTTAATACACAGTGAATGGTGTAGAAAGTCCTTAATACACAGTGAATGGTGTAGAAAGTCCTTAATATACAGTGAATGGTCTAGATAGTCCTTAATACACAGTGAATGGTCTAGATAGTCCTTAATACACAGTGATTATTTACCAGTAAATATTTCATTATGACATGCCAAGCCTTCACAATTAGCCTTGGACGCCTAGTTTTACTGTATCTATAATTAATCTTTTCATTCACTTAACATTTCTTTTTAATTCAACACACAATATTTTACAATGAAAAGTTATATTGGGCAACCTTAATTGGATTATTGATTAATAATGATAGCTATGCTGGTCCATCTGATTGCATATAGGCAGATAATCATCAACCAATCACTGCACTGCTTTCAAATGATGACAAATGTATCCAAAAAAATAGCTGGATTGAGTAGGGATATATAACACAAAGTGATAAGGAACTAGACCCAGTGGTGATTTCTCTGACATGAACTTTTGTGTTTGTGCACGGAGTTGTTACTTCCCCTCTTCTTCATACTGTTAACTACCCTTATCTATCTATATCCCAGTCACATCTATGCTGACTGACCAGACCACAGTCTTCTGTTTTGGCCAGTGAGAAGCAATTAGTAACAAAGTGGTATACAATAAAAGGATGGTATTTCAGTTGTAAACAACTTAAACATGCATTTTGTTTGATAGATATCATGAAATTAACTGAAAAAAGTTGTCATTAAAATGATCAATTTGAACATTACTAAGCTGCTCTCTTCTATTGCTTACTGAGAAAAGATTACCTAGTGATATGATTTTTTAGAATAATGGTTTATAAACTTGTCAAAGCTAGTTATCTTGAAATTCTTTGCTAAAGCATTGCAGTGAGATATAAGCAGTTTCTTATCCTCAGTATTATATGTCCCTGGTTTGAGTTATAATATACATGAAATGTGCATCGTCACTTCTTGTCAGTACTGCCAACTCACCTGATTTTGTCACATCAACCTGATATTATCCATATCATGACCTGCTCAAACCATGACAAGTTCTATAATTATATCATCAAATATTTAAAAGTTTCAAATTAAATTCTTAAGATCGAGTACATGTATAATCTAAATAATGTTCAAATATAACACCAAACATCAACAACATAAATGACTATAAGATAATAGTATTTTACTTGATGACCCTTTCAGATATCCTGTCATCCTTAAACTTAAAGGCTAGGCCTAAATATCATTTGACAAGAGGCTGGAAACACTACCTTCTTACTCTACACATGCCTATAAGAAGCTACCTGTATGAGCTTGATCCTTATATAAAAAGCTATGGATATGGTGGGTGATGAATAGACTATTGGTAAACAACCTCAGTATAGATGGTGTCTTTACATATAAATGTACACTTAAGCTGGTTTTTTTTTTATTTCAACTATTTTAACCAATAATGCCTAAGTTTAATATGGAAATTCAGTTATCTAATCAGATGTTATTTTATCTTACAAAAACTATACAAGTGTCTCTTACAAGATAGCAACATCAAAACAATTTTCTAAATAAACATGGTAATGAGTTTATTTTCATAGTTATAGTTTTGGCAGGTTAACTAAAATCTAAAATAAAAAAAGCAGGTATTCAATGCCTTTATTTCCTAATTTCATTTGGCGTTATCCTAAAAATAATGAAAACTAAAAGCCCTTTAAAACAATGTTACAACCAAACCTCCTTGACTATGTAAGTATGGTTTTATGTGTTCTATGCTAAACTGCACCAAATTTCTGACATTTTACTACTTCAGTTGTAACTTCAATAATGAGACTTGCTTTGGAAGTCAAGAGAATACCACACACCACGGGGCTAACTTTCTCACTTCAATCTATAATGCTTACCCTGGAATTTAAATCTAGCTCCAAGATTTCCATCTACAATGCTAGCTCCCATCTATAATGTGGGTAGAGATTTCCATCTACAATGCTAGCTGTATAATGTGGGTAGAGATTTCCATCTATAATGCTAGCTCTATAATGTGGGTAGAGATTTCCATCTATAATGCTAGCTCTATAATGTGGTTAGAGAATTCCTTCTAGAATGCTAGCTCTAATAATGTGGGTAGAGATTTCCTTCTATAATGGTTACCCTGGTTTTTTTTATAAGTACACAAGTAACTCTATGTGTTGACTGGTCTGCGATTGCAGTGGTAATCCACTCGCCTTTCATCTAACCATCCCAGGGTTGATTCTACAGTCCAGAACGAACATGAAAAGGTGTGGGGTCACCTGCCTGACTAGTAGGTGGGTTTCCTTGTGTACTACCAGTTTCCTCTCACAGAAAGAACATCCCCCATCCCTCAGGTGTGCTTCTATCCAGGCCAACAAGAGTGATTAATATACTAATATACTGGGTAAGCTGGAAACTTGTTTCGTAATTGTAGTAAATTAACCAAGATTTATAATTTATAAATATACTATATCATATTTAAATGTATCTGCATGATTTTAATGTACAACTATCAGATTAATATTTTTATCTTTAGCTCTAAAACTATAGAGTGTAAAGTTAGCTCGGAGTTTGCTTTTTGGAAAAAAAAACTTCCTCACAAAAAGTATATTACAATCTTTTATATCCAGATTAATCTTAATTACTTCTTACTAACTATATCAAGTTTCATTTTGATTAGTTTTCGATATCAGAGTGAAAATAGTCATGTCATACACATGTAATATGTAATATCTAAATATTCTTTTCTCTTTGTTTCAAGACAGAAAAGAAATATATTCATACAAAAGATAATATTGATTGTACTACAATACCCTGCTATAAAGGTGAGATTTCAAAAAATAAAATACATCAAGAATTGACAACTTCTACATCATGTGTAAGTCAACATGAGTAGCAACTCTGGAATCCAGGCTTCCAAATTGCCTTGCAATAGATACGAACATGGACGGAAACAATTTACACAAATATCAATAAACATATATAGATTTCAGTTTTTGTGACACTTAACACATACAGCCAAGAGTACAATTAAATCCAACATACTCTAATTCAGTATAAATTGAGAATTCTAAAGGTTATATATTTATTGACTTGTATTGTGGATTTGACCAACTTACCGTGTAAAATTCATTGGTTAGCTACATATCCATATAGAAAAAGAGCTGTTTAACATTTATACTGAAAACATGCGACAAAGGAAAACATGTTCTCTGATAACAAATTGTTAAAGATGCAATCTGTCTATCGTTTCAGAATACATCTTACCACCTACTGGTAGTGGTCTCAGCCAAGGAGTGGGGAGAAAACAAATACATACAGAATTATATTACGTAATGTATTATACCAACCTCAAAACAACTCAAATTATTTCAAACATATCAAAAAGTTCATATGTCAGAATCACATGTTTGTAAGAAGATATTCATATTTTAGAAGCATCAATTGAAGATTACAGACACAAACGAGACTTTGATACATCAGGCCAATATATACCTGTATGTTCAAAAGTAAAAAATCTTAGTGTTTCTAGAACTCAGTTTCTGATAAATTTATGAACAAGTTTCTGAACATTCCTTTCATGCAAAGAAATAAACAACAGTTGTAGCTGAAGCATTTTTTAAAGAAAATATTGAAATATTTATCACAAGATTCACTATACCTGGGCATAATCATTAAAGTCCTGACTAGCTCAGTGCTAATGATAATACTTTCAGCAGATCACATTGATAACCAGTTATTGCATAGTTTCAATGCATATTTACATGCATTGCTTTAAATTGCGGAAACACAGTGCAGAAACAATTTGAAATATTTCCATCACAAATATTCCTTAAAACAGTCTCTCAAGCAACAGATCCTTAGCACACTATACACTCTCCATTGTGGAAAAGTTTTAAGTGAAATGTTAGGTTCATCATTCAGCAAATATCAGCCAAAGATTGAGGAATAGGTCGGAACTTTGGATTTTATTGATGGCAGTGCTTCCTGGAGAGAGAAACAAAGAATCAATGTATAGTAAATTAATATCAAGAAGCTGTGTATTCAATACAAACATTTGTAAGACTTGGACTGCAGACTAAAGACTAGTTCTGTACATCAGTTATTGTCTTTCTATTATACATAAAATACTTCACTAGAACATGTCAATAACATTCACAAATTAAAGTACTCTATATTCAGAAAATTATCATTATCAAGATGTTTTCAATAAGTATAAAAAGCAAAGCATAGAATTTCAGAAAACAATTCACAACTTCATGATAATAAATCATATCAGTGATCACAATTATTCATTTACTGTTGTCTTGTTTCTATTAATGTAAGGCAAGTAACCAAAATCTATAGGTAGCTTAAACATTTAGTGAAAATATTAAAATCATTTGAATTAAAGCTATTTCTGTAAAATTATATTTTCGGATAAAAGTAGATGAAAGAGATCAGTTTTTGACTTGATAAAATGTACATTGAATGGATTAAAATTCAAAGGATTGTAATTTACAGCTCACTCTAAACGATCTGACAGCAGTGGATGGAAGAAAATTTGACTTGTCAAAAATGCATTCCAACAGCTGGTTTAAAGTTTATCTTGATGATGCCATACCTTTCCTCCATTTTGTTCCAATGTTTGTAAAACTTCTGTTATTTTATCTCTGTATTTCTTGTCCATCATTCTTTTAGCAATCTAAAAGCAAACATGTTGAACTTCATTATATTACCTGTTGTCAACACTACAGGTGATCACACACAGTATTTACTAACTGTTGTAAACATTATAGATGATAACACACAGTATTTACTAACTGTTGTCAACATTATAGATGATAACACACAGTATTTACTTACTGTTGTCAACATTATAGAGGATAACACACAGTATTTACTAACTGTTGTCAACATTGTAGATGATAACACATAGTATTTACTAACTGTTGTCAACATTATAGATGATATCACACAGTATTTACTAACTGGTGTCAACATTAGAGATGATAACACACAGTATTTACTAACTGTTGTCAACATTGTAGATGATAACACACAGTATTTACTAACTGTTGTCAACATTATAGATGATAACACACAGTATTTACTAACTGTTGTCAACATTGTAGATGATAACACATAGTATTTACTAACTGTTGTAAACATTATAGATGATAACACACAGTATTTACTAACTGTTGTCAACATTGTAGATGATAACACATAGTATTTACTAACTGTTGTAAACATTATAGATGATAACACACAGTATTTACTAATTGTTGTAAACATTATAGATGATAACACACAGTATTTACTAATTGTTGTAAACATTATAGATGATAACACACAGTATTTACTAACTGTTGTAAACATTATAGATGATATCACACAGTATTTACTAACTGTTGTCAACATTATAGATGATAACACACAGGATTTACTAACTTTTGTAAACATTGTAGATGATAACACACAGTATTTACTAACTGTTGTCAACATTATAGATGATAACACACAGTATTTACTAACTGTTGTCAACATTATAGATGATAACACACAGTATTTACTAACTGTTGTCAACATTATAGATGATAACACACAGTATTTACTAATTGTATTCAGCATAATAAGTTATTATCAACATTAACTGCTAACAGACAGATAATCATCAGTAATTCCTGTTTTAAATATTAAATCTGTAAACTTACAGGCACCATCAGAAGTTTAAGATGTTGGTTCAGTGATGGTCCAACCACATCACTTAGCTGTAGCAGTGCATCCAGACCAGCATCAAATACAGAACTATCTGAATGGCTCTGGAAAATACAAAGATAAATGTATAAATCATAGTTGCACTCACATGAAAATAATATGCTAAAAACAGCTAATGTTTTAATCAGGACACCAGAGCTGGAATTATGTCTTACTCAGGACACCAGAGCTGGAATTATGTCTTATTCAGGACAACAGAGCTGGAATTATGTCTTACTCAAGACACCAGAGCTGGAATTATGTCTTACTCAGGACACCAGAGCTGGAATTATGTCTTACTCAAGACACCAGAGCTGGAATTGTGTCTTACTCAGGACACCAGAGCTGGAATTATGTCTTACTCAAGACACCAGAGCTGGAATTGTGTCTTACTCAGGACACCAGAGCTGGAATTGTGTCTTACTCAGGACACCAGATCTGGAATTATATCTTACCCAGGACACCAGAGCTGGAATTATGTCTTACTCAGGACACCAGAGCTGGAATTGTGTCTTACTCAGGACACCAGAGCTGGAATTATGTCTTACTCAGGACACCAGAGCTGGAATTGTGTCTTACTCAGGACACCAGAGCTGGAATTATGTCTTACTCAGGACACCAGAGCTGGAATTTTGTCTTACTCAGGACACCAGAGCTGGAATTGTGTCTTACTCAGGACACCAGAGCTGGAATTGTGTCTTACTCAAGACACCAGAGCTGGAATTGTGTCTTACTCAAGACACCAGAGCTGGAATTGTGTCTTACTCAGGACACCAGAGCTGGAATTATATCTTACTCAGGACACCAGAGCTGGAATTATGTCTTACTCAGGACACCAGAGCTGGAATTGTGTCTTACTCAGGACACCAGAGCTGGAATTATATCTTACTCAAGACACCAGAGCTGGAATTGTGTCTTACTCAGGACACCAGAGCTGGAATTGTGTCTTACTCAAGACACCAGAGCTGGAATTGTGTCTTACTCAAGACACCAGAGCTGGAATTGTGTCTTACTCAGGACACCAGAGCTGGAATTATATCTTACTCAAGACACCAGAGCTGGAATTGTGTCTTACTCAGGACACCAGAGCTGGAATTGTGTCTTACTCAGGACACCAGAGCTGGAATTATGTCTTACTCAAGACACCAGAGCTGGAATTATGTCTTACTCAGGACACCAGAGCTGGAATTATATCTTACTCAAGACACCAGAGCTGGAATTGTGTCTTACTCAGGACACCAGAGACACCAGAGCTGGAATTATGTCTTACTCAGGACACCAGAGCTGGACAGCAGAGCTGGAATTGTGTCTTACTACTCAAGACACCAGAGCTGGAATTGTGTACACCAGAGCTGGAATTATGTCTTACTCAGGACACCAGAGCTGGAATTATGTCTTATTCAGGACACCAGAGCTGGAATTATGTCTTATTCAGGACACCAGAACTGGAATTATGTCTGCCTGAATTGAATGCTGAGCCATTTTTCTTCAGGCAACATCATTATTACTAGAGTCATACCACCTTCATACAGAGACATTATGCCAATCTCCAAATTTAGTATGCTAGAGTCATGGAATATCAAAATGAAGTATCAAAAAAAAAGAAACTTACATATGTAATACAAAACAAGAGTATCAGTGAAACTAAGGAATGCTCCCCAAAAACGACTTTAATGGACACAAAATTTTAACAAATGGAAATAATTCTGTAATAAAGGGGTTGTAGACCCTGAATTTGGTATACTGCACATTATTTTAGTATGGCCAATATATACACCAAGTTTCATTATCCTAGTTTTAATGCAAGCAACGACATTGACATGACACAAACTTTTAACAAAGGGCACTAACTCTGTACTGAGAAGTCATGCTTATGTATGACTGATGTATACATCAGATATCAATATCCTAGTTTAAATGCAGGTAAAGCAATGTTCAAGATTTAAACAAAAGGCAATTACAGAGTAATATATATGCTCCTGTGAAATTTTCGAGGGGCACAATCAGATAAAAATGTTGACAATACTCGTCTTACCAAACTTGTACGAACTGCTATACAGACTTTTGGCAAGATCGGCAATACTTTTTCTGTAGCACCCTCAACTTCAAGCAGTTCTTTAAACCCAGTCCTGGCCACAAACATATAGGGATGTACTGTCTCCTTTAAACCCTGTACAGTAACATAATTTAATTTCCTGAGTAGCCAGTGACAAGTTAACACACAACAAAGAATAAGATTCTATAATCGGTGTTTGTGATACAATGTTACACATTTACATGTATACATGTATATATAGATATAAGAAATATCAATATGAAGAATGTAGTCATGTATGCAGGATTCTAAAATTGTAATGAAGTTAATGATAAATCTAGCTGAAAACAGAGGCAAGAAATATCTGTACACATTTCAGAAACCTAAACCTGTTTACCTAGTCTGGTTTATTGAAGTGTGACCTCCATAGTTAGATACAAGTATGAACATAGGAAACTTTTGGATACATAACATTAAAGACATGGATGTAAATGAAAAGGCTATCAATGGTCAAAATGGAACAGAAAATTAAGGAAACAATGAACCACATTTGATAAACATTTATTCATATATATAGGTAAAATGTATATTCATAATGAAGTGCAAGCTATAAAGTCAAGTTTTCAATCAGTTGCATGATCACTTAAGGACATCTGCGACAAAAATATAATAAAGACATATAAAAGAAAGTTTACCAAAGGAAGGCTACTGTAGATAAATTAAATAGATACAGACGAGTTGACTACATAAATACTTCTTAATCAAGGGATAACTTACCTCTGCTAGGGTCACCAGAATGGGGTCAAAAGGTACCTGCTCTGGTGGAGTTTCCCAGGCCAACTTGTGTTTGACTGAACCATGAAACAACCTGGAAATGCAATTGCTATGAGAATCACCACATAGTGACCTATCCCTAAAGTCTTATCATGCAAAAGACAAAATACAAAGATATGTGCAATTTTAAATCAAAAATATTTAAACAAATCAAACTTTATTTTATTCACAGCCATTACCAGTGGAATTAAATGTCAAGTTGGTTTTTAATATCAAGAAATACAGTACTAGTAAAACCTGTCTATCCTGAGTTTCAGACACCCTGTAGAATCATACAGAATGTTGTTATCCTAAAGCACAGAATACTTATTGTCTTAAAAAATGTATTTCTCATTCAAAATCTAAGGGACAAACTGACTGCGACAAAATGTAAAGAAATATTTACATGCAGCAACCAATGTAAAAGCTCAAATAGAATAACATCAAAAATGTTCAAAATTCATAAATTTCTCTACATATTTCCATAATCTATTAATTCCACTTCTGGGCTTTATTATATAATGTCATACAAAGAATGGTATCTAAATGTTTTATTTTGATAAAAGCTTTGATATGCTAATTAAGGATTCTGAAGTATGCTGTTACAGAAAGTCAATGTACATGTGTTATTATTTAGAAAGATTATACATAGAATGAAATTTAAACATGTTTATCTTGAAACATATTTACCAACCAATCAAACTTGTCTATAAAGACTGCTCAAGGAGGAACACAAAAATGGTTTCCAGACATAACCATAATAGGTAAGTAAAATGGTTGTAAGACCTGTGAATTCTTCCAACCTGCTTAATCAGACCGATTTGATGAGTCCCATAGATTATGGGATTAAACAGGTTTTATAATTAAACTAACATACAACACACCTTGGCAAATCCATACACCTGTAAGTTTGAAACTTTATTCTTACCGACAAGGCACTCCTCCATTAGTATATACAGCAGCAAATGCAGACTGATTTTTAGCCGGACTTTTAAACTAGAGAGAAAAATAAAGTAAAATACATAAAATACAATACATAAGAAAATCATGTGATTCAATAGGACACAATGCAAGAATTTATTAGAATAAGTATATATCACTTCCGATAAAAGGATTTTTTATGTACCAACAATTGGTAGACCATGGATGAAGGACAACTTGAACCGCTTATCATCTGATGATGGTGGGCTCATAACACATCATAAAATATCAAGTTTTGAAGCAAAACAGCTGTGTAATATATGTTTATTTGTTGAAGGACATTCTTTATTAGAAGAAGTATATCTGAAAATTATTCAAGAAATTTTGGCAGATTCTAAAAATCCACCAATATATCATGTTTTTAACCCTGAAATGACCATCCAAATCTCTATACATTTTCAATCACACTCTATGTAGCTACTTATTTATAATTAGGTCTAACTAAACTCAAGATTTGTTACCACATATACAGTACTTACATTTTGAAATAATAAATCTGTTAGGTAATATTGCTTTTGGAAAGGTCTATATAATCAAGGAAAAATGAATATTTTCAAAAATTGTCTTTGCCAGTTCTCAAAATACAGCTAAAATTTAACCTCCCCCACAAAATAAAACAAAAATGAAACAAAGAAAAGTAGTCCAAAAAAATGTAACCACCAAATTTGGTTGCTTTACAAGTATCTCTTTTACTAACTATGAAACTGATCTTAACACAACTTCTTCATGTTGAATGTAGACATGTATGAAGATGTCAAAAACTGGCATGTAATTGCACTTCTGCTCTAGCTTTCACTCTGGTGAAACAAAAACAAATGAAGAGCAATGCCAGGATCGTATATATCTGTGTTTGATTCAAAAGATCACTCTCAAGATATGCCATGAACACAGAGACCTGGGTTCAATTCCTGTTAGCTGGGATGTATTCTTCATCTTCTACATTGAAGGCCTAACCTAAAATGTTTCCCGTTTCCGGTAACCCTATTTTTCGTTTGGCCTTAAATATATACATATATATATAATACAAAATATCAAATAAAACCATTACAAATAGAATACTTACTGGGTCAATTGTTTTTGGATTTAATTTGGCAGAAGGTCTTGGGTGAGCTGCAGTTAATTTCCCTATTGAACTATCAGATGAACTATTGAGTGAGCCTTTCTTGCCAGCTTTTCCTGCACTTGTTGGAGTAGCTTTTCTCACTCCTGTGCCATTGCCTCTTCCAATTCCCATTCTAGATGAGGCACTGTTTGGGGCTGAGCTAGCCATTAGTAGATTTTACTTCTCAAAATCCTTAATCCTTAGTTAAGTATATACGATGATAAACAGTGATTTTAAAAACGTTTATGTTACGTGCTGGTTCATCGTTATTAAATACTTCAGTAATCAATGACACCCCTTTATATTGTAACTAACATAACCGAATTCAAAAAATATGAATCGATATTTCTTCCAGTCATAGAATATTTGTATAAAGTATTTAAACTAGTAAATTTCAGAACACCTTCACCTTTTATTCAAATCTGTTGATCAGAATTCGATAAACTGCTTGGTGTCTTGCTCACATCAACACTTGCTGAATACCATGCACACATTCTCATTGAATTATGTTTATCAAAACATAACACATTAACCCCTATTCATATTCCTACTGTAAAGTGCTGATGGTCCAAGACATCTTCCATAAATATAACCCAAGAATTCTCTACAACAAATCCACAAAACCCCCCAAAATGCAGGAACGCCGGAAATGAAGAATCTGATGTTTCTAGTGGTGTAAGCGGCGAAGTTTTTTTTTCAATGATTTCAGCGGTAAGCCTCTCGAGACCAAAACCGGAACTTCCGCCTTTAGTTAAAATACCTTTGCACTCGAAAACAATTACAAATTCTTCAGATTTTGTACATAATAAGAAAAATGTACGAGCTGAATGTGTCGTGAGAAACACATACCGCTATGGGAAACCACGGGTCCAGCCAAGGTGGAAAAGGTAAGTCAATTTAATAGTACACTTCATACCTGGAAAGACTTCTGGTTCGCGATCAGTTTGACACTTGACTCGGTAAACATTGAATGTTTGTCACGTTGATGTCTATATACTTTTACACAAAAGTCACATGGGTGTCTCTTGGCATAAGGCATTTGTAAGACTGTATGTATCAAAATAAGAAATTACTATAATTTTAATTCTGACTATTGTAAATTGGTGTGTCTGAAGACTACAGGAATATAATTGACAGGTGAATGATCTGTGTATATGATGTTTTTTACTATATCCTGTTTACATATACTATGTACGAAGTAGGATAAGTGGTATGTGCATATTCTGTACAAACCATATCCTTAATTGTGTCTCGTTGCAGACAGTACAAATCAAATTGTCATTTGTCAGTTTCCCTAAATGGAGCCATTATCCAAATGCACATGTTGTATGCATGAAACTTTAAAGGTTGATGCTGAAATGTCACATGCTTATTGATGTACCATATATAGTCTAAATATGAAGACATCAATGGATGCTTGATAACATAAAAGAGGTGATTTTATCTTAACATATGTAATGAATCAATTATTTTTTTAAAGTTATTGACTGTGGTCATTTGTTATATAATACAGAAAGTTAAAATTAAAAAGAACCAGATTCCAGACATTGTACATACATTTGTTTTAAGTTTTGTTGTATGTTAGCTTGATTGGCAGATTATTTTAGTAGGATCAGATTGAAGTGATAGCCATTTGTACAAAACTTGAGTTGACTCAGTTTTTGTAATAATTTATTGATCCAGGTATTGAATATGTTGACATATAAGAAAACGTTCACATGATTATGATGACACATATACATACATCCGTAAAATGAATTTCTTAAGTGTTGGGACATAACGTATATTGCATATGGATCTGGTTTTCAATAGTATGCATATGACTCTATTGATCATTGGCTTTTAGTCTCAATGCTAATGTTCAAAATTTTCAAAATAACAGCATGTAATATTTTGAGCTAGTGTATGTAAGTGGCTGTTAGTGGAGGTGGTTATCAGATTTATATTTGAAAGTATAATTAAGCTATTTACAGATTTTAACTTGTTCTGCACACATAGTTGGCTAATTATCTCTCATCTTCTCATTGCATTTATTCAGTCATTATGGTACAAATGTTTATGTGTGTTTTGTCAACTTTAAAGGTGTTTGGTCTGATAAATTAAGCCACTGTTAAAATACAGTTCCGATTTAACAGAAGATACTTTGTCTGTATCTTGTTTATGTTTACTTCTTAGTTGTCAGACAAATCTAATAATTGAACCTTTTTTTGAGGATTTGGATTATTTTTCTTGCAATATTATAAAGAATGTTAAACCTGAAATAAAGACTTACTTTGGAAAGTGATATTTATAGATGAGGTGCATTTCAGTCATCAAAAACCCACTAAGTAGCAAAATTATAGAAGTTATTTGTTCAAAATATGTAATTTTCCTTCAATGGTATTTGCATTTTAGGTTTAATTTCTTTATTTTTCTTTGAGACATGCACTGCAGCCTTGATGAATATCTGGTATGAGTGATCGTGATGATCATATTGTACGCTGCCATATGTGAACTAGCCTGTATTCAACAAAAGCCATTCACTGCAAATCATTGATTTTGGAACAGACTTAAAAAGCAGCTGCTGCTGTTGCACTGGCAATGTTAAATATATTCACTCTAACATCAGTAATCAATATAGTAAACAACAATAAATCAATTATTAATATCTCATTGATTTTATTGTTTTTCTTCAAAAGCTTTCAAACCAAGAGTCAGTAAAATGTTTTAAATTATATCTATATTAAGATAAACATTGCAGTTATTTAAATATATTTATTTACATTTTCAAATGTCACTACATTTTGTAATAAACATAATTGCTGGTGTCCTTAACTATTTGTTTTAGTAAAACCTCAGTGTTTAATTAACTGAATGGTTTTATATAATTAATCAGTGATGTTTTTTTACGCCATTGCTTTTCTGGTATTTATAGTACTTTGAACATTGTAAACTTTGAACATAATATTGTCACTTTCCTAGTCCAAGTACCTTTAACAGTTATAATATGTAACAATGACAACACTCAATATTCCGATCTGATTTCCTAGAAAACTTGCTTTACTGATCTATAAAACTCAATCCCTGATTTTCAGACTGACAACTCCCATGACTGCTGATTGAAACAAGTCATCACCAGACTTTTCTGATGGACACAGTCTGACTCCTGACTTTTTCTGATCTATACAACTCAACTCCCACTTTTCTGCCCGACAACTCAACTCATTTCTTACTGACAAACTGAACGCATGACTTCAGATTGATACAAGTCATCATCTGACTTTTCTGATTGATACAACCCAACCCATGACTTTGCTGATCTTCACTACCCAACCCCTGACATTTTCTGATCTTCATAACCTTGTTATAGAATTACAGTGAGTGTATTGGCATGCAGGTTAATGTTATTGTAAATTTTAAATTTATATACAGATATTTGGAGGAGAGAGAAAATTAATTGAACATTTCAAGTATTTAATTGCTGTATATGTATTCCTAAATTTTGATGTCACAAATATGAAGAAAATATATGAATACTTATTTTCACATGTAGCTTCTGCATGGACAAACAAAACCCCTAAGACTGAGAATGATAACAGGTTTATAAGAACAAGACATATTTGTATAAGGGCTTTCATTTATAGCTGTAAATAGTCTACACTAAAATGACATAATTCTATGGTATTTCACCCAGTATGCTTCAAATTTAATTCCAGTTAAACACAGAAAATCTGAGGGTAAGTTGTGACATTTTCTGTATTTTCTGTACACCAAATCATTAGCAAGTCACATATATCTTACTAAAACCTTTTTGTACTCTGTGTACATACATATCATAAATTTCAATCCTACTAATATTTTGGAAAGATCTTTATTTCTTTCACTTTCTTTGATTCCAAAACTGGTAAATTTTCAAAGGTATGTATAGGCAATTTAGAAATACATAAATAACTCTTGCTAGTAAAATCTTTGTTCTTTCTTTGAAATTGTAATCATTCTACAAAGTGAATCTTGCTACAATATTTGAGCTAATTATGGCTCTTTGTACTACATACATTCTTACTAAGAAAGCTATGTAGGTATCTGGTGCAATGGGACTTGCAGGACATACCTTGATATAAATGTAAAGGGAATGATAAATGTATTTACTACTAAATTGTACTTATATTTGAATACTATAAAGTTAAATTGAACAACTGCATAAACAATTTGTTCAATTTTCAGCGATAGACTTGCTGCTAATTCTAGTTCTGTGATAAATGTTAGAAGCTAAGTAAATGGCTTGCACAGAGACAGTCAAAAACACTGTGTTCTAGATCATATCTAACATAAATTTCTAACATTATTATGGGTAATTTTAAATTTGATACAATTTTATGTCACCAGACTGACTTGTAACACAACTCTGTGTGTTGATGTGGGTTACGACAAATACCAGTATATTTAAATCTTGACAGGAAACTATCCCTACACTTTTTTTTACACTTACATGTACAATTGTTTCCGAAAAGTTAGTTTGTTAAATTATTGTCATTTTCTAAATATTTCAAATTACAAACACAGTTAGTGAGAGTGAAATTAATTCATTTAATCTTATGGAAAAACACACATACATGTTCAATATTTATAAGCTTTGAGTTGAAATTGGATGGATTATATTAGACATAAAGGGAATTTGAATAAGATATTGATTTTGTGAAATATAAAAAGCAAATTTGATTAAACTTTTGTAGCTCTGTTCAGGATCTTTAGTTAAAAAGGAAATTGGTATTACTACAGTACATACATTTTTTACATGCATCTGTAAGCAAAATGCCATGCATTCAATTGAAAATATGCTTTACTTTCCCTCCTTCTCCTTCCAAACATTTGTATGAATTAGATGGTAAGACTTTCATTTGCTTGTATGCACGAATTGGTCCCACATATTACAAGTTGTATGATTATCATCCTTTGCTGCACAACAAAGCTAAATAAAATACAGAACTTAATCACATACATATATAGATAAGTCTACCACTTCATCCCAGCAGCCTTGATTTTGAGAGGAATGAGGTGTCTGCTTTTTAATCTTGGAATAGTAGTACCAGGTACTTAAAGTTAAATTTTTTAGAATTCGACTCAACTTTTGGAGCAATGGGAACATTAACACACAATTTTAAAATGCGAAATGCGGGTGCTGCCACCATCATTGTTGCCAAAAGTTTGTAATATAATTAGTCATATTGCTATATAAAGACTTGTTTTCATGATCTCACACTATTTGACCATGCTGTACTTTTGATTTACAGTTTCCAACAAAATCTCAACACTGTTCCATATGAGCTATTACTAAACTATTTCATGTACAGGACAAAAAAAGAAAAGAACCATAGAGATATTGAGAACTGTCTTTCTCTTCTGTTTTTTATCTGTCTTTGTGAATCTTCATGATCACATCTTCAACTAGCTGCCTTATGAAACCTGTAATTCTATTGAAGTAATATTCAATGCTAGAGATAGTTCATGTATCATATAACCACAAAGATGTGTGTACAGTATAACATTTTGTGTGTGTTCTTTTGAATTCTGGAACACCATGACTTGAATGACAATTAATGTTTATATATACGGCAAACTGAATTTACACAGAGTTTAAGTTGAAATTAAATGAAT